CCCTGTGTTACAGCACTATCACTGTGTAACTCACTATTACCCTGTGTTACAGCACTGTCACTGTGTAACTCACTATTACCCTGTGTTACAGCACTGTCACTGTGTAACTCACTATTACCCTGTATTACTGCACTGTCACTGTGTAACTCACTATTACCCTGTGTTACAGCACTATCACTGTGTAACTCACTATTACCCTGTGTTACAGCACTATCACTGTATAACTCACTATGACCCTGTGTTACAGCACTATCACTGTATAACTCACTATTGCACTTGTAAGCTGCAGCACCTATCACCAGTGGCGGTTCTACTACGTACCTCAAAGCTACAGCACTATCACTGTGTAACTCACTATTACCCTGTGTTACAGCACTATCACTGTGTAACTCACTATTACCCTGTGTTACAGCACTATCACTGTGTAACTCACTATTACCCTGTGTTACAGCACTCTCACTGTGTAACTCACTATTACCCTGTATTACTGCACTCTCACTGTGTAACTCACTATTACCCTGTGTTACAGCACTATCACTGTGTAACTCACTATTACCCTGTATTACTGCACTGTCACTGTGTAACTCACTATTACCCCCAAGGTGTTACAGCACTATCACTGTGTAACTCACTATTACCCTGTGTTACAGCACTGTCACTGTAACTCACTACTACCCCTGTGTTGTAGCACTGTCACTGTGTAACTCACTATTACCTCCTGTATTACTGCACTGTGCCACTGTGTAACTCACTATTACCCTCCTGTGTTACAGCACCATCACTGTGTAACTCACTATTGGCCCTGTGTTACAGCACTATCACTGTATAACTCACTATTACCCTGTGTTACAGCACTATCACTGTGTAACTCACTATTACCCTGTGTTACAGCACTATCACTGTGTAACTCACTATTACCCTGTGTTACAGCACTCTCACTGTGTAACTCACTATTACCCTGTATTACTGCACTCTCACTGTGTAACTCACTATTACCCTGTGTTACAGCACTATCACTGTGTAACTCACTATTACCCTGTATTACTGCACTGTCACTGTGTAACTCACTATTACCCTGTGTTACAGCACTATCACTGTGTAACTCACTATTACCCTGTGTTACAGCTCTATCACTGTATGGCTCACTATTACCCTGTGTTACAGCTCTATCACTGTATGGCTCACTATTACCCTGTGTTACAGCTCTATCACTGTATGGCTCACTATTACCCTGTGTTACAGCACTATCACTGTGTAACTCACTATTACCCTGTGTTACAGCACTATCACTGTGCTCACTATTACCCTGTGTTACAGCACTATCACTGTGTAACTCACTATTACCCTGTGTTACAGCACTATCACTGTGTAACTCACTATTACCCTGTGTTACAGCACTATCACTGTGTAACTCACTATTACCCTGTGTTACAGCACTATCACTGTGTAACTCACTATTACCCTGTGTTACAGCACTATCACTGTGTAACTCACTATTACCCTGTGTTACAGCACTATCACTGTGTAACTCACTATTACCCTGTGTTACAGCACTATCACTGTGTAACTCACTATTACCCTGTGTTACAGCACTATCACTGTATAACTCACTATTACCCTGTGTTACAGCACTATCACTGTGTAACTCGCTATTACCCTGTGTTACAGCTCTATCACTGTATGGCTCACTATTACCCTGTGTTACAGCACTATCACTGTGTAACTCACTATTACCCTGTGTTACAGCACTCCCACTATCACTCTATGGCTCACTGTTGCCCTGTGTTTCCTGCCTGGGGGCTCTGATTAAGCAGTGTCTATGCAGTAACCCGCTGCCAGCCCGGATTGAGAGGAATACAGTCTCACCCATCCATCCTGGGCACATGGAGTGGGCATCAGCAGGGCGCTTCCGCATATGACGTCACTTCCGCTAGTTCTTGACAGCTCTAACGCTGCGCTCCCGACTCAAAACAAAACACGAGCCCCGCCCCCTGTCTGGCAAAACGTCTTCTCTCTGATTGGTGCGTGTGTCCCTCCGCTCACTGGAATCCAGCTCCTGATTGGCCAGTCTCCATGTCACTGAGGGTAACTGACAGCCCTGGTAACCGTACTGGGGATACAGGAGCGGCCGCACTGCTGGAGGAGGAGAGTGAGTGACACTCAGTGAGGGCAGACAGAAGGCAGTGAGTGACACTCAATGAGGGGAGACAGAGGGCAGTGAGTGACACCCAGTGAGGGGACAGAGGGCAGTGAGTGACACTCAGTGAGGGAGACAGAGGGCAGTGAGTGACACTCAGTGAGGGAGACAGAGGGCAGTGAGTGACACTCAGTGAGGGCAGACAGAAGGCAGTGAGTGACACTCAGTGAGGGGACACAGAGAGCAGTGAGTGACACTCAGTGAGGGGACACAGAGGGCTGTGAGTGACACTCAGTGAAGGGGTCAGAGGGCAGTGAGTGACACTCAGTGAGGGGACACAGAGGGAGGGTGTGAGTGACACTCAGTCAGTGAGTGAGACAGAGGGCAGTGAGTGACACTCAGTGAGGGGGGACAGAGAGCAGTGAGTGACACTCAGTGAGGGGACAGAGGGCAGTGAGTGACACTCAGTGAGGGGGGACAGAGAGCAGTGAGTGACACTCAGTGAGGGGACAGAGGGCAGTGAGTGACACTCAGTGAGGGGAGACAGAGGGCAGTGAGTGACACTCAGTGAGGGGACAGAGGGCAGTGAGTGACACTCAGTGAGGGGAGACAGAGGGCAGTGAGTGACACTCAGTGAGGGGACAGAGGGCAGTGAGTGGCACTCAGTGAGGGGAGACAGAGGGCAGTGAGTGACACTCAGTGAGGGGAGACAGAGGGCTGTGAGTGACACTCAGTGAGGGAGACAGAGGGCTGTGAGTGACACTCAGTGAGGGGAGACAGAGGGCAGTGAGTGACACTCAGTGAGGGGACACAGAGAGCAGTGAGTGACACTCAGTGAGGGGACACAGAGGGCTGTGAGTGACACTCAGTGAGGGAGACAGAGGGCAGTGAGTGACACTCAGTGAAGGGGTCAGAGGGCAGTGAGTGACACTCAGTGAGGGGACACAGAGGGCCGTGAGTGACACAGGAGGGAGACAGAGAGGGCAGTGAGTGACACTCTGAGGGGAGACAGAGGGCAGTGAGTGACACTCAGTGAGGGGACACAGAGGGCAGTGAGTGACACTCAGTGAGGGGACACAGAGGGCTGTGAGTGACACTCAGTGAGGGAGACAGAGGGCAGTGAGTGACACTCAGTGAGGGGGTCAGAGAGCAGTGAGTGACACTCAGTGAGGGGACACAGAGGGCAGTGAGTGACACTCAGTGAGGGGACACAGAGGGCAGTGAGTGACACTCAGTGAGGGAGACAGAGGGCAGTGAGTGACACTCAGTGAGGGCAGACAGAGGGCTGTGAGTGACACTCAGTGAGGGAGACAGAGGGCACTGAGTGACACTCAGTGAGGGGAGACAGAGGGCACTGAGTGACACTCAGTGAGGGAGACAGACAGCAGTGAGTGACACTCAGTGAGGGGACACAGAGGGCAGTGAGTGACACTCAGTGAGGTGACACAGAGAGCAGTGATTGGCACTCAGTGAGGGAGACAGAGAGCAGTGAGTGACACTGAGTGAGGGAGACAGAGGGCACTGAGTGACACTCAGTGAGGGAGACAGACAGCAGTGAGTGACACTCAGTGAGGGGACACAGAGGGCAGTGAGTGACACTCAGTGAGGTGACACAGAGAGCAGTGATTGGCACTCAGTGAGGGAGACAGAGAGCAGTGAGTGACACTGAGTGAGGGAGACAGAGGGCACTGAGTGACACTCAGTGAGGGAGACAGACAGCAGTGAGTGACACTCAGTGAGGGGACACAGAGGGCAGTGAGTGACACTCAGTGAGGGGACACAGAGAGCAGTGAGTGGCACTCAGTGAGGGAGACAGAGAGCAGTGAGTGACACTGAGTGAGGGAGACAGAGGGCAGTGAGTGACACTCAGGGAGGGGACACAGAGGGCAGTGAGTGACACTCAGTGAGGGGACACAGAGGGCTGTGAGTGACACTCAGTGAGGGAGACAGAGGGCAGTGAGTGACACTCAGTGAGGGGGTCAGAGAGCAGTGAGTGACACTCAGTGAGGGGACACAGAGGGCAGTGAGTGACACTCAGTGAGGGGACACAGAGGGCAGTGAGTGACACTCAGTGAGGGAGACAGAGGGCAGTGAGTGACACTCAGTGAGGGCAGACAGAGGGCTGTGAGTGACACTCAGTGAGGGAGACAGAGGGCACTGAGTGACACTCAGTGAGGGGAGACAGAGGGCACTGAGTGACACTCAGTGAGGGAGGACACAGAGGGCTGTGGAGTGACATGAGGGGAGACAGAGGGCAGTGAGTGACACTCAGTGAGGGACAGAGGGGCGGAAGGAGTGACACCCAGGAGGACACAGAGGGCAGGAGTGACACTCAGTGAGGGACACAGAGGGCTGGGGAGGGACACTCAGTGAGGGAGACAGAGGCAGTGAGTGACACCTGGTGAGGGGCTGAGAGCAGTGAGTGACACCTCAGTGAGGGGACATGAGTGGCAGTGAGTGACACCTCAGTGAGGGGACAGCACTCAGTGAGGGACAGAGGGCAGTGAGACACCTCAGCAGGGCATGAGGGGCTGTGTGAAGGAATGAGAGATAGTGAGGGCACTGAGTGACACTCATGTGAGGGGAGACAGAGGGCACTGAGTGACACCTGTTGAAGGGTGGCATGGTGGTGGAGCACACTCAGTGAGGGACACAGAGGGCAGTGAGTGACACCTGTGAGGACAGAGAGCAGTGATTGGCACTCAGTGAGGGAGACAGAGAGCAGTGAGTGACACTGGAGTGAGGGGAGATGAGGGCACTGAGTGACTCAGTGAGGGGAGACAGACAGCAGTGGCGACACCTGGGACAGAGGGCAGTGAGTGACACTGTGTGAGGTGACACAGAGAGCAGTGATTGGCACTCAGTGAGGGAGTATTTATATGGTGGAGTGACACTGAGTGAGGGAGATGGAGGGCAGGGAGAGTGACACTCAGGGAGGGGACACAGAGGGCAGTGAGCACACCTCAGAGGTAGACAGAGGGGCTGTGAGTGACACCCAAATGAGGGGAGACAGGAGGGCTGTGAGTGACACTCAGTGAGGGGAATAGAGAGGTCAGTGAGTGACACTCAGTGAGGGGAGACAGAGAGCAGTGAGTGACACACTCAGTGAGGGGAGACAGGAGGGCTGAGTGAGACTCAGTGAGGGGAGACACAGGAGGGCAGTGAGTGACACTCATAGAGGGGAGATGAGGGCAGTGAGGACACTGTGGGAGGGGACAGAGGGAGAGCAGTGAGTGACACTCTGAGTGAGGGGAGACAGAGGGCAGTGAGTGACACTCAATGAGGGGAGACAGAGGGCTGTGAGTGACACTCAGTGAGGGAATAGAGAGGTCAGTGAGTGACACTCAGTGAGGGGAGACAGAGAGCAGTGAGTGACACTCAGTGAGGGGAGACAGAGGGCTGTGAGTGAGACTCAGTGAGGGAGACAGAGGGCAGTGAGTGACACTCATAGAGGGAGACAGAGGGCAGTGAGTGACACTCAGGGAGGGGACACAGAGGGCAGTGAGTGACACTCAGTGAGGGGAGACAGAGGGCTGTGAGTGACACTCAGTGAGGGAATAGAGAGGGCAGTGAGTGACACTCAGTGAGGGGAGACAGAGGGCAGTGAGTGACACTCAATGAGGGGAGACAGAGGGCTGTGAGTGACACTCAGTGAGGGAATAGAGAGGTCAGTGAGTGACACTCAGTGAGGGGAGACAGAGAGCAGTGAGTGACACTCAGTGAGGGGAGACAGAGGGCTGTGAGTGACACTCAGTGAGGGAGACAGAGGGCAGTGAGTGACACTCAGTGAGGGGACACAGAGGGCAGTGAGTGACACTCAGTGAGGGCAGACAGGGGGCAGTGAGTGACACTCAGTGAGTGGAGACAGAGAGCAGTGAATGACACTCAGTGAGGGGACACAGAGAGCAGTGAGTGACACTCAGTGAGGGGGACAGAGAGCAGTGAGTGACACTCAGTGAGGTTAGACAGAGGGCAGTGAGTGACACTCAGTGAGGGGGGACAGAGGGCTGTGAGTGACAGTGAGGGAACACAGAGAGCAGTGAGTGACACTCAGTGAGGGCAGACAGAGGGCAGTGAGTGACACTCAGTGAGGGAGACAGAGGGCAGTGAGTGACACTCAGTGAGGGCAGACAGAGGGCAGTGAGTGACACTCAGTGAGGGAGACAGAGAGCAGTGAGTGACACTCAGTGAGGGGAGACAGAGGGCTGTGAGTGACACTCAGTGAGGGGACACAGAGGGCAGTGAGGGGAGACAGAGGGCAGTGAGTGACACTCATTGAGGGGACAGAGAGGGCAGTTAGTGACACTTAGTGAGGGGACAGAGAGGGCAGTTAGTAACACTCAGTGAGGGGAGACAGAGGGATGTGAGTGACATTCAGTGAGGGGACACAGATGGCAGTGAGTGACATTGAGGGGCGACAGAGGGATATGAGTGACACTCAGTGAGGGGATACAGAGTGCAATGAGTGACACTCTAAAGGTAAAAAAGAGGGCAGTGAGTGACACTCTGTGGGGGGAAAAGGACAATGAGTGACACTCTGTGAGGAGAGACAGAGGGCAGTGAGTGACACTCAGTGAGGGGACACAGAGGGCAGTGAGGGACATTCAGTATGGAACATATAGCGGTCAGTGACACTCTGAGGAACATACAGGGCAGTGAGTGACACTCAATGATGGGAGTTAGAGGGCAGTGAATGACACTCAGTGAGAGGCTAAAAAGGAGGTTGAGTCACACACAATGATTAGAGTTTTTAGAGGGCAGTGAGTGACACTCGGTGAGGGCTATAGAGGGGGCTGAGTGACACTCACTGAGGGACATAGAGGGCAGTGAGTGACACTCAGTGAGGGGAGACAGAGATTACTGAGTGTTTCTCAATGATGGAAGAGAGAAGGGAGACAGTAACATTCACTGAGGGAAAAAGAAGGGTCTGAGATCTGTCTGTCTATCTCATACTTTTTATTATTATTCTTGCCATTTATATAGCGCCAACAGATTCCGTAGCGCTTAATATATATATATCATTTGTTTGCACATCTGTATGTAATGTCCAAGGAATTAAATACTACCAACTGTCATTTGTTATTGTTTACTAATGTATTTTTATTTTTGCAGAAGCTCGAAGCTAATTGTAAGAGATGTGTTTGAATTGTCTGAATTTGATATTGAGACCCCTGTAAAGATCGCTTACATTTGTAACGTAGTGAGTATTTTAGGATGTCTGTTTCATTTACTTGTTCGTTTGGTAGGATTTTGTATCTTTAATTGCAGAAAATGGTGCTAAAAAGGATTAGAGGAATTTCCATTTAAATATAAAAATTGCCAAATTATGGTAGAATATTTCTCTATTTTTACTCAGTGAAGGGACACAGAGGGTAGTGAGTGACACTCAGTGAGGGCAGACAAAGGGCAGTGAGGGAACACTCAGTGAGGGGACACAGAGGGCAGTGAGTGACACTCAGTGACGGGAGACAGAGGGCAGTGAGTGACACTCAGTGAGGGGACACAGAGGGCAGTGAGTGACACTCAGTGAGGGCAGACAGAGGGCAGTGAGTGACACTCAGTGAGGGGAGACAGAGGGCAGTGAGTGACACTCAGTGTGGGCAGACAGAGGGCAGTGAGTGACACTTATTTTTACATGCACATGTTAGTTTGGCTTAAAATTGTATTCACATTGTATTGGGAACAGTGACTTTGGTTTAATTGTACTTAAAAAAAAAAATGTCAGTGATTTCAGACCCTGAAAAATAGGTGTCTCGCTTTTTTACACACAAATCTTTTGTTGTAGGTTATATCATAGCAGACGCTATGCGTTTCCTTGCATTGTATTCTATAAAATAGTAATAATTAGTGCTCCTATTTACTGACATTTGCAACAAAAAAACTAAAAACTAATTATGTAAAACAAACGAAGGTGTAATTTTGCAGACATAAACAGTTAAACACTTCTTTCATTTCTATCAGAATGAAACTGAAAGTAATGCCAATCACACCCTCCTGTGAGTACAGAGAGACACTCCCTTAAAGGAACACTCCAAGTACCATAACTACTGCAGGGAGCTTCAGCTAATTGCTTTTTGCCAGTGAGCCAAGTTTTGCACATTCCTTTGGAAGTGGTGGTGGTGTGAGGCAGCAAAAGCAATGTATTCAAACAGGAGGGGATGCTCCTTAGTGGTCAAGATATAGGAGAATCACCTAAGAATGATTGCAATAGACAGAAATAATCAGAATGTTGTTGGGCTTATGACTTTTCATTTTGATCACAGCATTCTTAACACAAAACATTAGCGGTTTACTTTACATTTAACCTATTGTGTCAGATGTCTGTGAAATTTGCTTATGGAGGTGTGTCTGAGGAAAAAAAAAAAAGAACTATGCATTGCTTTTATCACAAAAATAGAAATAGTGATAAATGCCTCCAAATGTGTTGGGTGTACCAGTGACTCACTATACGTGCTTTCTGCTAATGTTGATGCTATTTTGTTTTCATATCTGTAGATGGCACTATTACAAATCTGGGTGGAGAGAATTGAACTTACTTTTCTTTTTTTTCATGCATAGGTGCAATAAGTATAGGCATCATTGTGCCACTTGAGCTATATTAAAACTTAGCACACCCCTTCCCCTCTCAAATGCATTGTTATGAGCAGGATAACGGCATTGCTTTACGTTTAAGAATTGCTTAATTTAAAAGCCACAATACAAATGTCTGCTTAATAATTTTAACTGTGTATGGAAAAATCTTGCCAAAATGAATATTCCTGTCTCCTGTGCTCACAATTCAGTGAGCAGAGTTGTGTGCTCCTATGTAAGTAGTTTGTAATTTCTCCCTGTGTGGGTTTTTTTTTTCTTTTCAGGCGGCACATTTGAAGACATTGATGTTTTGTGGTTGAGAAGCCGAGCGCAAACATTGACAAAGCTGAGGTGGAGATGGTGGTCGTAGCACATTACTCACAATTGGACGCCTACGCCCAAACACAAAATCTACAGCTGCTTCACTTATTTGTATGTTAAGTGGATAATGTCAAGCTTGTTGTTCCTATGAATATAATAATTTTAAGTTATTAGTTTTAAGGTTTGTATTTTAATGCAAGGCATTACAGAAACTTATGTTTGTACACCTGCCTTACCAATACCTCTCTGTTATGGCAGTATTTGCTCGCTATTTTGCTAGTGCAAGATATATATTACGAAAGAATTCTCAAACTCATCTCTTTTTCTCATCTTTGGCCTAAAATTTGAAATTCACTATGACATTTCTCACTTTGGTGAATGCCCCAGAGGCAGAGTTAGTTGAGTCTCTTTAAACTGTGAGTCAATGAACAAAACTATTAAAGTGTAAATGTAAGATTACAAGAGTTATCGTAAAAAAACCTTGTTTTGCTGACTCTCCAGGACTCCACAGCTCTTTTTAGTGAGTGAAACCACAGCTAGAAGACAATCGTCATTAAGCAAATAGAAAAGCTGACTTTGGACTTTTGAGGCTCCCAACAGTTTCATTTACTGCCAGGAGATCAAATAGTGGTTATAAAGGGTTAGTAGGACATTCATTCACACTCATTCAGTGGATACATTGTGAATGCATAGAGATCAGGTGGAGGATCTCACTGCTTGTCCCAATGCAAATACCTTCTCTCCAGGTTCTAAAGTCTCTTCACACTGATATTGAAGGTGTATTATTTAACAGTTTCCTGCACTTCCCATTCATTTTCTGTCTCACTCTTATGAGGATGTTGTGGGAAAATTAAATTCTGTACATTTCATGGGATCTGAGGTAAAGAGGCAAAGGATTTTAAATATTTATTTAGTGTATGAATTGGACTGCTTACAGTGTGATGATCCAGCTTGCACCATTATAGAATATGAGATATATTTCCCAGGTAGTAGTCACTGGCGTGTACAGGCTGAGCGAGATCGTTATTGGTTACTGTAACCATTCTTACACTTTCATTCTCTTATTGACTTCCTAATAGATATATTACACTGCTGTCTGATCCTGTCTTAGAGAAAGGTATTGTCTGAGAGACTAAAGCAATCTGAATATGTTTTTGCATTTAGTTACATGTGTTGCAGAATCAGTTGGGGCAAATCACCCTTTGGTGGAAGCAGCTATTAGATCACATAATGTTAAAGATCTGTGAGAATTCTTTCTTTCTCTTCCCTGACAGTTTCTTTGCTCTACAAAGATTGAGAGGTGGATGTGAGATTAGAAAGGAAATGGCTGTGTTTGACACCCCATACCAGCGGCTGGAGCCTTCCTACACTGATTCACCTCTGGGGGAAGATGATCTGCTGGTACATGTGCCTGAGGGCAGTAAGTGTAAGTCTCTACATCATTATTTTGTATTGTACAATCTATTGGTCTTCTGCAAATAAAAGTGAATACATATATAAACATATTAAAAAAAAATCTATCATTTATAAAAATATACCAATATATCGAAATTGAAGTATATTAAAATATTAGTCAAAATAAGAAATCACTTTTAAAATTTCATCCAACAATCTTATATTATTGCATTTGCAGTGCTCATACAAAAATAATACATCATCAACTATGGTGGATAACTGATACAGGCCGAAATAGCGGAACTGGAAAACAAATCTCAAGCTTTGCTATTTTACCCTAAAACTTTAAATTTTCTTTAATTTAACAATCTCACAGAGTCAGTTGAAGGATTACCCACTTTAATGGTCCTTCTGCTGGGGTGCAGACATTGGAAAATAAGTGACAATTTCCTGTTCCCTCCTGACAGCCTTCCATACAATTGGTGAAAGATGTCATTCTTTGTCACACTCAGACCCTCTGCTTGAGGATTACTTAGGCCAGTAATGGCACCTACTGTGCTGTACGGTTTGAACATGTGACCTGCTTGTTGAAATAACTGACAGGTTGTTTAATATATTTTAATATGTGCTATGATCACGATGATGAAATTATTTTCACATCGTTTGTTTAGGACAATAATTTTTGCCAAGGAGCAGCTGCCTATATTGTGTTAGCAATTTGTTTTGTATGTATTTTCTCTATGAAAGGTTTATCCCTGATTTAAAGTGATAAGAATGGCTGTCATTGCCTTAACGATATAACAAAAAGAGACGAGCCTCTTCCATTTAATTAGATTTAGGACCAACTGGGGCAAATATAAATTTTCAGTGTCTGCTTTCCATTAAACCAGGTGGAAGCACTAACCTGGGATTTAATTAAATCATCTGTGAAATTGTCTTCAGTCAGTTTACCTTCTTTCAGAATTCTCACCTAATGGTGAATAATTAGGTCCACGTCACCACCTAGAAATGCACTATATTTCTGCTGCAAATAACTTTCTCAGAAATAGTTTTCTGGTTTCTCAATGCTTCCCAGAACATATGAAGTTGGGGAAGTTTATGTTTCATTCTGATTTTACTTTGCATAGTTTTCCGTATATAAGGAATAAGTATGATATGAGAATACAAGCTGGTTGTGGATGCACTGAATGTCACCCCAGCAGAGGTGGGAAGTGTGTAGGAATACCTAGTATAGTCATGCTGTCCCGAGCAGGAAATATGATTTAGAGGATGATAAAATATAGAATAAAGGTTATGGTTGTCATATTGGGAATCGTTTACACTAAATGCACCACCTGCAATTTATATTATCAATGCCTGTTTTTATGTTTTTTTCTCACCAGCCCCGTGGCATCATATCGAGAACCTGGATCTCTTCTTCTCTCGGGTATCCTTTGAACAGAGGGAAACTAATAATATTTGATGGTGAAAAAATATATATGTTTTGCAGAGTTATTTACCTTATTGATGAAGAATAAAAGAATGGTACTAAAACTGTCGGACGATGCCCTATTTATGAGAATTAATTCCATGGCATTGTTATGGTCTGATATAATAGATCCTAAGCATTTAACGTTGCTAAAATCATGGATATATTTTTTTTTATATTTGCATGTCACCAAATGGCTAATTTATGTAGAACCATTTTTTTTTTTTCCAGCTGATTATTGTTTTCTTAACTAGGAAATATCAGGTGTACAATCTACATCAGAAGAATGGCTTTACCTGCATGCTGATTGGGGAACTTTTCGAGTTACTGTAAGTTTGTTTATTTATGTTGGGATACCTTTCCCATACATAGAGTACACTGCATGATTAGCAAGTGTTCCTTCAAAGATCAGACGTCCATATCTAAAACCAATAAGCAAGGATTCTGTATAAAATTATTTTCTTCTACTTCCAACTTTGATACAATGCTTACAATTTTAATATAGACATCTATTCATTCCCTCACGTACATGTGAGAAGGTGCTCTGTGCATTATCAGACTTAGTTTACATAATTCCAACTGCCCCATGCAACAGACTATTAACCTGTTCACTAACAAGTTATTTGAGAAATAATCCCCATCCAGAATGCTTATTTTTTTTTTGTGTTCTAGAAAGTTATGTATAAATGTATTTTTCCTGTCAGTATGAATATATAGCATATTATTTAATGACAAAACAACATCTTTATTTGATCCTTGCTAAATTAACTCAAATGAGATAGTGAGTAATGGCGGTAAACTCCTGAATACAAAAGGTATTTTATTTACAATTTGTTAAAATGATGAGAACCATGTATACGAGGGATTGAGGTTTGGATACATACCTCTGCTGTACATTTATGTGGTAACATGAGAGAAGGAGTAAGTCCTCCCAGGGGAAGTTAATTTAATTCAGAATTGCAAAATTCAGGCTAAAATAGCCAAGCTGTTACTATATCAAGTGTTACATTTAAAAATGAACTTTGTTACACCCCATGACAATGATTTAGAAAACCAGTCCTGTTATTTCCTGGTTTGGTTAGCTCAGTGGAGCTGAACTCAAGAGGCAGCAATTGTCCAGAGCACCTGCCTTGTAAAGACTTCTCATTGAGCTGCATTGGGGAGTCTGTGATTGGACAGCCACAGAAAGTCTGGGAAGTCTTGGAAGGATCGAAAATGATTTGTCCTTTCCAGGGTTTAAATCAATGACTCTGAGAGCACCTGGAGCCATAACCACTGGGTTATCTCACCCACTTTTCTATTGTTACTTACGCACACTTTCCTACCCCTGCTCTTACACATTGTTCTACTGTCTTTTTGCAGGCAGTTCATCTTTGTGGTCAGTTTCACTACATTTCTAGTAAGTTGTGTGGATTATGATATCCTTTTCGCCAACAAGATGGTCAACCACAGTCATACTGACAATGTCAAAGTTACTTTGCCCGATGCCTTTCTTCCGCCCACAGTTTGCCAAGCCAGGTAAAGATACGTTTTCTAGAGTTATTGCAAGAAAATTAGCCACCTATCTAATTAATTCACATGTTTTGTTTTTCAGAATTAAATTGGGGGCTTAGATGTGGGGTATAGTGTGGTTTTTCACATACAGTTAATGTGAGTGAATAATCAGTCATTGATCGTGTATCTTTCTTCTCCATCACAGAATACAAGAAAATGGTTTCCTTATGAGTCTCCTGGTCATTGCTAGTGTTTTTTGGATTCACAGACTGGTAAAATTTATTTACAATATCTGCTGTAATTGGGAGATTCACAACTTCTACATACAAGCTCTGCGCATTCCCATGGTAAGTAAGCAGTATTCATGAGAACCCTACACCATCTATGATTTATCCAGATTTGTGTTATAATGGCTAAAACCAAATCATAGTGAATAATGTAGAGCCATAATTACTAGGTTTTTCCCAGTCACTCTAATAGCCGTCTAATGTCCTCTTATCTAGACTCATTAGGGTCATAGAAAATGATGTCACACAAATTCCACTGTGGTCTCCAGGTAATTCTTTTTCAAGGTCTGCAAGACATGGACTTGTATTTATTTAGACCCACTCTAAAAGTACGTTAGATTCTATTAGGCTGTTTAGGAAAATATATCTTCCCAGAGAAATGACTATTAAGCACACAAAAACTAGCAAACAAGAAAACATTACAGACCACTCCCTTGTATCTGGCTTTTTGTTTGTTATTTGTAATGTTTTACACAAACCTTTTATTGCGATTCCTTTGTTTTTAGGTTTTAGGTGTTGCTTCCCACCTATTCATGGTTTTCATTGAACTTTTTCTTTTTTTTTTTTTTCTTTCACGGCAGTCAGGATCCACTTCAGGCATCATGTCAATGCATTGCCCTGTTACTATTATTAATATTTATAAAGCGCCAACAAATTCTGCAGCGTTGTACAATGGGTGGACTAACAGACAAGTATTTGTAACTAGACAAGTTGGACGCACAGGAACAGAGGGGGTTGAGGGCCCTGCTCAATGAGCTTACATGCTAGAGGGAGTGGGTGGCAGAAAAGGTAAGGGTAGGGTATAAAAGTAGGTTGCTAGAATAGATTTCAACGAGGACCCCCTTTTAAGTTTGTGTTTTCACTTTGAGCAAAGTATGGGTGAAAATGCATAAACCAATAAATTCTACCCACAGACATCCTGTTTGAATGTTACTCAGTCTGTTCAATGTTCAAAATAGGAAATAGATGAATATGTACACAGCTGTATTTATGCATATTGCTGATTTGTAAAGACTTTTTCCAGGTTAGGTTTGCTCCTCACACAGCGAAATTACTGGTCTAAATGCATGTAAATCATGAAACTTCTTTAACCATCCTGAGTAGCTAGTTCATTAGATAGATCAATAACTGTGTTGATTTCTCTGTTTTTCACTTCTCCTTCTGGTCACCCAGAATATTTGTGTTTTCTGTGTATATCAAATGCTAATGCTCAATTTTCTTTCTTTCCACTGTTTTACAGTGTGAACTTCCTTATTACACCTGGGAAGAGGTTCAGAGTCGCATTGTGCAGATCCAGAAGGAACATCAGATTTGTATCCACAAGAAGGAGTTATCCGAGCTGGATGTGTCTCACAGAATCCTGCGATTCAAGAATTATATGGTGGCCATGATCAATAAGAACCTGCTCCCACTACAGCATCGTGCACCTCTGCTGGGAGATACAGTCTTCTACACCCGTGGACTGAAGTACAACTTCCAGCTTATCTTTTTCTGGGGGCCTGGCTGTCTCTTTCAGAATGAGTGGAGCCTTAAACCCGAATATAAGCGAGCAGGAGCACGTCTTGAACTGGCAGAAAAGCTTTCACAACGTATCTTGTGGATTGGACTTGCAAACTTGGTTCTCTGCCCCCTTGTACTTGTCTGGCAGATACTTTACGCTTTCTTCTGCTACACAGAAGTGCTGCGGCGGGAACCTGGCAGTTTAGGGGCACGTTGCTGGTCTTTGTATGGTCGCTGCTACCTCCGACATTTCAATGAGCTGGATCATCAGTTACAAACAAGGTTGAGCCGAGCGTACAAGCCAGCCAGCAAGTACATGAACTGCTTCTTATCCCCCCTTTTGGCTGTGGCTGCCAAACACTTGGGTTTCCTGGCAGGCTCCATATTGGCAGTGCTGATAGCACTCACTGTCTATGATGAAGACGTCCTTGCTGTGGAACACGTGCTGAGTGCTGTTACTCTACTTGGTGTTGTCGTAACTATCTGCAGGTCAGGTTACAGTGCACGAGGAAGCAGAAAAGGGATACTTTGCCCAAATAAACATCCTGAATATTATAAATACAAATTTTCAGGGTGTGTGGGGCAAATAATATATTACAGCTATTATTTAAATAGCATAGAAGGAAGAGGATTTAATCAACCAACAGTTAAAGTAACATATGTTTGCCAGTCTGTGACAATATGTCCCTAATGTTCTCTGCTTCTTGTTGGATTGTACAGGAGATGATAATGTTTAATTATTTTTGCAGGTCTTTCATTCCAGACCAGCATCTGGTGTTTTGTCCAGAGCAGCTTCTGCGGGTGATTCTAGCTCATATCCATTACATGCCTGACCACTGGCAGCGCAGTGCACACCGCTCAGAGACCCGTGGAGAATTTGCTCAGCTTTTCCAATACAAAGCAGTGAGTCACATGACCAAGACCTAATGACCAACGGCTGTAGACTTATTTTTCTAGAAATTAAAATCACACGTGTTTGTGGTTAGTTGTATTTTGCGGGATTTCAGTTAAAGAAAAATCATAAATAACAAACAACTGCATTTTCAGAAATCATTCCCCAAAATACAGAAAGCATGGTGTATGTATTCTATATTTTGTGTGATATATGGTGAAGGGTCCTGGCAAATTGTTAATTATTTACTCCACGTTCATATTAAAAAGAACTATACTAACATGGTAATCAAGAGTAAAAGCAGGAATCCTCAATAATGAACACTGGGGAACAAAGGAAGAGTGTCGATTGTACAAATTGCACAAATGCGTATTTATTTTATTTTAAGTTTTATTGAAATTTCATATAATGTAGACAATCTTTGCTTCTCTCCTCCCACTCCCTTATACATGATTCATAAAGTAAATTTCAGTTTTGCATTTGATAAGTATGTAAGTTGTATAGTTATTTCATTATTCACATGATGTACAGTTCTCTTACCGTTATCCACACACTTTCCTGTTTAGGTGAATAATCTGCCTTTACAAACATTATTGTCCTTTGTAGGAAGTTGAGGTCCTAATTAAGTTTCATTTAACATTAACTGTTGTAGCCATCTATATATTTTTTTTTAATCCCTTTTGGGTTTAATATAATATTTTCCCTGTAGGTATTTATACTAGAAGAGTTGCTCAGCCCTCTCTTGACGCCTTTAGTGCTAATTTTTCGGCTTCGCCCCAAGTCGCTAGAGATCATCGATTTTTTCCGAAACTTCACAGTGGAGGTGGTGGGAGTCGGAGACACCTGTTCATTTGCACAGATGGACGTCCGTCAGCACGGCAATCCTACGGTAAGCCAACGTGCCATGAAAACAGTTTAGGTAATGAAAAATTATAAATTACAGTAGTGAATCAAATTGTGATTTGCTTTACAGCTCAGGCGTAGTTAGCCCTGAACCAAACGGTTCTCCAGTACTCACATTGCTACTACCACTAAGTCACAAGTTCTCTGAATGAACTAATTGTCGCATGCAAAATATATATTTTTAGTAATAAGATTAACCTCTCTGCCAGGGAATTCATTGCTGTAGCTCTCACAGCTATGTCCAACCCCGTTCAGGTTTATATATCTCTTATTGATCTAGATATAATTATTTAAAAAGATCAAAATGAGCAGTCAGTCGGGGTGAGAGGGTTAAGTGCATGCAGGCATATTATGTGTTCTAAGCACAACCTGGATAATGCAGCTTTGGTGGGCTGAATGAGGAGCAATAGGTACATGTTACTGAAGATTTACACATAACAACTTCCCCTAGCCCCTAACCTTTAAATTAAATATATCTTAAAACAATTACACTGTTCAAAACCGACAAAAGCACAATGGTAAAATGACAAAGTACCTGCTTCAAGTGGTGGAACTAAAATGTAATTATAAAGAGATGGGGTAGGGCTGCGCCAGCTGAAGGGTAAAATAACCTAAAATTGTCCAAAAGAGTCTCAATAGAGCAACAATGCTTGATGGGATATAGATAAGTAGTTGTTTCAGTAGGGGTGCGCCCTAGTGTCTCAGGGTATTCGCATATATGAAAGACAAAGAAACGGGCATCCAGTAGTGCGGTACGTCTAAAATCCAATGGGTAAAATAGTAGAAGGTAGAAAACTCACATTCAAAAGAGCTATGGCCAACTCTGGTGTGAAGGGCGTACAACGATATAATCCCCGCTGCTGGGATGTGTAAAGGAAATGCGTCTATAAGCGCCGTCTGGTCATCTGAAGCTCCACGGGAAATAAAAAGAGGCGACAATAGTGCTCTGAATGGATAAAAGTAAGTAAAAGTAACTAGAATAATACTTACAGGTATAGAGAAGAAAATACTGCTCTATTAATAAGGTGTTGGTGGTATGATCCCCACCTGGGATTTCTTTAAGTGCAGGAACAATAATAAAAAGCCAGGAAAGTAAAAATAGTAGAAGTGCATAAAAATACAATAAAAAGAGAATTGGCACAATAAACTAACCAAAAACCTTTAATTGATCTAAAATACACAATTTAAAATAACCATTTACGCGTTTCACCAAAAATACTTTTTCAAAAAGGTGTACAACGGGTATTATACTGTTGTACGCCCTTCAAACCAGAGCTGGCCATAGCTCTTTTAAATGTGAGTTTTCTACCTTCTACTATTTTACCCATTGGATTTTAGACGTACCGCACTACTGGTTGCCCCTGTTTCTTTGTCTTTCATAGATGCGAATACCCTGAGACACTAGGGCGCACCTCTACTGAAACAACTACTTATCTATATCCCATCAAGCATTGTTGCTCTAGTGAGACTCTTTTGGACTATTTTACGTTATTTTACCCTTCCGCTGGTGCAGCCCTACCCCATCTCTTTGTATATTCTCATCTATTGAAGGATTTGAAGGGTCTCCTTCATTTGGTTTGCTGCCTATTTACATGTTGTTTGTTAATTCGCACTGATTTCATTTTGTTTTCTGAATAAAATGTAATTAATTATGTTCACCATTAGTATTTGTCAGGATTGGTAGGTAGTCACAACAAGCACATTTTGGTTAGATAAGATAAACAGAGGAAGTAGCCTATTACCAGCCCTTAGAAGTGACCAAAAGCGAGACTAGTCAAAGACACGCCAAGGTCAAGGGACAACAAGATAGTAAGACTAGCCAAGTTTGGGATAGGAGAAATCAGAAAGGTCAGAGAACAAGCCAAAGTTCAAAAACAATAATATTGTGGCATTATTATATAACACTCTCGCAGGCTTCTAAAGACCATTACAGGGCACAGGTCATTGTGGACTGAGTATATATAGACATTAGATGCCGGTATCGCATTGAGTAATGGACTGACGCAGAGATGGAACAGGTACCCTGACACTATTGGTTTGTAAGAAACAGTGATTCACTATGTGTATACCTTTTTGCAGTGGATGTCTGCAGGCAAGACTGAGGCATCCGTATACCAGCAGGCAGAAGATGGAAAGACGGAGCTTTCCCTCATGCATTTCGCAATCACAAACCCGCGATGGCAGCCCCCCCGTGAGTGCTCCACTTTCCTGAGTCATCTAAGGGAACAAGTGCAAAGAGACAGCACAGTAGCAACTCCCAAAAATGCCACCGGACCTGCACATCCCCTGCATTACTCTCATTTATTGACTCAAATTGACTCTGAGGTATGAACGTTCCCCCTATGTCTGTTCTCACAAATCTCACAGCGGTAAAGCTTAAGAAGGTCAAATAAATAAATAGTTGAATAATTTCATGTATATACACTTTTGCAAGTGATATGACTAGCACAATGCATTGATAAAAAGTCTGCTGTTGGTGACTGGTGCACTTTGACTCAACTTTTCTAGGTTCCCTGCAGGGTCACATCTGACTCCATAGCATTTAACAAGGGTTGCATAGATAGAACATTTCCAAAGTTTCCATCTCTGAACAATCACCATAAAGAAAAAAGAATAATATTCCTTATTAGAACTCTGAAGACTTAAAGGACCACTATAGTGCCAGGAAAACATACTCGTTTTCCTGGCACTATAGTGCCCTGAGGGTGCCCCCACCATCAGGGACCCCCTTCCGCCCGGCTCTGGAAGGGGGAAAGGGGTAAAAACTTACCTTTTTCCAGCGCTGGGCGGGGAGCTCTCTGCCTCCTCTCCTTCTCCGATCCGCCCCGTCGGCTGAATGCGCACGTGCGGCAAAAGCTGCACGCGCATTCAGCCGGTCGCATAGGAAAGCATTGATAATGCTTTCCTATGGACGCTTGTGTGCTCTCACTGTGATTTTCACAGTGAGAAGCATGCAAGCGCCTCTAGCGGCTGTCAATGAGACAGCGACTAGAGGATTTGGAGGAAGGCTTAACCCATTGATAAACATAGCAGTTTCTCTGAAACTGCTATGTTTATAAAAAAATGGGTTAACCCTAGAAGGACCAGGCACCCAGACTACTTCATTAAGCTGAAGTGGTCTGGGTGCCTAGAGTAGTCCTTTAACACTCACACTTAAAGGGATGCTATAGTCACCAGAACAACTACAGCTTAATGCATTCTATTGAGTATAGTCAGTCCCTGCAGAGAAAAGGCAGTGTTTACATTACAGCCTACGTATTCATCTAGTGGTCACTCCTCAGATTGCTGCTAGAGGTGCTTAATGGGGCAGTGCTGCACAGTGTGCAGCATTGGCATTCAATGTCTCCACCCTCTGCATGCAGACACTGAACTTTTCTTTGAGATGCATTGAATAAATGCATCTCTATGAGAAGATGCTGATTGGCCAGGGCAGCATTTGACCCTGTCCAAACCTACTTGACGATCTCCGCCAATCCAATGCTATCCCTGTAAGTGGGAAAGCATTGGATTGGCTATCATCAATTCTGATGTCAACCAAAGAGGCGGATCAGGGATGGGGCCAGCGCCTGCAGCCCCGTGGAGACCTGGAAATAAAGTAAGTTTGAACCATTTCTTAGGGGGGCATGGGTGGGGGGGGAGGGTGGGAAAGCCACCTTAATGGTGGTTTTACACTATAGGGTCAGTAATACGTTTGTATTCCTGATCCTATAGTGTTCCTTAAAGTGAGCAATTTTGAATAGTGCAAATTCGGCGTATATAACCAGTTAAAACACCAATACTTGAAGTCTCTGGTTTTTTCCAGTTGGCTTATGAAGAGATTATATTTGGTGCTGTGTGAAACCCCTTTTAAGAAATATGGTGTAAACCAAGGATCTCACAGCTCCCCCCTTACCCCATAACTAGCCTTCCATATTGCTACTGTGGATATTAGGATTCCACATTTTCAATATCCGTTTGGATGGCATTCAATGACTGAGAAGTCCACTGAAGTCCACTCAACCAGTGAAAGGCATCCAAATATGCACAAAATTGACATTGTTAATGCAGAAGTGGAACTTATACAGTAGCAGTCATGAGCAAACTGCTAATCCATGGCTGTCAAGGGAACCTAGAGTTTGTGTCAAACCAGTTAAAATGGTTTGATATGACGCCGCAGGCGGCGGAGAAACATCCAGAGCTTCAGCTATTCCCAACCTGGGAAGGATTTGGACTGAAACACAAGCTCTCGAATCCGTGAAACTGAGATGCGAGCTCTCATCTGGGGCTGGAGAGACGCCGATCTCTGCACCTGCCTGACACCGTTCCACAGCTGTTTCTATGGGCTTCCGAGTACTGGTGTCGGGTGAGGATGGACTCACCTTGCAGGACTGGTCCCCAGCTATACTCGGCTGTTATTTACTTGGACTATACCGCCATCCCACATTCATATGCCATACATTTTGTATCTTTACACTAATTTTTTTTTTTTTAATTCTTTATTTTTGTTGTGCATGGGTTTACAGCAGTGCTTGTATAGCCACAACAGCTTCCACAAGCGCATTATTATTTGAACATAGGTAAGTTATGCGTTAAAACTTGCACATTTTTACATTTAATGAGTTGTATGAACAAGCTAAGTTAAGTAATCTCCTATATGAGATTTGCATCTAATAGATAGATTGTATGTGTTAGACAAGTATGCCTAGTTTGATTGGGTGTAGGTTAGCGTTTTGTCTGGGAAGGTCTAGGCGCATGAGGAGGAGATTTTGCTTTTCATCATCTTAAGTTAGGTCAGGCTGAAGAAGCCCTGTGTAGGTGCCATATAGTGATCCCTTGGGGGGGGGGGATTGTCACTTAAGGGTTCGGGAGTATTGTGTATGTTGCTTCTCTGTGGGTAGGTCACGTTTTGCATCTGACTGAGTAGGCTCTATACTGAGCTGGTTGCCAGGGTGTGTGGTATCAGGGTTGCCTAGTGAGCATCAGGTGAGTTGGTAGGTCTCGTGCCTGAGGGTTAGTGTATAACTAGTGTAGGGAAGAGAGTGAGGGTGTGGGTATATACGCTCCATTGTGTAGTTCGCCCACTCCTGAGGGGGGTATTTGTTGGGGATTATGGGGGGTAATCGCCATCTCGGTCGTGTAATTGTCAACCCAAATTCGGGTTTTCATGACTAGCCGTCGTGTAGTTTAAAAAAATAAACTGAAGCATTAATGCTAAACGTTGAACACATTTTAAACAGTAGGGCTTTGTTGGGGTGTTCGGCTGTCTTGTCGAGTTGCGTTTAAGTATTTAGTGTTCAGTCCTGCTAAGGCTCCATTTCCCGTGATGTGGCGGCTCTCGGTGTGAATATGGCCGTGTTCACTGGGTCCCAGGCTTTGGATGGTTTGTCTTGTGTTCTTACGGTCTGGCCTGCTATGCCTAGTGATGCAAGGAAAGAGGGTATATCTGCCCCTGCTTCTAGTGTGTGGACAGTCCCGTTATGCGTAGCATACAGCGTTCCAGGGGGGCCCCATCTGTATGTCACCCCAGCTGTTCTGAGTTGGGAAGTGATCGGTGCCAATGATTTGCGCCATTGCAGTGTGGCTCGTGTGAGGTCCTGGTAGAAGGTTAGAGAGGCGCCTTCAAAGGACAGCGGTGTTTTACCCTTCAGGGCTAGCATAATCTGGGCCTTATCCTGAGAGGTGGCGCAGCGGAGTATGATGTCTTGCATTTGGCCTGGTTTTGCCGTGGGTGAGCCTGGTAGTCGAAATGTTCCTTCAATGGTTAATTTCCTGGTCACTGGGTGAGGTAAGATGGTCGCCATCAATCGCCTGGCATAGTGTGGTAGTTCATCTGCGCTAATGTTAGCAGGGACTCCCCTTATCTTAACATGGTTGCGGCGTAGTCTGTCTTCAAAGGCCGTCAGCCTGAGCGACAAGGCTGGTTGGTGCACTTGGAGCTGAGTAACTGTGTCTTTAATTGTGGTCAAGTCAGAGTTAATGCTGCCGATGTTTGTTTCAGCTTGTGTTACTCGGCCTGTGACTGCCTGTATGTCTGCTTTTATTTGCTGGAGGTCTGCAGCCCAGACCTTGTGAATGTCTGCCAGCAGTGCCTTTAAATCAGCTTTGGTAGTGGGAGCTGTGCCATCATAGGGCTCTTGGGATGGGGCCTGATCTGTCTGCAGGGCTTGTGTGATCCCTACCTCATCACTCTGCCTCGTGGCTTCAATGTGTGTAGGCTGCAGTACCTCTGTGGAGGGTGTTTTGCCCGGCGCCGGTCGTTGCAGCATGGTGCCAATATCCCTGCACTCTGCCGCTGTGTGTGGTTTTTGGGACCGACGTCCCATTGCTGGCATTTGATGTGGGGATGAGGTGTCTGGGAGTTGCAGGCTGTGTCCCACTCTGCCGATTGCGAGTAGGTCGTCCAGGCTGTAGGCTGGCGTTGCGCAGTAGGCCCCAGACCTGCGTTTTATTTTTGCCTGTCTGGGCGGCTGGAAGAACGGCATCGACGGATGCAGGAACTCTCGGTGAGGTAGGTCGGCCGGGTTGCGTCGCCTTATGGGGTAGGATGCCCGCGATTTTCGGTGGGTTTTAGGCGAATTGCGGGGAGCTGGCTGAGATGGCGTCTACCCTCGTTGGCCGCAAGCTCCGCCTCCTCTTTACACTAATTTAGCTTTGCGTTCTTGCATTATTATTATTAATAAATATATATATATATATATATATATATATATATATATATATATATACACACACGATGCAGTGCAACTGTGGCAGAGAAGATCTACACAGTGCTTACTTTAAGCTGAAGCCTCAGTAGCGTGTAGGTGTGTGGGGACTACACAGTGGTCTATATATCTTGTTTGTTTTCGATCCTTAGTTATTCCTGAAAAGCACAGTATAGCACAGTTCCTAGTTTATCTTGTCTTGTGCCTACATGCCTAAGTAGGGGTTTTAACCCCTTCAGCAACATGGCATGGGGGGTGGGAGGGAGAGGGGACCTGCAGTGCCAGGAAAACGGTTTGTTTTCCTGGCACTGGAGAAAACCCTTTAAAGATTTACAAAAAAAATGGTTTGACACAAAACTAGTAAAACCTCCAGTACCATGCTGCCGCAATAACCAAAATTATCTCAAGAAATAGATTTATAAAGATATTCCTTTGCTGCTTTATCAAGACGTAAGCATACGTGTCAGATAATTTCAATTTAATTTTCTGTTTGTGACCCTTTATTTGATTTGTAACTGCATTCCTATTTGCAGTCAACATGCAGCAGTGAATTTTAGTGTTTCTTTTTTTTCTGTATCTTTCTGTAAGTTCATTTAGCTGTCTAAATGTTTTGTGGCAATAAAATGCACTTTTATTTTTTTTGTTATTTTTTTTTTTTACAGTGTACGGCCCTTGGTTAATTTTGAATCTATTATAACTTGACAATTACTGAGTCGTCTACTCTACATGACCTTTATTATATTGCTCGAGTTTTCCTCTTCTTGTCTTATTTGCTTATTTTACTTCCCTTTCTTCCAGCCGCACAGTCTTATGGTGAACATGGTTTCTGGTATGTCTACCGGAGGGCACCTGTCTCATGGCGATGTGCCATTCTCCCCGCACGTCTCAGCTGTGTCGGAAGTGGCTACTGCCTTGCGCTCTTTGTCACCTCAACAGTCATGTCACCCAGTACAAAACCAGAGTGGAACAGGGTGAGGAAAAAGTGGAACATCTTTCAAAGAAGGAATTAATATAATTGTGTGTGTTTAAACTGAGTTTCAAGACAATGTTTACAATGGAGGCTATGGGCCAGATTGCCACAATAAATATTAGCTTCAGTATATGATTTCTTGTGTCTACAGTCTGGCTAAGATCCTTCCCCAATACTCCGCTAATTCAGCAGAGTAATCTAAAATGTTTATTACAGTTAATGATTAAATTTTGCTTTTCACTGAATCCTCTTCTAATATGGCAGGTCAATATAAAATAATATTTAGTCATTTCTGGTACATGGCTCCATTTATCTGTTTTCGAAACTTTTGTTTAAGAGTGATTAAGAATTGAGTGTCTCGTTTCCATGTAGCGCTGACTTCAGGAATGCCAGTTTTGGGAGCAGCGTGTGGGAAGGACCCATGAACAGTGGCACTTTGTCTGAATATGCATCCACCGAGATGAGTCTCCACGCACTTTACATGCACGAAGTGAGTACCTCTAAGCCAGACCTCACATCCTATGCTTTAACCAGGAGACATTGTAATAGATGGCTGCTCCCCCTTTAGACTAATTTTAGTGTTTTATTGTGCAAGAGAAACATATGGCTTACAGATATAGGCATACGTTTGAACATGTATCAACATAGGTTTGGCATAGGTATTCATAGCACAGTATACATATATATATATATATATAAAAGAGATGTAGTCGTGGTGTCAACCAGTAAGCCAGGCATGTCTAGATCCTGAAGGAGTCTGAGTGTGCCATATCTGGAGTGTGAAATAGACATGTGTAGTGTGATATATTTATGTTGGGAAGACATACGAGAGAGGCACACAGAATAGTTGTATTATGAGGGACGTGTTAGACATTAATAGCACTTCTGTCTCTTACTTCCCTTGCCAGAGTAGAGGGGTACAACCTAAGGTTCGGGTAACCATTAGCTTATATTTGTCCCCAACATGGGTCTCCTCTCACCTGATGCCACGTGTGCATTTAGCTATACCGACTGATGTCAGGCGAGGGTGGGTGGGATGAACCCTTGCAGTGCATGAGAGCTACTGGAGGCCCACCATAAGGTCGGAGAAGCCCCCAACCGTGGGTGTTGTATATCAAGATATAGGATGGTATTTCCACTGCTCGTAAGGGTGTCTTGGGTGTGTGGAAACTAGGTCGGTGAGGCATACACGGTCATGAGTGAAAAGAGAAGACAACTTAAGGAAGCTGCTCCCCTTCAGACCACCAAGAATTTGACTTTCAGAAAAATGTAGGCCGTGGTATTGTGGCTTGAAATGTTTACTTAAAGAGGAAATCCATGGTCTGAGGCTGGCAGTTGGTATAACGAAGAGGCAAAGTTTAATTACATTGAACCAGGATTATTGAGAAAATACTAAAGCGATTCCAAAGCCTGTGAATGTCTTAGCAACTATGGGTGGAAGAAACAAATGGTGGGCCTCCAGTAGCTCTCATGCACTGCAAGGGTTCAGAAATTGGGTATTTCTCTGTGTTGTTCCAGGGAGTTCAATTATATAATATAAACATTGGGCATTCATAGAGACTGGTTTGGAAATCACAGAAAAATATAGGTTGTGATGATCCTTCAAGTCTGCCTGTTTTACGTACTTTCTTCATATTCCCAAGCATTTTCAATTCCTTTATTATGTTGGCCTTTATCGGGTTAAAGCTATTCTACATATGCACTACCCTTTTATTAAAGTAATCTAATCTTCATTACTTGCTCCGTTAACCAGTCTCCTCCATCAAATCATGCCATCTTCAAATGATTTACTTTTTTAGTGAGTGATAGGGGGTGTGGGGCTAGCCATCCATTTTATGTTAATGAATTATTATCTTAATGTTGATGGATTTTTACATTATTTTATATGTTCTCTCTTCTTAGCTGCATCAGCAACACACACATATGGCACCGGGTCGTCACATTTGGCACCGCCAGGAGAGTGATGAGAGTGGTGAGAGCATGCATGGTGATACCCTTGTACACACTACATCTAATGTACCATCCTCTGCCAGCTGCCCGTCACCTGCAGCACTTTTTCAGGAAGAGAGGTTGCCATCACTGGGCACACACAGAATTAGTGCCAGCACAGGTACTGATATTTTAGTTCATCATTAATTACACATTAATCTTAAAAATAGTGTTTGCTACATTGATAAAGGGAGTATTAATCCCAAATACACTTGGATTAAGGGGGTTGATTGATTTTTAATGTTTGGTGCTTTTGCTCTATCACATAGAAAAGTTTACTGAAATTTAGAAGCAAGCAGAAGATGCAGTCACCATACTTGTACAAGACAATTCATTTCACATAAAAAGAAAGCAAGAATTTAAACAATGCACTCCCAGCACCTTGACCACGTCAGCTCGCTATGGCGCAAAGTGTCCATAGAGGCAGGTGGGGCAGCACCCTTCCCCCATCCAGTTTTTGATGCATTTAAAAATGAAAACCAAATCTACTGGTGTAGTAAGGAATAATTGTAAATCTAAACCCTGAGTGATGGCAGAAGAAACTGCATAGATGCTATGCAACTAATCCTCTCAAGATTTTGGGGTATTTTCTCTCTTTTTGGATCCCTTAGACATGCTTAGACAGCTTTAACAGGATTTCTGCCATAACTTTTGATTTTACATTGGACCAACAGATACTGGACACCCTAAATAACTCCTTTTAAAAAATATTTTTCTTTTTGTCACCTTTAGATATGGGATCCATGTCAAGACCAACATCTAGTTTAGCAAGACAGCCAATGGGAGGGTGGAGTGAAGAAGGACAATCAAGCAGACACCCGGAATCTGTACCAGAGGAGGGATCTGACGATGAATTGCCACCGCAGGTCCAGAAGGTAAATTTTCAAACTCATCTTTAACATCTTCATAATATAAGCATTATAAGCTTATTACTGTGAGGGTTAACAGCTTTTCTTTATAACCTACCCTCTGCGATTGTTATTGCAGTTGTAGACATCAAGAAGTCCTCCGAAGAGGATGTCTGTCGACATTTCCCCACATCGTCTTCATTGCTTTATTTCTTGTTGATCAGGAGAGAAAGTAGGAACTTTTTGTTCGTGTATTCATGTGCCAGGATGAGCGATTATATGATCTATCCATAAGACTCTTTACACATGCATGTGACTATTCTGCTGGATTCCACGTGTTTGGTTTGTATGCATATTGTGGATCTTTTTAAAGGGACGCTTTAGACTGGCTTTGACCCATTCTGGTTTTTAAATTATATAGATAATATGCATAAAAATATGCAAAAGAGAAACAATGTCAAAAAATAAATCATAAAAATGCATTAAATGAATAACTTCAGTCATTGTTGTTCCTGTAATGACGTCTACTAATACACCTAAATGACAGTCATGCACACTGTAATGTCCTATAGCACTGCTGATCTCATCCCATAAACAGTGCTTTTATGAGAGCAATGTATCCTGGGAGTTGTAGTTCATTTGCCATTTGCCCGCTATCTATTAAACTACCAATTCAGCTACAATTTTCAGAAATACATCATGACCTCATGTACAGCAGCATTTTGCCAAACTAGCTGAGCTGGAAAGGTTCTCCAAGTCAGCAATGCTTTTGTTTTGGTTATTTTAGCCTAAAAGTTTAAATTCACTTTGATCTATCAGCATTTCACCATATAGAGAAAAACCCTGTGTGGAAAAGAGGAAAATTTTTTCAGTAATTAGCAAATCTAATTATTGGGGGGGGACGGGACCTAATGAATATTAATTTAAAACCTCATCTAGCATAATTAAACCTACACATTACCCGGAATATGTTGTGGGTGCCTGGAGTGCCCCTTTGAGTACTAGAACAGAAAGCACTGACATGGCAGAAATATTGTACAGATGTCTTTGCTGCTTATCCATTGTGTACATTACTTCTGTAAATGCTGTCTATTCTAATTCAGCACTGAAAATCTCTTTCTCCATATACATTACCCAGAATGCAAGACATTTTAGTGTGTTTGCTTGTTGGAGGCCACAAATGAGTGTTTTAATAATCTTTTTGCATGATAGGAGTGCGGTGCTTATATGGACATAGTATGTAGCAGAGGATTGTTGGAATTGTAGTCAAAGGTTCTATACTCACAGGAAGTCTACTTCTAACCCAGACACTGTGGGCCTGTATGCTTGTGTGAGGCTGTTTTCCTGTGTACCTCCATAACACTGATATGTTTAAAAGGCACATACATTCTGCAATGTTTTGTATAGAAATTGTATATTGCATATTTTGTACCATTGTAAAAAAACTCTAAATAAAGATTAACTATATGTACGGTCTTCAATTAGGCTTTCTCTCTATTTTCTAGCGCCTACTAATTCTTCATAAATAGTATACAATAAGAAATAGGTGAGGGCACACTCCTATTTCTTATTGTATACTGTTTATTTTTATGTGTTTTGAGTGACACACATATGGTGATAGGAGCACCTCTCTTTGTTCTGGATATTTTATTATTTTAGCCTTACACTTTTTCACTTTTGATTCTTCATAAATGCTGATAATATTTCTTTAATTTCAGATCTTTATTTCACTTGAATCGTCAAAATAAGACCGTAATAGAGCTGAAATGCTGTTGGAAGCTGTAACACACAAAATGTAACCACTTTAACTATGTACCATGTTGATGTATTCAGTGTCTTCGCTCCCATGTACTCGGAGATCATCTAAATTGATGTTAAATATACCTAACTGGAAAACTTTAAAGAGACTCTCTAAACACCCTAACTACATATTGTAACAAACCACCTCTTTTGCAGGTAGGATTTTGTCACAGATCTTACAGTAATCACAGCCTTCTAGGGTTATCAAAGTCCAGGACACATTCAGTTCGGTTTTCCTTTTTATTTGATAGGATAAACAGGTGCTTTAAATAATAATAAACAAAACAAAATTCCTTGCTCTTACTTGAGCTCTTACTAAACAGAAATCACTATCTGTAATTGGGTGGCTTTCCCACTTACCAATTTTCCAAAAACACAAAATAGAATTTGCAATAAACACAATTGTTCCTTTCCTATCCTTCTTTCCTTTCCTTCTTCCCTTTCCCCTCCTCCTGTTCCCTTTCCCCTCCCCTTCCCCTTCCCTTTTTTGGACCTGTTTGCTGGCTGCCTGGTTCTTGATCCTAAGGGACATGTTAAGAAAGAGCTAGGCCTGAAAGCCACAAGTGCCTGCGGGAGAGTCCAAGTTAGAGAGGGCAATAACTGCCTGGAAGGAGAGAGCTGCAGCCTGTTGTGGTTGAAGAGCTCCTCAGAGATCCCAGTTAAGCTTTGGCCACTGGCTCTAAAGCGCTCCAGAGTCCCTGGTAGCAGAGAGGACACTGACCTGGTGGAGGTACTCAGTCGGAGTGCAGGAGCTCCTCTACAAGGACGTACACAGAATGACTTTTTCCAGAATTGCTGTGTGAGGTTATGCTGTGTACTGGGTTCAGATTTGCTAAAGAGGTGATAATTGGTCATATGATTTGGTGGCCTTATTAAATTGCTGAATAAATTGTTAAATACTTCCAACATTATCTTCCCTGCAATGCAAGCGTGCCTACTAGTTCTTCTAACACAGTTGTTCATAGAAAGTTGATAGTGTCAGTAATTAACCCCTTAAGGACACATGATGGAAATATTCCGTCATGATTCCATTTTATTCCACAAGTTGTGTCCTTAAGGGGTTAAATACGCTGAAACATTTGATAGGAAAGCAAGGCAAATGCCAGTCCAGTTTGCCTATATCCATTCTTACAGTATCCGAAACCCCACTCTCCCGGGTGTACCTATATCCTCTCTCTTTGTTCCCACTCACCTACGATAATTAAATCTTATAAAACACTTGATAGAAATGTACGGTAAATTCTATTGTGCGTAGACTGCCTCCACCCAGTCAGATGTCATTCAAGGTGGCTCACGTCCCTCCATACATGTGCAGCTATGTCCCTTCCATTTGTTACTAACTGACCTACTATTATTAAAGTAACACTATAGTCACCTAAATTACTTTAGCTAAATAAAGCAGTTTTAGTGTATAGATCATTCCCCTGCAATTTCACTGCTCAATTCACTGTCAATTAGGAGTAAAATCACTTTGTTTCTGTTTATGCAGCCCTAGCCACACCTCCCCTGGCTATGATTGACAGAGCCTGCGTGAAAAAAAAACCAGATGTAATTTACCTTAAATAATTGTATCTCAATCTCTAAATTGAACTTTAATCACATACAGGAGGCTCTTGCAGGGTCTAGCAAGCTATTAACATAGCAGGGGATAAGAAAATCTTAATTAAACAGAACTTGCAATAAAGAAAGCCTAAATAGGGCTCTCTTTACAGGAAGTGTTTATGGAAGGCTGTGCAAGTCACATGCAGGGAGGTGTGACTAGGGTTCATAAACAAAGGGATTTAACTCCTAAATGGCAGAGGATTGAGCAGTGAGGCTGCAGGGGCATGTTCTATACACCAAAACTGCTTCATTAAGCTAAAGTTGTTCAGGTGACTATAGTGTCCCTTTAATGAGAAACTATAGTTCCTGGCACTTTAGCTTTCCCCTGTGGTGCAGAAGTGGTTAATAACATCTGCCGGTGGGGCGACCTAATGTGCATTAGGATTAGGATTTCCCCATAGGAAATCCTATGGGGATTCCGGTGACGCTGGACGTCCTCATGCTTAGCGTGAGGGTGACCAGAAGTCGTCTAAGCATCCGGAAGTCGCTCTAGTGTCAGTCTGGTAGACATCCACTAGAGGAGGAGTTAACCCTTGCAGGTAATTATTGCAGTTTATAAAAACTGCAATAATTACCACTCTAGGGTTAAGGGTGATGGGAGTTTGCACCCAGACCACATCAAAGAGCTAAAGTGGTCTGGGTGCCTACAGTATCCGTTTAAATACGTATACTATTTAATAGGAATGCAATGTAAACTTTGTTTTGCTCAGTATGTCAGATCTCCCTCTGTAGAGCGTTTGAGACCTTCCCAGCTGTAAATATATCCTCACTCTTGTTTCCACTACAATAATTATATATGCTAAAACACTTGATAGGATTACAAGGTAATATTTATTTTCCCACTCAGTCAGAACTCCAGTGTGCCTACAGAATTTGGATGGAACTGCATCCGTTGGAATGGGAAGCATTGCCAGTGTGGGAAGGGTTTATGGGAAAAGCACAGTGTTGATCAAGAATTTGCAGGACGGAGTTAAAGTTGGGGTAAGGATTGAGGGGTAAGTGGCTCTGAAGGGTCACTCTGATGAATTGGGGGGGTTGCTGTTAGAAATTAAATTACCTGGATTAAAGCTTGAGCTGAGCAGGGGAATGAAAAATGGGATTCATTTTGGGACTGCTTAGAATAGGGAGGGGGGTGATAGAGAAGTGGTCACACTTGAAGGATGAAATGAAGACTCCAAGCACCATAAGCACTACAGCTCTCTGCCAGGAGTGTTCTGGTGCCCCCTACTGTAAGTAGTCAAACCCTTTTAGAACAATTTGGCTTCTTAAAAATTGTCCCTACCTACCTCCTAAGCAGAAGCTTCCTTTAATTTGCCTGAGCCAAGCCCTACAATGCATCTGTCAATGAGATAAGCCCTGCACCTCCTGGAACCATAACCACTTTATCATTCTTTAGTTTGTGGACTGCACAGCGTGCAGAATAAAGGGTATCTGTATGCATTAAAAGAGATTACATTAGAAATGAAGCTAAACGTGGGGGGGAGGGGGATGATTAGCAATTTGCTGTATGGAAAGGGTTAATGTGTGGATTGTGGTGACCATGAAGGGTAAGGGGATAAAGAGGGGATAATATGGTCATTGAAGGGGTTAATATGAAAGGGGAATAATATCTAACAAATAATAAGTCAAAAAGGACCCTAATACTAACAGCAGTTCGTTTCCTATCTTTCTGAAGTTCTCTACACAGCACGTTCTCGAGTTGCAACATTGTATTTACACACATTGTATAGAAATTATTAACAGTATCTATAGTGGTGGGAATGTAAACCGCTTGATCCTGGCAGAGGGGACAATAAATAAAATTAGAATATTATTTCCTATTAATGTCTATAGGAATGTATCTTTTATCACTCACCCTTGCCTTTTATTTTATTAACACCCACCTAACACTACCAGGTTTTCCAGCAAAGTGATAATTTATGATGAATTCAAAGTCAATTCTAAATTTAGGTCCAAATGGCCAAATTGTAAGAATTCTCTCAGTCTAGCTGTGATTTGCATTCAGCTACAATGACCTAAAATTAGAAATTCACTTTAAAATCACCTTAAATTCTCACTTTAATAAATCACTGTATATGAATATATCTCTGACAGCATAGACAATAAACACATTAGCTGGAGTTCTGGAATGTGTGTCCTCTTCCATGACACCATGGACTGCCTGTCACTGGACAAAAACAAGCAGCTCAATAACAGCTCTCTTTGGGAGTACCAAGATGGCCGACTAGCCCGCCCCCTCGACTTGATTGACAGCTCATTCGAGCTACCGGATTGGACAAGCCGCTAACGTGTGCCCAGTCCCCGGGGTAACGAAGAGGAAGTGACGCTAGTTCCGGGTGTGTGAAGTTCCATCCTGGGATTTGGTGAGTGAGTGTCTTGGGGGCTGATTATAGGTGTCAGAGTGTCAGTGAGGTTTATTGGAGTGTGGTGGGGGCTGTGCTTATCCAGGTGGGGGGTTAATAATAATAAAGGGTTATGGTGGGGGTAGTATGGGGTGAGGCCTAGCTGTGGGTGTTGGTTATCTGTCCCCCCACTTCTAATTCTGAATAATGTTGTTATTATTATTATTATTATTATTATCATCATCAGCTATTTAATGTTATTATTTTATCAGCTATTTAATGTTGTTATTATTAGCTATTTAATGTTGATGATGATATCAGCTGTTTAATATTGTTATTATTAGCTGTTTAATGTTGTTGTTGTTGTTGTTATTAAATGTCAGAAGGGTTGCCTTTCTGTCCCCCATTATTTTTTTGTGTGTGTATATTTTGTAATAACCCTGCCTGCACAAACTATGAAAATACTGTGTGTGTGTCTGTCATATTAGAAATTATGGGATCACTTGACAGACACCCACCTTTTTGCCACCCAAGATATATATATAATTTTGTTTTGCAGCAATAATTAACCTATATCCATGATTTGGCAAGTGTGAGAGCTTTATTTTTTTTTACAACTGTGGTTATTAATTACACATTTTATTGGGAAATATTGGGCCTAAATAACCCAACAGGAATGTTAGCTGAGTTTGGAAAGGTGGTCCACATTTAGTATTTTACCTAAAAAATTTCTAATTCATTTTTTTTTTCCCCTTTCAATTCCCCCTTTACTAAATAAATACCAACTCAGATAAACATTGATACTTTTGATATTGCATTCTTTATACCCTAAAATATATATATATACACACACCCACCCCCACCTCTTTGGTGTTTACTAATAAACCACTGATTGAATAGCTAAGGATCCTAGGCTGAAATGCTTAGTCATTGTGGATAGTTGTCACATGAAATAGACTCATATTGTTGGTGTTTTATTACTTAAATAATTATAATTCAAGAGATGATGTATCACTCCTCGTGTGCTTGCCATGCTTGCAGTGGGCAGCATAAATCTTGGCATTCACAATATGTCAAGGGTGTTGATTCCACGTTCACCAGATGTTGTTGTTCATTAACACCTTCATGTTATTTTTAAACACATTTCACCAAATATATTTTGTGCTGTTTATATATCATAAATAGGATTAATCCAAGTGATACTTTTTATTCCTGTGTGGATCTTGTAATACGATATCCACAATGTTCACTACTTTTCGATCCCTATGACCCTCCATTAAAGGTGTTGTGTATTACTGGAGCTTTTAATGAACTTCCTACTTCTAGTAGTAAACAGATTAACACTCCACCAGGTGGTGGCTGGGTGTATTTTCTCCATATCTCCTATAGTCCCAAATGCAGAAGATAGCAAAGAATTTGGAGCCGCACACCAGGCTTGCATTGATTGGATCATCTTAATTTACAACAAACGTAAGACCGTCTGCCAGGTTTATCCAACCTTTTTGGTGGATTGAAGTCGTTCTGCTCTGCTGCTCCTGCTATTTATATTCTGCTCTTAGTATGACAGTATTTGTAGACATTCAGCTGATTTTTGAGGACTATAGAATTTAATCAGATACCCAGCTTCCCTTTGCCAACTTTTCGATTGGCAAAGGATCATGGGAGTTGCAGTTTCAGTATCCTTGCATTCCAAGGTCCGACTGCATTGAACTCAAGATAAAACTTCTGAACTACTAAAAGGTTGCAAAGGGTCTGTTTTTTTTATTTTTTATTTTTTTATTTCTGGGGTCAGCCAGTTTTTCTCAAACCACTCCAAACAAGCAAGTCTGATAGCGAAGCAATGGGCAGCACACAAAAACTCATTGAGCCATTTAATGAGCTGATGTATGTATGGCTCAGAGTGGTCAGTAAAATTCTGATTTTTAGTACTGATTTTTAGTGTATATTAATTAGCAAACACCAGCACAATCAGTGTTTAGTAAGTCCTCAGCAGTTTACGGAGTTTGTTTCCTTTGCGATGTGCAATACTTACATAACCAGCTACACAGTATTTTGCTTCCTAACAATTTTTGGATTACAGCAGAATTGTATTTTAGGCACTTTAAAGTGTTAGTCCAACTCTTCATTACCATTTTATTTTTATACTTATAATGCCGTTACTTGCCTCCCAAACTATATTGTAATTGAAAACATTATTACATTTACATTAATCTACCTGGAATGCAGCGCCTGGCAAAGCTGTAGTCACTGCTTTAGGGTGAGCGAGAATAAAAACAAAATGCAAACTAATACAGGACTGGATAGGGAGGTTGGGAGAGAACATGTGAGCAAAGGAGGGGGAAAGAGGACACGCAGACTTCTACTTGCAGGTAGCTAACAGCAGGTGTAGAGCCTGATTACATCTGTCGCTATCTTGCAGTACTTGCTGACGGCAAATGTAATTTTTGCACAGAATTATCATTCGGCAGCCCTGAACAGTGTGTGCCAGGGGTGCAATTAGACCGAAGTACAAATTACTCTGTACAGGAAGCGTCTCAAGCAGAAACACTGCACATACAGATTGCTTGCTCTGTGATCACTTCTAAAAGCCAAAGTTAGACTTGGCTATTTACAGGTCTTCCACAGCACTCAGGTTGGGAAACATTGACATTGAGGCACTCTTAGTTTTAAGATCTTTGCACAAACAAATGGCTAGCTAAATTTCATTAGGTTCAGTTTTATTTAATTTTGCAAATCAGTCAACCCCTGCAGTGCTGAACACTCGGTACACGCACATGTATAGTGCCGACAAAGTAAATGTCACATGAGCATTGTTTTTTTTTTTTTTTTACTTGCTTCCACTGCTATACTTCTCACCCTGGTAAATGGTGCAAGGACGCAGGTTATGGTGCTTAGACTTCCCGTTTAGGGATCGACTGGTTATCGGGTTTGCTGATATTCGGTATTTTCGGCAATATCAGTATCGGCCAATAAAGATACCGATATTGCCTATAATACATAACAGGACCGCCGGGCCCATTACAAGCCTGGCGGTCCTGGGGGGCCGGCAGCAAGCGCTTACTTACCTTTCCAGCAGCTCCCTTCCACTCCCTGTGTAAATCTCGCAAGTCCCGCGGCCGTCAGAGCATTGCCAGAGGTTACCATGGCAACGCCCCGCGAGGCACACAGGCCGCAAGATTTACACAGGGAGCTGCTGCAAAGGTAAGTTACAGCTTGCTGCTGACCCCCACTGCCCATCCATGCCACCCGACCACCAGGGAATTCCATAGCCCCCCTCCCTGGCCAGGCAACAAGCAGGGAGGGGGGACAAAAAAATTAAAATAAATATTAAAATAAAAAATGCCCTCCCTCTCCCCCCATTTTACACAAATCACATCCCTTCAGGAACACACACACACTCTGCATTATATACACACACTACACACTCTGCATTATATACACACACTACACACTGTATATAATGCAGTGTGTGTGTGTGTATATATAATGTAGTGTGTATATAATGCAGAGTGTGTGTGTGTGTGTGTGTGTGTATATAATGCACACACTACACACTCTGCATTATATACGCACACACTACACACTCTGCATTATATACGCACACACTACCTTATATACACACTACACACTATTCAATATATATATACACACACTATACCAACACACTGCATTCACTTTACGCACACGAGACACTGCATTCACTTTATGCACACTAGACACTGCATTCACTATACGCACACCACACACTGCATTCACTATATACACACTGCACACACTTTACGCACAATGCATTCACTTTACACATGACACACTACATTCACTATACACACACGACACATACACATGTTGCATTCATTATATACACACTACACAAACAGTGACTGCATTAACTATACACACTACACAAACACACCCTGCATTCATTATATATACACACACACACACACACCGCTCCCCTGTCTAAACACACTGCATCCACTACATGTGCATGTATATTTTGTGCATTTACCTTTAGAAATAGTTTATTTTTTCAAAATGGTAAATGTACAGGTTATCGGCTATCGGCCTGAAAGTTCACAGATTATCGGTATCGGCTCTAAAAAAATCAATATCGGTCGATCCCTATTCCCGTTTAGGGATAGTCTATTCCATTTACACCTATAACCAATATGCAAGGTGCAAAATTCAGTTAAAAACTGCTAGATGTAAAAATCTTCAATTGTGTTGTGAATTTTTAAAATACTGCTCTCTGTTTAGTGAATAATCTCCCAAATTTACCAGGGAATGTGGTTGGGGAAGGTTTTGTATTTTGCCGTGATTGTTAAAAACAAACTATAAATGAACAGTTTTATGACTCATCCGCTATTTCTAATATTAATTATTTCTATTCTCTGCAAAGAACACAGAATGGAGTTTCCTGACCTTGGCAAGCATTGTTCGGAATCCACGTGCAAACAGCTGGGTAGGTCAGACAACACATAGTTGTTTATTTAAAGAAAATCTATTCTGTAACCAAAATCTGTTAGTTTGTTTTGTTTGTTTTCTAAAATATGCCGCCTTGGTTTTTTTTTTTTTTTTTAATTCTTTATTTTTGTGGACACAGCATTCATACAGCAATTTTATTTTAAGACATTGCGATACAATATGGCTAAACCGTAATAGTGTCACAGATAATGAGTGTACAGTGCCCCTTTAAAAGTTATATAGGTATGGTTAAGGAAACATTCAAAAATCAAACGAGAAAACAAATAGTCTGATAGCAGCAAATATGAGATAAGCATCTTCCCTCTATACAGAATATGCATGGAGACTGGCTTAAGATGGACACATGAGAATTACTGTTAGTTATAACCAAGCTTATACGTAATAATACGGTGATTTACTGTATATGTTGCTGAGATGCTGCCAGAGAGTAACCAGCTGCCGGAGAGTTATAGGCTAAGCCTAAAACCAGACTATTAAAGGTTAATACCACCACACCAGCGAGAGCTCCCTACCTCTATGCAAAATTTAAGAGAATGAGTGATCAACAGAAATTAAGTAAAACAGAGAAATGATGCAGTGCAATCAGTTTGCAATAAAGCTTGATGGTCCAGCTGGCGAGTGAGAATGCTTGAGTCAATCAGCCTATGCCCATGCTGTAGAAGGCTTGCAGACACTGCATGTGGGTCAGATCCGCTGAGCATGCACCCCATCCTCTCCATAGACAGTCCTGCCCTTGGGACCAGTAATGTCCACAGACCCAAGCAACTAGGGTACGATCCCGGGGAAGATCCTGGTGAGGCGATTTCTCTTGGGCATGTTGATAGTGCTCAGGTTGGAGCCCCCTCTGGGCTGCTGGCCCCAAACGCAAGGAACAGTCAGCGGGAGCGCTGGGAGGTAAAGGCTCAGCTGGTGAGTAAACGCGTGTTGCCCTCATCTCCAGTCGGTGCCAGAATTGCACACATACTAGGTCAAATCAGGAGCAGAAGGCCTCTCTCCAGCGGATCCACCGTCGAGCCTTCTGTGAGCCAGAGATCCCCTGCCATCGTGAGAGAGAATATGCCTTCTTTTTAAAGTTATTGCTTAGATAATCTAGAGAATTTTATCTTGTGTGTCTTCCACCTGAGGCTAAGCAAGGCCCATGCAGATTGATAGAAAATGACCTCCAATTTTTCAATGCACTATATAAAAAAATCTTCCTCAAGGATACTTGCCCTCAGCGTTTCTTGTAAATGCAGTTTTACAAGGAATCCTATTTATGTTACAAACAAAAAGGATTACAGAGTATTTGTTTTATCTATAACGTGTTTTCTTTCTTGTTTGTTGTTGCTGCGTGTAGCAAAGTGGTAAATATGAAATCTAATGAGGAAATTGTTCTTTGGAATTATTTTTTGTCATGAAACTATGTAAAATCTCACTTTTTTGTTTCATAGATTTCCTGCCTTTAAAATGTGATGCCTGTGAACAAATATTCTGCAAAGATCACATCACATATGTCCTGCACAACTGTACCTCCGCATATAAGAAGGTAATTCATTTTATATTTAGATGTATGTAGTGTAGACATGTATTAGGTTCTCTCCCTCCTAATAGAGTTCTAATATGTTCTGCAGGATGTACAGGTTCCTGTTTGTCCTCTTTGCAATATCCCTATCCCTGTGACCCGGGGACAGACTCCTGATATTGTAGTTGGCGACCATATTGATCGGGATTGCAAATCTGACCCAGCGCAGCAGAAGCGCAAGGTGAGTGGTGTACTGGTAGCTTCTTTGAGTGATCAGAGTCTAATTTAGAACCAGCATCTCCCTTCGATGTTTCTTTACACTTTTTGATTATAGTTTTTGGTCTTGGTTGTTTATTTTACTATGTACATTTTTTTTCTTTTCTTTTTTTTTTCTTCTTCAGATTTTCACCAATAAGTGTGGAAAACTGGGATGCAAGCAGAAAGAGCTAATGAAGGTGATTTGTAACGACTGTCATGGAAACTTCTGCCTTAAACACAGACACCCCCTTGATCATGACTGCAAAGGGAGGAGTGCCCCAACCTCCATGGCTGGGTGAGTGCAACCATCTGCCACAATCATATTGAAAGTTCCTTGTAAAGGCAGATCTGGGGCAAAATTCTAAAAGTGATTCAATCTCTATGTTTTAAATATGTTTATTGGTTTCACAACATGCGTTTTAGTGCAAATGTATTTGTATTTAAGCGGGTAAACGTAGTTTTTAGTACATATATAAGTATGCAAGGTGTTGCCTGCGCAGAGGCATATTAATCGAGTCATCAGTTTTACAGCAAGTAGATTCATCTTTGGACATGTGCGTTTTGTAACATTTGCCATGTTAGGTTCCTGATCATGTGTTTATGCTATCTGATGTGATTCAGGGTTAAGTTTATGTAATCATCCCGTGTTGGCTGATTTATGTAGTTGCTTTATATTTGTTGGTTTATGGTAACTGGTTTATGCAGCTGGTTTATGGTAACTGGTTTATGGTAACTGGTTTATGGTAACTGGTTTATGCCGTTGGTTTATGGCAACTGGTTTATGGCAACTGGTTTATGGCAACTGGTTTATGCAGTTGGTTTATGGTAACTGGTTTATGCCGTTGGTTTGTGCAGCTGGTTTATGGTAACTGGTTTGTGCAGCTGGTTTATGGTAACTGGTTTGTGCAGCTGGTTTATGGTAACTGGTTTGTGCAGCTGGTTTATGGTAACTGGTTTGTGCAGTTGGTTTATGGTAACTGGTTTGTGCAGCTGGTTTATGGTAACTGGTTTGTGCAGTTGGTTTATGGTAACTGGTTTGTGCAGTTGGTTTATGGTAACTGGTTTGTGCAGTTAGTTTATGGTAACTGGTTTGTGCAAGTGTTTTGCGTTAGCTGGTTATGTGGTTGCTTCGTGTTAGCTGTTTTAAGTAGTTACGTTTTGTTAGCTGGTTTATGCCGTTGGTTTGCGTTAGCTGGTTGGTGTATTTGCTAGGCGTTAGCTGGTTTAAGCAAGTGTCTTATGGTAGCTGGTTTGTGCAGGCGCTTTGTGTCAGTTAGTTTGGGTGGTTGCTTGGGCATTGTGTATTACAATGCAGTAATTAGGCAGTTAAGTAGGCAGTAGTAAGACATTAAAGGCTTATAATAGTAACTAACAACCTATCGTCTTGTCCTTGCTGCTAGGTCGGGTGCTTATCGATCTGTACTACCCTGCACAATTTCAAGTAGAAGACGAATGCACTCCGCATCTAATAATCATTTGGGATTGAGTAAAAACATAGCATTAAGTCCTTGCTGCCTGGTCTAATTCTTATCGATCTATCTTGCATTTTTATATCCAAATAAAATATATTGACAAACACATTACACCAGATGCATTGTTAGTGTCTAGTCTGTTATTAGTCTGGTTTAGGAACTTTAGGGAGCAGTGGACATGCTTAACTGGGCTATCTAACAGTCCCTGAATTCCGTAAAGACATGCATGTTTATGCTAAGGACTTAGAAAGTAAATGCTTAAGTAAAAAGGAAAAATGTGAACAGTAATGCGGAAGTATGGCCTTGTCAGTCCGCTCGGCCGTCTGGTGGGAGTCTCTCATGGCACTGCTACCACACTATCCCTGGGGCGCCAGGACTCTTTCCATCTTCCCCCTGCCGATCTCCGTTCACCGGTCGGGGCCCCCGCAGTGCCATGGGCACTCAGGAGCCTTTACAGACCGTTGGACCCCACCACAAAAGTCCTCTGGCCGTCCGCTCCCTGCACCTCCCCAGCTCCACATGGGTCTCTTGATGCGTGCACTCCTGTGTCTCGCCCGGTGCCGGCCACATGTTTGGGGCTGGTGTCCAACCCTCACGACCACTGGTCCGTCGGGAGGGTGGCACAGTCCCGCCACACCGGGCTCACGGCGTCGGGGACTAGGCTCTCTGGCCCTGGGTACCCACTTCTCCAGCGGTCCAGGTCTCAGCATGGGCCTTTGTGAGCCGTCCATGTCAGTCCCCCTGGTGTTTCTCTGCCGAAGGTAAGTCCTCGGGCAGGCTCCATTCCAGTAGCCTTTGCCCGTTTAGGTGGTCGGTTCGGACCCCACGCGGTATCTTCCGCCCTGGAGTGTGCCGCCACCATGTGGCCAGGATCGTCTCCCCCCCAGCCAAGGGGGGAACAGGGCCGTGCCGCCTCTTCCAGCTGTGCATTCTTCCACACAGCTATTCTAGCTGGCATATCGCTATCTCCGGGCTGCCAATCATTTATCTGTGTGTCCTCGGGAGCCGCCATTGTCCATGCTTGTGATGGTGAGTAGGCCCGCTTCTTTATTTGCGGTGTTCCTGGCTCGAAGCCTGCTCCTATTTGGGATCTCCGTGTAGCTTAGATGTTGCTGGTTAATTATATGTCGGTCATTTCTGTTTTAGGGCCGTCTGAGCGCTGATTTTTGCTGTTTTTCCAGGCTCAGTGTTCTGCTGCCTCTCAGCTCGGCGGCCCCGCCCTGCCCCGTGATTCAATCTCTATGGAAACAAATAGTTACTGTTACTCTAGACTGCTCAACGTTTTAAACTTTGCCAAATGTGTTTTTTGCATATAACCCTCATTTTGTGTGATTTGCTGACTTTGTTTAAATAATTAGGTTTGTTTGTGTTTTTTGGCAGCCACGCATTTAAAAAAACTGTATTTTGCCAAAAAAACTTTAGTCAGATGTTGCGTTACAAATAAATCTCTCAAGCAACAGTTCCACTTTAAATTAACATTGAGTAAAATAAAAATATCTAATAATAATATTTCAGCTGGTAACTTTTAACTTGTTTGCAGACATGCAGCATTAATGAGGAGTCAGGCCTCGACTTCAAAGACTTCTGTATCTTCGAGCTCCGCAGCCCCCCGACCTGCTGCCCAGCCGCAACGCAACAGGTAGAGTACCTTAGGATGTAGGCAGAACACTTAATGTAGCAGACAGAGTAACTCAAAGTGGGAGGTTTTAATAAAACACCGTTTTTGGTTAGAGTACCCCTTAATGGCATGCCCACAAAAGATAAAAATAATAATTAAGAAAGAAAGGAATAATGTACCTGTGATCCCACATCAAAGCCAAGTTCTACCTGTAGCCGATTCTCCTCTGGTGATGCCATTCCCTCTCACTGTATTGGTAGGAAGGACAATGGTGCCACCATTGGACATATGTAGCCAACATGCTATTCTCCCACAGACACTAAATATACATAGATTTAACATTAGCCGGCCTTTGTAATTACACTTCTAGAGGTGGAGTTGCACCAGGCTATATCTCCATATGTGCAGTATTTCACACGCAGACTCTGTGCACCATTACCACTTCAAACCAGTGAAGTGGTTGTGGTGCTTGGAGTAACCCCCTAAAGTAGCGAGCAAAGCAAGAACATATCAAGTGAACTAGCTCAAGGGTGGGCAGCAAATGGGATTTATCAGTGTTTACACAGTAAAGAGTGAACTTCTATATATATATTCTTCATATATCTTAAGGATTTATCACAGAAGCCATTAATTGGCAGTTCGCCATATGTATGCCTATGCCATTGATTATGTAATATAATGTATATCTTCATGTTTTTCAGGGCCAGTGTTCCTACTGCTAGGCTCCCTAGCGTACAGCCTGTGGCCCCTGTAGCAGCAGCCTCTTTGCAGAATGGTTTGGTTAGTATGCCTTACCTCCCCTAGACTGTAAGCTCCTTTGAGCAGGGTCCTCATTTACCTATTGTTCCTGTAACATTTTGTTATTGCCTCATTTGTTAAATTCCCCTTTTTAATGTAAAGTGCTGCGGAATAAGCTGGCGCTATATAAAAAGCAATAATAATAATATGCAGCCCACTAGCCGACCTCAAGCTCCCTCTAGCTTTCTCTAACAACCCCTCTTACACAATCTCTAAGCACTCACATTGCAAACGTATCTATCCCCTCCAGCCATCCTCTCGTTGTATAATTTATTATTTTTAAAAACTTTTTTTTTTTTTTTTTAAATCTGCAATTCACATATTTCCCTCTTAAATTTTTTTAAAAGCCAGTCTTTCTGCATTTACTCTTTAACAATATGTATCGGATAATATAGCATTCTATATCATTTTGTAAGAATACGGGGAGCCTATCCATTGACTTATTGTGCAGTGTTCAATCTGGTTGAGGCAGATAAAGATTTCATAATTGCTGTTCTGGGTTCACTGTTTAGATAGCGTTTTATTTTCAAGAGAAGCCATTTGATATGGAGTTGTATAATATCCTGTGTTTAACCAAAACAACAAAAGCATAACCCAAAACCCTGCTCTTCTGAAATCTAACTTAGCCTGTTTTAGTATATTCACTGTGGTTTAATTAAAATAGGGGGAAAAAGGTAAAAGATCAAAGCCCAATGTTGGCTATATATATATATATATATATATATATATATATATATACAGTGGTACCTCGGTTAACATAATTTTCGGTTAACAAATGAAAATGCATTGAAAATAATGCCTTGGTTTTTACAAATTTTTTTTGCAATACAAAGCAAGTTTCGCCAGGATTCATTGCGCCTGGTAGGTTTATAGCGCCGCCCGTGCATGCTGGAGTCTGTGGGTAGCACGTGGTGCCGAGTGTGGAGGTGTTGGAGCGGCTTTTGCATTGGGTTTTGGAGCCATTCTGGAAATATTTTGCAGCGGTTTTGGGACTTTTTGGGACTTTTTTAGTGCATTTCTCAAGCAGGGGAAAGGTAGGGAGCTGAGCTCTGTCGTTTGCATGCCTTTTACTGTGTGTTCTGCTTTGTGAGTTGGTTTCAATGCCAGCTCATTTTGACTTTTTTCTGACCTCCTGAATGGATTAATTGGTTTTCAATGCATTTCTATGGGAAGCTGCGTTTTTTGGTTTACAAATTTTTCGCAATATGTAACGTCCCGGAGAACGCATTAAATTCGTAAACCGATGTACCACTGTATAGTCAGCTTATAGATTGTTACTTTTGAAGACTGATCTCTCCAATGCTACTGTATCGTTTTTTATTAAACCCTTTTATAATTTTTTTTTTTTATAATTCTTTATTTTTCAATGACAGAGAAAAAAGTAATGCACTATGCAGTCATATGGCTTACGCAGAAGCCGCACTGTGGTTACAATACAGATCAAATGTTACCAAAAGGAGGTATATGCGGTGTTCGTATCATTTCATGTGCATCAATTGCATTTGGGATCTGGCTGTCATTGGTTTTGCCAGAATTATACACAGATAGACATAAAAACCCTTTTATAAATTTGATTCTGTAATAAAGCATTATTACACTGTTCCTTCAGTCTTTCCATTGCACCTGTCATCCCTGCAGTCTTACTGTAACACATTAGTCTCTAACTGCATCCCTTGCACCGTGTATACCGGCAGACTATGGGTGTGATCGTGTCTGAATTCTAGTATTTTTCTTTCTCTTAGTCAGAAGAAGAGGCTCTTCAGAGAGCTTTGGAAATGTCACTAGCTGAATCTGCAGCCAGCGTGACGCATCAGAGCAGGTAAAAATCCCTGACTTCCATTTCTGTTGGCGTATTGTTAGTATCTTTGTTATAGAAACATGGTAGGTGGGGTGAACCTTACTGACAAAAATTAATAAAAGGATCCATGCTTCAAGGTGTCTAGAACAAAATATCTCTCTAAATATTTTCTCTGTGCTAAACAACCATATTCTCTTGGTGTAAAATGATACGCTTTAAAGACCATCTCTTTCATGTTTTTTTTTTTTTATTTTATTTTTATTTTTTTGATAAATATTTTAAAGTTTTTTTTGGTTCATTACAAATGAAAAAAAACCCAAATTGACACTTTATCTTTGCAAAGTCATGTTGTGTTTTTAATCATAGTACAATTATGTGTGAAATTCATCATTCTGGCTATATTTTATTTATTTATTTATATTTTAATTGTATTTCTTTTTAAAGTTACAGTAATTCTGTGGACTCTTTAAGTTTGTGGCTTAAATTTCTTGTAGCGGAATTATAAAATTCTTTACATATGCAAAATTTACATAGTGCCACTGTATAGAAAAATAAAATTAGTCTCTTGGCTGTGATTGGCAAATTACTTGAGATGCATACATTTCATTTGATGGTAAATATAACGTTGATTTCTTAATTGAATGCACTGTGTTCCATATAATCTGCATAAATGCAAGGACTAGAAATATTGCACTTTGGGTATTTCTAATGTCCTCAAATGATAAGGCAACATACCACAATTCTTAGGATTGCCCATTGGTGTTCTCACTTGTATAATTTGCGCACTGGACAGCGGAGTACAGAGCCACCCACCATGTTGATTTATAGAGCACGTTTTAGTGGAATCGATTTTCAGAATGTTTACATATGTAGGCAGTGCATTTCAGCACAATGTATAAATAGTTTAAACTGACCTTATGAGAATTGTCTTCACTTGCTTCTTAACTTGATGGAAGTCTGCCAACAGCCAATTTACATCCAGAGTTTTTCAGTAGTGTGCGAATTTCAAATTGTTGACCAGATTCCAAAAACTCTTCAAGTCAGCTAGGTTTTTTAATTTATTTTTTTGTTCCACTCTTTAGGCCATGTTTTTAAGTATAATACATATATGTAAGGATATCCTTTTGTGGATCTCTGTTTGCTTTTTGCATTTTAGGCTTATGAGTAAATCATCCCCTATGCTTTTTTTATGTAATCAAACTGAGAAAACGATGTAAACACAATGGATGGAGCTATTCAAAAACGTTCTTCTTCTTAATATAATGCGGCAGAAACAGAAAAGTGCATACAATAGTGCAGACAATTTACAATAAATGTAAAAGCAATATTTACAAGGAAACACTCACAAAATCAGAGCCAATTGGAACCTGGCTCTGGTATAGATGGCTTCAGGATCTATTCCAGGGTGATCCTGGCCCTTCTGTGATTGATGGAGCTGTTTCCGGATGAATGGAGAAGAATCCAAAGGGTTGGAATAAATGAACAAATTTATTGAACAAAATTGATATAACTAAAACATAAAAACCATCAAGGATAAAATAATAAGTGAGCCAAAACGCGTTTCGCCTATTGTGGCTTCCTCAGTCAGCTGAGAAAACGGGCAGTTAATAAGGACGAGGAATCAAGTGTATGATGACAAACTCCATGTCCGGCTTCAGACAGGAGACAGAAAATGGAAATATCGTTTACACATTATGACTCTCCTTCTTCTTTTCGGTTACCAACCTATTGTTTGTTTTTTTTTTTGTTTTTTTTTCAGCTCCCAAGAAGATGAGGATTTGGCTCTGGCCAGAGCTCTGTCAGCCAGTGAGGAGGAGTACAGGAGACAGCAGGCAGTGAGTGATCCAAATATATGTATAAACATTTTCTACACTATAATAATATTTAGTGTGTTAGTTTCATAAAGCTGGAGCAAATATTGAATACAAAAGTTAAAGTCAACTTTTGTGTCTTTAAAAGCACGTCCGTTGAAAACCGAACGCCTCTCACAGATTATCAGGCTGTAGGAGGGCTGTGACTGTGTCAGCAATTGTTGGGTCCCTTTCTGTCGCTTTCAATAAAGAGGCCCACACTAGGATCACATCTGTTGGGTAAAGGGAAAAATAGTGGTAAAAATGACAAATTCTATAAACTGACCTCAGTAGATAAAGCATTTACGCATCTCGTTTCCATGACCTACTGACTTCTCAATAAAAATCACAACTTTGCAAACATTCACCCCATCCTCTCTGATTACACAACCTCAGCTCTTAAAGGTGTTGGAGGACGTCAGCCAGAATGGGAGACATTAGAGAAGAGTGTAGAGGAATTTGCAAAAAGCGAAACATGGAAGGTATGATTTATTAAAAAGTAAGCCAATTGTTCATCTTGAACTTTCGCAGCTCATTTTATTAATCGGTGATTGGAAGTTCTTCAGTTCTCAGGATTTCATTGTGCAGACAGCCGGATCAATTATCTACAATTCATTTCACATTTAGAGGAAATGTAAATCTTCTCTCTTTAATATTTTAAGGTATTCATCGTCACAGTAAACACTGTTTCTGCATATGGTTGTCATATTGTAAACAGACGTTTATACGGAAAGGAACACTCAAAGCACCATAACCACTACAGAGCCTCCAGTACGGCTTTGTGAGAGCGGGAAGCTTTCTTCATTGAGCGAAGCCTGGCTGCTCACAGATTAGCTCATGGCTGAGAGCGATCAGCTGACTCTCTCCGTCTGTGCTCCAATCCTGCACTGCAGAGCGTAGCCCAGAATAGCTAATAGCTTCCTGCTCTTACTGAGCTTTAGGGGAAGTGGGGAGCGCTACCTGCCGCACCCAAGGTAAGGAGTCAGACCAATCTAAAACACATTACAAGAATGGGGGGGGGGGAGATAAGGGCACTGCTGTCACCTTAACCACTACACTGCTCTGAAGTTGGTATGGTGTTTGGAGTGTTCCTATAACTGCTGATTGAAGCTGTAAATGAGTGCTGCTGTTCAGATTAATTAAAGTTCACACTTTCCAATACTGAATCTGTCAACTTTACTCATGGTTTGTTTATAATTCAGGTAGATTTAACTCCGGTGGCGAGGGCATACTAATCTGAAAGAATGTGTGTTCGATAGATAGATATCTGTCTCTTTTTAAACAGAAGCAATAGCTACCTTTTATTCCCACATACACTCTCTTACATGTAACAGGTGAATTTATTGTAAAATGTGTAACCTAAATCTTACATATTCAGTCTTCCATTTGCCTTAGTTCATTGTTTAGTGAATAGATCCCAGTGACTTGCTAGCAGCTGTTATCATCCCTGCAGCTGGCTGAGCTCTACGAGTTTGGGTTGGTGAGCTAGAGCCTGTGTCCTGCCTTGGCATACGTGATTTGAGGATCACATTTACCCTGTACATTGTAAAGGATACAGGATTTTCTGGCGGTGCTCTTTACATTGTGTATTGTTTTACAGAGTGTAAATATTGTATTTTTATACTTTGTCAGTTGATAAACTATTTAATGTCACCACCTTACCTTTTACTTTATTGCAGGGCACTAATATAAAATGATACCCAGAATATCTATCCTCCATCAGCTTGCTGTGTAACCAAAATTTTCTTTTATTTTCTCTCTTTTTTAAAAATATTTATTTACAACTGTGATGTTTATTCAGTAAAGTGAGACTGTTCAGAAATTAAGTTTAAATTGTGTTTAAATTTCAAGGCCAACCTAGCCAAACTGGAAGCATGGTTGATTTGGAGAATTTTTCAAGTTTGTCTATTTTGGTATTCACTTTAAAGGAACAATCTGAGCACCATAACAACTTAATCAAAATGAAGTTATTATGGTGCCAGGAACCCCCTGGTGCTTTTTTATCTTTAGGGGTTAAACCATACATGAATGGTAATTTTGCTCTTGAGTGCCATTCCTCCCTGTAACTGTCCACTTTCTCTAATTCTGATCCAGATAAGTAGCTATCTATTCATGAAATGAATGCAGAGCTACTGATTAGCTTAAAGCAGGCAGCGGAGGCTCTAAGCCAATCAGCCGCGTGCATGCCTGACAGCATTCTGTGCTTCCTGGATCAGAATTGGTGAAAGCAGATGTGGATGCTTACAGGAAGGAACGACACTGGAAAGCCAACTTAGTGGTTAAACTGTTCCTGAAAGGTTTAACGTCAAAAGGTAAGAAAAGACCAGGGTGCTCCTGGCACCATAACAATTTAATTTTGATGAAGTTGTTATAGTGCCCAGGGTTTTCCTTTTTAAAGTAATTTTTTGAATGTACGACATTTCTCACTGTAGTGATTAAACCTGATTGTATTCAGTACTGATATGTAGAGTACACTTCATAACAAAATGTGAGCTGTGTATTTGCAATAGCGTGGATTCTACAAGGTTCTGAACAAAGCCCAAACTCCTTAAAGGAGCCGTATCATGTCCTTCAGACATAAGGATAGAGATCTTAAACAGCAAACTCGTGTCTGATCTATTTTCCCTTTAAACACGCTATCCCAGCATTATGTACAACAGATTACAGCTCTGATAAAATGCTGGTAATTTTTTTTCTTTTCATGTCTCCATTCAGGGACAAACTCGGGATGCCAAACAGAGTACATGCTGCCTGTCTTAGCGCAGAACTTGAAGATCAACTAACACTGGGCTCAACCGGATCATTTAATGTAAGGGATGCAAGATTTACCAGACCTAGCTCCGCCAGAGCGAATGTACCACCGGGGACCCTCTTAAAACAGAATTTGCTGCTCTCCATGTGTAGAATACACATCAGCTGTAGAGTCTTTGTTCGGAATGTGCTGACCCTAGGCCTCTGCGATTCCACGTGTGGTTTGCAAGAGTAATGGAGGCCACAAACAACCAAAGAAATGCTAAATGTGCAGCCAGTCTGCTAATTTCAGGGTTTGTGCCAGTAAACACTAACTGCGCCTTATTACGCAAAAAAGAAAGCCGCACTGAACCATTCCTGACACAAGGCAATATTTGGGTAATTGTGTAAACCTGACCAGAAGCCAACGATATACGGTGCTGAACTTTTTATAGACATTTTTGAAAATTGAGAACTAAGCTCCCACATGATGATGGACCATTGGGCTATTCAAATCGAGCCCTGAAGGGTCACAAGCAAGGATTAAAGATCCACAGGCACCATGATGTTTGCTGGCTTTATTATTCCCATAAAGTTTGGTTTAACATTGAGATATTAGTGGGAATGCTAGAATCTGCTTACCCCTGTCAAAGACAAGTTCAAAGCTTCTTTGGTCAAATCACTGTTTAGTAATTCATCCAAATGACCCTTAAACAAGATTATTCAGTAAATTGTCAATGGTCAGGATTCTAAAAAAATTGGCAAACTGAAGAAATTTCTACTAGTTATCGTTCGAATCTGTCCTGTGCAGTTTGAGAAATTCCCTGATCAGTACCTGGTAATTTGCAGTTTAGTGCATAATCCAGCAGGTGAATATTTAGCACATTGCTGAAGTATAATCTGATAAATTGGAAAAATCAGAGAAATCCTAACGTCAGACAGGACTCTGATCCTCAGAGATTGATTTACACGCCGATTGTCTTTGCATAGACATGGTCCGACTAGTAGATTGACTGCCACTAGCTCCCTTATGTAGTGTCCATTTGATTTGATTGTAAAATTAAATCCTTTACTGCTGGATAATAACTCTTCTTTTTCACAGTCTGTAGATCCATCACAGTGATGGCTATTCTTTGGCACTGTGTTGTAGACTACATGTCCCATGATCCTTAGCTCGGCTATCAGCTAGCAATTGTAAAAACTTCAACCACAGTCATACTTTCAAGAATGTTTGTTTTTATTTTTTTTATAGCATTCAAATTTGTAGTAATTTTACTTAATTGAGCAGGTAGGAAAATATGCAACTGTGCATTTTCCCATCTTTTCTATTTTAGTCTAAATATGTAAATTCTCCAAATATCTTAGTTGAGTGGATAACAAAGTATTCTCTATCCAGTCTCACATATACCCACCTTGATGAACTACAATTCCCATCTGGTTTTGAGTTTGGAGATCCACAATTGATGTAGGTGCTGTTGATGTTGTGCTCATCAAATGGAAAGATCAGGGATCTCTTCTACTTGTTCAACCTCAACTCCCATCATCTTCAGCCATTCTCTGGAGCCACTGATAATGATGGGAGTTGCAGACGAGCAGCAAAGACCACAGTTGGCCAGCCATGTTCTAACTATAATATAAGCATGTTTGTTAGTGATTATCCCAACTTCAGTTTTTTGTTTTATCAAAGTGTCTAACATTGTACCCGTTTATGTATTCTATGTTTTGTGTGTTTCCAGCTGTGTTTGTATTTTAATTACAATGAAGGGCAGCACTGTTAGTTACACTTTTTAAAAAAAAAATATTGTTACTGGTTTAATGTCATATGACCAAGCATTAGAACGGCTTAATTTCTGGCGGGTATGAAATCAGAATTCAGTGTTGGCAGGGATGGTATGAAGAGTTATAGGAGTTGTAATATTGAATACACACATTTAGATCCATCAGTTATAAAACTCTTGTGTGTAGTGGAAATGCAGCAACCACATTAGCAGACTAAGGGCACTGGGAGTTGGATTCCACCAGCTGCTTGAGTGCAGAAAGTCGCTTGTCCCTGTGTAGCACACTGATACTCTGACTTCTGACCACTATAACTAACAATGCTTTCCGTATAGGATTATTCTGTATCCAGTCTCATACTGCTGAAGTACCCCACATGCATTATAAAGCCTGCAAACTCTGTATAAATGATATGCATATTATTCTATTTTTATTTAATGATGCAGAAGGACAGAAATCTGTTTACAATGACATGTTCCATTGATGCTGTGATTATTAACTTGTGTAAAAGTTGGAAAAACTGGCTTTCTCTCCTTGCTTTTCCTGACGATAACTGAACACTGCGTTTCCAGCTGCTATCTTCTTTTAATTTATAACAACCAAATAAATTATGAATGTAAATGCGTACCCCATCTGTTTTCGCTCATTTCTCGCTTGTTTTACAAAAGGGTCACATTCATAACTCTTTTAGTTACTATTTATTTTTTTGTAAATCGTTCTCGGGTCCCAGTAGTTTATCCTTTTAATAGACCAATTGTATGTTTTAACATTTTCATATAGTCAGGACAGCTCAGGTGGGTTTGATCACTGCATAAATTGTTTATCACTGCAATGAAGAATATTTGATATATAAAGTCCAGCCTGTGTAGCCCCAGGTGAATTATTAAATGTTTCAGACATTTATATAAACACACCGGTTCTCCGAGCACACTATTCTGCGATCCATGCTGACCTGGGGTTTTAATTGGATTTTATGCAAGCTGTTTGGTCTATTTACTAATCAATATGCTGTGGTGGTTAGTTGACAATTTATTTAAAAATGTAGAACAAAGTTCAGTCTGAAAGCTATCGATTTGACCAAAATTCCATCCACATACCTCAAATTACTCCTTAATGAATAAATCCTGTGTGACCAGTGTTAGAACACGTTTTGGCTGCTGGTAATTTCGGTTTTACAATCATCCAGTTTGGAGCAAGCCAAGCCATCAGCTGAGATCGTTCTGATGTACAGCTAAGGACCAGTGCTGGGTTAAAGGATAATTTACATCACTTTTCCTTATTGTTCTAAATCTTTATAGAATGATTTTTTTTAATTTTTTGTTACAAAGATATTTATTTTGTGTATGTATGTATATATGTGTATATATATATATATATATATATATATATATATATATATATATATATATATATATATATATTTTTTAACTTCTCTCTCCCCTCTGGCTTTCAATGCTATGACCTCTATAAAAGTACATTGCATTTTCATCTACTTTCAATATGGAAACAAAAATGTTATTATATCCTCTGTTCATGACAAAAAAAAACCTTGTGTAATTTATATTCTATATTTTTATATCTGTGAAAGTTACCAGAGCAACAACAAAATGACAGTAACACAGAAGATGTGTGTATTATCCTAGCCCACGCAAAGCAGATGGGGCACATGACATGTAAAAGTAGTACTTAACCAACGATGGGGTGTGATCTCTATTAGCCTATTATCGTAATCTAATCCAAGATCTGGGTAACTATCTTTTATGTCTATTATATTGAGGTATTGCACATACTTTTATTTGTACCACGTTAATATTGTTGTCCTTCTCCCCACCCATGTTCTTTGCCATTTTTTCATTTTTCTTACTAATAATGTATATGAACCAAATCCGAGATCACACCTTTGGTTTTAAATGTTGATTCATGAAATCCAAATAAATATTATAATATAAAACGTGTATTTTAGAACTCTCGCTTCTATTGCAGATGAGAAGTAGAAAAAAAAAAAGTTTATTATTTAACAATCTCCGCTCCATGAAAAGTGAAACCAGATGTGTGATCACGGAATTCCCAAAATAATGTACAAACAAGCAAAACACCTCTTGTTAAAGACAAGGTCGAAAAAAACACATGATAACAAGAGAGGTGGTGTTAGTGGACTTTCCTAACTAGGACATCAGTAAATAACATTTGAGATATGATAAAGCATTTTAAAAGTTTGTAACTTGGTAGAAAGCACCTAAAATGTCTGGGTTTATCCGTAAAATGCCAGTGACTCCTTTCCACTTGATGCAGCACGCGATGAGTGTTTCAGGACACTGCATGATGGGGTAAACCGATATCTAATAAAGGTAGCATGAGCTCAGTGGCGTGTGTCACTAAGACCATGGATAGTAAGCTGTTCCAAAGGATTGACAAACAAAATTAAAAGAATGATATACTAACACTGCTCTGCACAGTGAATCCCTCTGTGTGCTGACACACTGTTCTGCACAGTGAATCCCTCTGTATACTGACACACACTGCTCTGCACAGTGAATCCCTCTGTATACTGACACACACTGCTCTCCACAGTGAATCCCTCTGTATACTGACACACTGCTCTGCACGGTGAACCCCTCGTTATACTGGCACACACTGCTCTGCACAGTGAATCCCTCTGTATCGTATAGATATCCTGTAAAATCCTCCTGGGAATCCAGCCTTCCACGCACTCTGCGTGGGTTTCTGGGAACGGATTGAGGCAGCTATCCTCTATCTTGCCTAGACATGGGGAGAACTTCCTGACAACATGCTCGTCTTCTAGGCTCAGAACCAAGATGGACGCTTTGCCTATAAGCTGCCCACATCCCTGTGGGAATAATGACCTGCAGGAATTTAGCCCTACTTCTGGAGATGGTGGGCTTTGTGGTGTGAAGACATCGGCTTACTTACCGGCCCCGGCCTGGGAAGCAGAGAGATTGGCACACTGACATCAGGATCCTTATGCCTTGGGTGTTTTACATGCATGGTCCGGGGGTTGTGGTAAAACCAACCCAGTATTCCCTACCCGACAGCAGAGATGGAGCCCACTTAACCTACAATTTTGGTATCAGCTGAAACATGGACACCAACTGTCCTCCGCACTCTTGTGCACAGCTCTAATGTCTACATATCATTCTAGAAACATTGCCTTAGTTTTATTTGCGAACCCTCAGTTTGTTTTATTTTAAAAGCCTTGCTTCACCCTGACCACAGAGAAAGATGTCTTAACATGCTAACATGATTTTGTGATGCATTGCTGTATATTTGCAGATAGATAACGAGACCGAGTATAACGAGTATACTTCACGTTAGACAAAGCATAATACTTCATCTATAGAATTTTGTATACTCTGTTATCTTAGCCTGAACTCTGTCACTGTTTAATGCTGGCATATTCTGCTTGCCTATGTTAAAATATAAAATTGTGCATGTTTTCTCTACTGCCCTACAAACCACTGATGGGACCACTGATGGGAAATCTACTGCCCTACAAACCAATGCTTGTTACTTGGTGTTGGGGCATGACAAGCCTGACTGTATAACTATGCACTGCAAAAATATAAAAGAAAAAGATAAAATTCGTATCATGTAATACCTTTTTTTTTTTTATTGGACTAACAGAATTTTTTAATGTTAGTCTAATAAAATTCGTATCTTGTAATACCTTTTTTTTATCTCTTTTTTTCCATCTACATCACCGGACTAATACGGCTACAATCTCTACTGAAATTAAAAAACAAAAAAAACAAAAGAGTCAGTAGTAAGTAAGAATCTAAACGAGAGAAGAAATGGGGATTAAGGATGATGAGGAAGGAAAAAAGGAAAAAAACTTTTTTTTAGTGAATGAACACTGAGACATTATGATCAAGGAAATTGTGTCTGGAATCCCAGAACATATTGTCAGAATTCAGATATTTGCAAATGTTACAAATTAATTTTAAAGGGACACTATAGTCACCTGAACGACTTTAGCTTAATGAAGCAGTTTTGGTGTATAGAACATGCTCCTGCAACCTCACTGCTCAATCCTCTGCCATTTAGGAGTGAAATCCCTTTCTTTATGAACCCTTGTCACACCTCCCTGCAAAGAGAGCCCTATTTAGGCTTTCTTTATTGCAAGTTCTGTTTAATTAAGATTTTCTTATCCACTGCTATGTTAATAGCTTGCTAGACCCTGCAAGAGCCTCCTGTATGTGATTAAAGTTCAATTTAGAGATTGAGATACAATTATTTAAGGTAAATTACATCTGTTTAAAAGTGAAACCAGTTTTTTTTTTTCATGCAGGCTCTGTCAATCATAGCCAGGGGAGGTGTGGCCAGAGCTGCATAAACAGAAACAAAGTGATTTAACTCCTAAATGGCAGTGAAATTGCAGGGGAATGATCTATACACTAAAACTGCTTTATTTAGCTAAAGTAATTTAGGTGACTATAGTGTTCCTTAAATAAAACAGTGTTTATTTGTTGTTTATTTATGGCAATTTAATAAAGAGACTCCTGGAGGTACAAAACAAAAGCTGATATATTTGTGAGTATTTATCTAAAGAATAATGATTTATTTTAGCCCAAAATAACTCATTTGGAAAGTTTCTATAAATCAACATTTTTTTTCTGTTTGCCTTTTTTTAGCCAAAACACACTTTTCTAGCCTTGTCTCGGGATCGCGAAGCAAAACAGTTTTATATTATGATTAAATATCGATTGATAGGGTCCATGACATTTAGGGACTTCCCCCGGACTATGACTAATATATTGTGGGAATTCCTAAATTCTATACAGACAGTAGACTGGGTCGCTAAGGTACTTACATTGTACAAAGAATTAAGTTTTCTTAAGTGAAAGAATGAATCCAAGTCGTTTGAGTGAGGATGAGCTGAAACAGACAATGGAAGCAAAACAGAGCACTCTCAATATCCTAAATGATGCTCTGAAGAAAAAGGACCATCTGTTGGTGGAGAAACCAGAAGACTTCACTGGCCATTCCTCAGACGAGTCCATTCCATTAATTAGTCCAAGTCTGGTACAAGATCTCATTAGTGAACTCCAGAAAGTGACCTTCATGAAAAGCAGTGATAATGTTCCTAAAGATTGGGTCGCTTACGTTCATTACCCATCCAATGAAAGAGTAATTTATCTCTGCCCACCTTTTTGGAATAGAAGTGCATTTCTGGGAAGTGATTCATGTCCAACAACTATTATCCATGAAGTCGCCCACTTCCTGGGGTACGCGCACACTGTTGAGGAGACCATGGAAAACGTAAAGAAAAATCATTTAAACCAACAAAAAATATTGCCTCTTACAAATAACAGCATGGAGTCAGCGTTTGCCCGCTATATGAATCACAAGGGAACTTACACGATTGGTTCCTACAGCTGCTGCGGTGAGAGATCCAGAGACTCCGTGTGCGATAACTCTGAGATGAGCTTTTATCTAAGGTAAAAGGGAAATGGGTTGTTTTTCCGATGTATAGTACTGATTTATAGATAATAGCTACTAGATGCTATAATAGTTATTATGGACATTATTATGAATCACCTGTTAATCTAGAGAGAAATCTGACATTTTAGAGATAAGAAGAGATGTCTTTCCTTTTTGACGTAAAGTCGCAAATAGATTGTTTACTATTTTTGAATAATAAACGGTAAGAAATTTGCAAAAATTTTTTTTTTTTTACAAAAGCATTAAGATTATGATTATTGAAGGACTTTTTCATCTCTACCCAAAATACTTTGTTTTATTTAACCTGCAAATACAAATAAAAGTGAAATATTTGTACAGATATTAGTGGTCCCAATCTTGTAAGCAGATTGGTTCAAAAACACCATAAAAAAACAAAAAACTTCTGGAACAAGGGAATCAACCAATTCCAGCTGTAAATGTATTAAAGGGACACTGTAGGCATTGTAACGGCTTCATTTCATTGAAGTGGTTATAGTGTCTGAAGTTCAGTAGTGCCATCCTTCCATTTAGTGTTAAGCTATTTTTAATATTTTAATTCTAAATGAGGGTCCACAGCAGCCCACCCCCCTCTGTGCTGTTTGGGGTAATGAAGTAGCATTAACGTGAGCAGCAGTGGGTGGTCTGATTGGCTGAGTGTCAGCCGACTGTATTCAGCCTATCACAGCGCCCATTGCTGGTATGAATTGGTATGACTAGGAGGAAGTGTCTAGTGGTGGCCGGCCTGTGAGGAGCCAGGGACCCTCATTCAGTGTTAAACTACTTGAAAATAATTGAACCCTGAATGGGGTAACACAGTAAATGGTGCTGAATTTCTAATCTCACGTAATTACAGTATGCCAGGATAAAACCAGTAGCATACTTTTTATTTTATTTCAACAGGAACTTGAAATCGTCCTTCAAACCATTGAATCGAAGAAAACATCGTTCGGCAATGCTTACAACATTCAGGAAGTGAAAATAGAATGGCTGATACAGACTGTTAAGAAAACTGTCTACAATGAAGCATTAATTTACAATCCAACGCGAATTCGACTTTAATGAAACATTCCTCACAGCACAATGCAGGGGTGGGGTGTTTATTCATAATCTCCTTTAAGGACCACTAGAGTCACCGAGACTACTTTATCTCAATGACTGAGCATCGGCGCTGGACAAAGATGAGTACAACCTTTTTTCTCTTTTTTTATTTTACAGGTGAAAAGGTTGGGGAAGTACGAGGACACAATAGCATTAGGCATACGTGTTTGTATTATTTGTGGTCCTTTAATCAATATATTGCACCGCTATAACCGTGATTTCAGAATGCCTCCATACTGGGATCCTTTCGGTCTTTCAAGTGCTGCAAATTGTTTCAGCATTCTAATTTTTAATTTTTTTGTATATTTTTTGAAAATACAGGATCAATTCTGACAAAGATTTATTTTTCTACTGTAATTCACTATTTACTAAATAAATCCTTTAATTAGCTTATGACACTGTTTGATTTTTTATAGCGTTTGTTCTGTTCTCTGAATACTCTCCATCTCCTGTTCCCCAATTAAGTCTTAATGAATTCTCTTATTCGGTCTCTGTGTTACTATCTGTCACTTACATGTTACCCTCTCTTTAAAATTTGGCTTTTCGTATACTGAAGAGTTTTTTCCCCACATTAATTCATGATTAAGACACTCCTTTTCTTGAAAACACTTGAGAATGAAAGTGAAAGTATGGTTTTAGACTGGAATTCACTGGATTGATAGATCAGTCTGTATATAATAAGTATTTTGGGACTATCCCATGACACATGCACCCATTATATAGAATGACGTCCTACAGACGACACAGACAATACCCTGGATCTCCAGTAATAGTCTCTTACAATGGCCACAGCACTTTTCTTTAAACATAAAAGAAAAAATGTATCTCCTTTGAGTGAGGGTGAGCAGATACTAGCAGAGGAAGCAAAACAGAGAACCCTGAATATCCTGACTGATACTCTGAAGAAAAGGGATCGTCTGTTGGTGGAGAATCCAGAAGACTTCACTGGCCATTCCTCGGATAAGTCCATTCCATTAATTAGTCCAAGCCTGGTGCAAGATCTCATTAGTGAACTCCAGAAAGTGACCTTCGTGAGAGGCTATCGTGATGTACGTGAAAACTGGATCACTTATGTTTATCCAAGATCAGATGAAAGAATCATTTTTCTCTGCCCACCTTTTTGGTTTAGAAGTAAATTTCTAGGTACTGAATCTCGGCCAGCTGCGATAATCCATGAAGTCTCCCACTTCCTGGGGTACGAACACACCATTACTGAGACCATGGAAAACAGAGCGGAAAAACATTTTAATCAACGAAAACTACTGCCCCTCACAAATTACTGTATCGAGTCAGCGTTTGCCCGCTATATGAATCATAAAGGGATTTATACAAAGGGTTTCTACAGCTGCTGCGGTGAGAGATCCAGAGACTCCGTGTGCGATAACTCTGAGATGAGCGTTTATTTAAGGTAATTAAAGGAAAATGTGAAATTGTGTTCAGTGTTTTATTGAGCTGGATAGTGCATTGTTACTGTAAATAGTTAAAGAATGTTTTTATAATGTAATGGGTTCTTTTTTTTTTAATGAATGTGGCATAATTACAAAAGGTAATTTTATATATATTTATATTTTGTTAGTCTTTTTTTCTTTTTCTTCAATCCACATAAAATACAGACAAAACACAAGAAATTGGTCAGAGACAAAAACCAAAACCGCTGTGTTATGCCAAGAGCATCAAAGGCTAGAGTGGTTTAATTAAGAGTTTTGTGTTTAAATACATAAAAATGAAAAATAAAATATATGTAGTTGTAATAAAGTTTAACTGAGCCTGTCACCCCTAAAAGAAAAGGAAAAAGCTGCACATGGGGAGGAAAAAGTTATGTGCTATGTGCCTTGTGCCTTGTACCAAGATATGGATGTTGTACAGTGTACACACCCAATAAGCACAACAAGAGGCTATCGTCCACTTTGCTAGGTCAAGGTGTGAGATTTAGGTATAGCATAAATGGGTGGGGGGTGGGAAGGAGATTATATGGAACTACACCCCCAATGCCCCCAGGAGGTAATGGAATGGAACGTGTCCGTAGGTAAATTCATCGTCATGCATTTTTCTAGTGGAACTAAAACATAAACGACAAGATATACAAATTATAAACTAAACAATATAATAACTGGTTTAGGTGTAGGTTAGCAGTTCAAGTTATAGCTGTGGATGCAGAGTTTCCCCTTTGGGTCCCAAGTAGTTGACTGTGGTGAGTGCACCGGACGTTGCAGCTCCTCAGTGGCGGTAGACCGCACAAGTTTCTGGAAAGTGTAGCCTACTTCTGAGGCCTAATTGACCTTCAAAGTTCCTTTTTCATGGGGTATCAGGAGGCAGCTCGGGGTGCCCCACTTGTAGTAGATGGGATTAAATGGGAAGAGCCCAACAAGTCACAGGACAGATCCAAATTCCAGGAGTAGAGTCAAGTACCCGTCCATCTTTAAACTTTGATATCATATCAATCACCAGTGGTGCTTACTCTAATGCAAACTAATGCTAGCTGCCCTAACTGACCATGGTGAGTTCGGAGCTGATTTGTGACTTGTGGGATTTGCTTTATAAAATACTATGCTCCTATAATTAACAGGAGTGACATAATGTGCATTTACTGAAACCTGAATCACACCTCAAAACGTAATCAAGTCTACCCTTAATCTAGCTGATACATGTATGGGCACTCCAGATGTTGTGGACTACAACTCCCATAATACTCTTACACCCATAGATTATATTCTTCTCCAGTGGAGCTGTGGAGACCCAGAGCCAGGGTGACAGGGCTCTGGTACATATGAGCTGGACCTCCAGATGTTCACTAATTTTATCACATTAAAGTACTATTATGGATTATTATATATCTGTATTATCATTATTAGATTTGTATTTATGAAGAATTATTGGTCTAAGTATTTAAGTTAATGCTAAGTCTGCCACTGTTAATTCTGGTATTTATTATGATATTATGTGTCACTTTGGTGTGCTGCTGGTACTCTACACTTGCACATATTATTGATATTGATTTGCAGTGGCACTGTTCACTATTGACATTATAGTGTATAGAAACACGGATTGTTAAACAGATTGAGTGGCACTGTTCACTATTGACATTATTTATAGTGTATAGAAACACGGATTGTTAATATTCAGATTGAGTGGCACTGTTCACTATAGAAATCATTTGGAATGTATATAGACACACGCACAGATTGGTTTTATTGATCTGAGTGCTTTTCCACTTTTTTGGATTACATTTGAGAATTAAACAATGCTACATTTTTTTTATTTTTATCTGCAATGTTTGAACTGAATTAGTATATCATTTGCCAAATCTTTAAATTAAATTAATCTTATTTTGTGTTAGACTCTCGGGATGTATTTAATGGACAGTGTGATGGAGCTCCAGTACTCTGACAGAGTACGTCCGCCTAGTCTGCTTCCTCTGAGCCATCAAGGATCCTGGAGCACTTCAGACCCAGTCGCCGAGGCTTGACTGGGATCACTGATGGCCTTTTCCATGCTGGACCAGACACCAGACGACACTTGGTGAAGGTTAAAATAGCAACTAACTTTAATATACATAGCACACATATTTAAGCCCCCAATAGCCTCATTTACATACAATATGGTACATAGAGCACTATAGTTTAAGGAAGGGTGCGGTCAGACAATAGCAAGGGCTGGTGGGAGATTGAGGAGGCATAGGGCAGATAGGGGGAGGGGGATAGGCACAGACAAGCAATACATTCAACATACCCTGCACCAATAATTGGCAAAGGGTGACCAAAACACAAAAGGAATCTGGGGACCCACACATAGTTGATTTGGTAAACTAATGGGGGGGGGGAGTATGGACAGCCGAACAAAAGGGAATAAAAGTGTAGTTAGGGCATTCATTTTGCTACAAACCGTAAGATCAGTATTAAACTTTCTTTTCTTAATAGAAAGAAACCATCTCCTTTGAGTGAGGATGAGCAGAAGGTGGCAGAGGAAGCAAAACAGAGAACTCTGAATATCCTGACTGATACTCTGAAGAAAAAGGACCTTCTGTTGGTGTCGAATCCAGAAGACTTCACTGGCCATTCCTCGGATAAGTACATTCCATTAATTAGCCCAAGTCTAGTAGAAGATCTCATTAGTGAACTCCAGAAAGTGACCTTCATGAGAGGCAGGGATCATAAAGGTACAATCGCTTATGTTCATCCAAGATTAGGTGATAGAACCATTTATCTGTGCCCGCCTTTTTGGGAGAGAAGTGAATCTCTGAAAACTGACTCTTGTCCAGTAACAATAATTCATGAAGTCTCCCACTTCCTCGGATACATGCACACAGTTACAGAGACCATGGGAAGCAGAATGGAAAAACAGTTTAATCATCGAAAACTACTGCCCCGTACAAATTATTGTATCGAGTCAGCGTTTGCAGAGTACATGAATCATGATTGTACTTATCTGAATGGATCCTACAGCTGCTGTGGTGAAAAGTCTAGAGACTCTGTGTGCGAAAATTCTAAGATGAGCCATTATCTAAGGTAATTCATATGAACTTGGTTGTAATGTTCATCTGTTGAGTGTTGTTGGATCTGTTACTATTCCATTTCTTCATATTTAGTTATTATTTGTTATCCAGAGCATGTTACATAGTCTACCAGCTATACAAGTGAGACATCATTTGACATGCTGGTAAGGACATAAGGAATCCTGTAGCACTATTACACAAAATGAGCTTGCAATCTAAAGGACATAATCTGGGTTGGGACAGGAGAATATGATAAACTAATAATATGAGGGGCATAATGGGATATAACAAAAAAAACAGAATTAAGGAAGAGTTGAAAGATCAGGTTCAGATAAAATGCTTATTTTATTAATTTCATTAGAAAAACACACTTTATTATGAAATCGTGAAGCCCAATGTATGAAAATCGCCACAAAATAAACAATTGTTTCTCTTCGTACTGGGCATTCCACACTAGAGTCTCTTACTTGACTCACTCATATCATATTTTCCTGGATAGCCGGCCAACGTCTCAGGCTTTCAAGAGGAGCAACCTGTTATTCTATAAATTTATTAGGGAACCCGTTCAAGGCCTCATTAGATACGAGTTTACTCAATGTTACGTTAACCCAAGTTTTATTTCCATATCAAAATAAGATAAACCTGTAACCAATGAACAATAACCAAAAAGCCTTCGGAAGAAAAAACTTGCATCGCTTTATGCATCGCCCCAAGCCTAGCCAGATTCTTGGGTTGAATGGTCATATTCAGATGGTAAATGGGCAGAAACTCAATATATATTATATATATATATATATGAATCTAGACACTAGGTCGTTAAGATCATTTTTGGCCATATGTTTTATAATATTCTCCGAGATGAACGAAAAAGGGAATATAACGTGCTCTAGGCAGCTGACATTTTACACTGCATAGAATGCTATTTCAAAGTGTATATATATATAGTCAATACAAAGAATTCTCTGCTGACCTCTTCTGTAACAGGACTGTTCAAAGAATGGCAATAACAAATGAAATAATATAAATATCAGAACAGTCCCAATCATCAGTGCAATGCAAATCTAAACGTTGGGCAAAATCAGCACTCACAATAGCAGAAGTAATTTTCAGTGATAAAGGCTATGTTGGAGCCAAAATGTTGAATGGTTATTTATGGTGGCTTCAATAAAGACAGGTTAAAATAATAATTCATTGCATTTCATTCATTGCTCTTTAATGAAATGTGGATAAATCTATTCTAAATATTTTATTAGTAAAGGATCGACATACTTTGCAGTTTGATACATTCTAAGACTAATCAATGGTTGTGTAGGACTTTTTATCAATCCAACCCGAGGGAATCATTAACCTATAAGTTTAATAGACACTAAAAGTTATTGAATTGATATATTAATGTCATTGTTTGTACAGTTTAAAACCATGAAAATCTTTTTTTTCCTCTATTCCCAGGGTCTTAAAATCAGAGGAAATGAAGAAAGTCATATTACCAAATATAGAAGGAAATTAATCTGAATATGCCAATTACCTATACCGAATGTTCGAGAAACTTTCCAGAATAAATAATTAATTCTAATCCAAGTCTAATTCTAAAAATAATACTATTGATCGTAAAATATTGGTTCTTATTTCTCCACTTCACAAGGGCATATAACAATATGACATTATTATAATTTATTACTATTATTGTGATTATTGATATAGAACTAACATATTCAACAAACAATAAATAAAAGACAAAAGTGCTGAAACGACTCTCTAAACTGGAAGCAGTCACTATTTATTTAGTGCACTATGTAATTTAAATATATATAAAAAAAAAAAATAAGATATGTAATCATGTGTAAAGTTCCAATGGCAGATTCTACATTTGCATAACTCTTATTCAGGTTTATAGGGGTTATAATAATCCATAAACCCATAAACTAATGTTCGTCAGAGGTGGGTGAGATATAAAATTCAGACACGGCTGAAGGGGGCATGGATGGCACAACCCAGGCAGGGGCTTTCCCCTGATAATCCATGCTATCTAGTAACCTGGTAGGTTCCTCCAGTACACCAGTCCGAACATCAACCTACTATGGCTGTCACTTCCTGTGTTAGGTCCACCATAATGGCAAAGCCTCCCCACTTTTCATCCCGGCTACAATGTGGGTTCACAGAAGTTCCTAGCCCCTATGGCCAACGAAAAATCAGTGTCTCGAACATGAGGAAACCTTGTAACAAAACACCACCTTCCAGATATTGCTACTACTCGATTTATACACAAAGACTGAATTGCTTTGACTGCAGTGTTTTAAAAGACGCATATGGTAACACCAATGGGGCAGGTTTCTTAAATGTTTGAACTTATCACTGGAGTTTTGAAAAAAAAATTTCTGCATATTTTGTTTATTGTTGTGGCCAATGAACCCTCTGACGAAAGCCTGGTAGATTCGAAGAGAGATCTCGTTCTAGTTATTACAGACACGCGGTCTTATTTTGGGTCTGACCGGGTAATCATCCCTGCCTGCCCCCCCTGTGTGTTAACAACTGCCGGATTATCATTTACATCAAGCATGCCAAACTCAAAGTGTGGCATGGGCCACATAAACAAGGTTTAAGTTTATGTGGGCAGCACATACACACACATACTCACTGACAGACACACACACACACATACTCACTGACACACACACTGACTGACAGACGCCCACACTGACAGACAGACGCACACTCACTGACAGAGACACACACACACTCACTGACAGACACACACACACTCACTCACTGACAGACACACTCACAGACACACACAGACAGACACACGCTCACTGACAGACAGACACACATACAGACACACTGACACACACTGACACACACTGATACACACACACATACTCACAGACAGACACACACACTGACAGACACACTTGCTGACAGACACACACACACTGACACAGACACACACACTGACACAGACACACACATACTCACTGACAGACACACACACATACTGACAGACACACACACATACTGACAGACACACACATACTTGGTGATAGACACACACACACACACACTGACAGACACACATACTTGCTGACAGACACACACACACTTACACAGACACACACTGACACAGACACACACATACTGACAGACACACACACATACTGACAGACACACACATACTTGGTGATAGACACACACACACACACACTGACAGACACACACACACTGACAGACACACACACACACACTGACAGACACACACACACACATACTTGCTGACAGACACACATACACACACTGACACAGACAGGCACACTCACACACTTACACACACATACTTTTCATTATTGCTCCTTACCTTATGGAGCCGATGGGGGGGCATCTCCCTGGGGTACTTCCTGCTCCTCCCTGCTCCCGCGAGCGGTTTAGTGATGCCGGAATATGACGTCATATTCTGGCGCCCGGCTTCACTACAGACGGCTTGTGAGGAGCAGGAACACTGAGCTCCCTCGCTGGCCCTCCTTCCTGGCCGGGTAAATATAAGCAGAAATGTGGGGAAAGCAGGTGCCTACTCTGCTATAACACTGAGCATGCACTCGCGGCTCATCGGGCAAATACGGTCCTTGTGGGATGCATGCGGCCCACGGTCTGCGGCCCGCGAGTTTGACATGCTTGGTTTACATCAATCCAAGGCCAATATAGAACGTATCAAACTGTTGGTTGGAAATACACATAAAAGGATAATAATGGCAATGTAAACAATGCTTATTCTCAAATAACTTTAACCTCTTGGTTTCCATGAGTTTATAATATTCTACTCCTTTAGAATGTCACGCTACATTTTGGACCTTTAACTTTAATCACCTTGGTTTCTCCAAAGTTGGAGAACAGATCAAAACACTGGTTCATGCATGGTACAAACTAGGAATAAAAATTATATAAAAAACAATATGAAATTAAAATGATCTTTTATTAGAAATACAAGGGAAAAATAATATTAATGCTTCCCACAAGGGGGAGCAGTAGTTTTAAAATCTCACCAATGAAAACATAAATCAAACTTTTCTGAATTAGAAACCCATGATAATCAAACTAATGTGGTCAATCAAACATTTATACAATTCAAGGGATATACAAGTCTCCCAGATGGTCAAAGGGACACTATAGTCACCCAATGCAGTGAGAGACCTGGCAGCATTATACCAGCTCTCACTGCCAGGTCTCCTCTCTCTCTCTCCCTGCTCTGTGCTCAGTGCTCAGTGTGAGGATGGGAGATGGGGCAGGTAGTGACATCACCCCCGCTTCCCTCTCACACAGAGAACTCATACAGCGTGTATGGAGGGTGAGAAGGAGCCTGTCTGCCCCACTGCTGCTGGAGGAAGAATACCATCAGATTGGTAGAGGTAAGCAGGCCCATACACACTGCATACACTGCCCACCCATACAGACACTGCATACACTGCCCACCCACACACACTACACACACTGTCCACCCATATATACACACTACATACACTGCCCACCCATGTATACACACTGCATACACTGCCCACCCATACAGACACTGCCCACCCATACACACACTGCACACCCATATATACACACTACATACACTGCCCACCCATGTATACACACTGCATACACTGCCCACCCGTATACACACACTGCCCACCCATATACACACACTGGATACAATGCCCACCCATATATACCCACACACTGCATACACTGCCCACCCATACACACACCGCATACACTGCCCACCCATACACACACTGCATACACTGCCCACCCATATATACACACACACTGCATACACTGCCCCCCATATATACACACACATACTCCCCCCCCATACACACACTGCATACACTGCCCACCCATACACACCCTGAATACACTGCCCACCATGTGAGTTGGATATGTACTCCCCCCTACATTTTATCCATAGTGCATTGGCATACTGCACCATTATATGTCTCACTTTTCCATTCTAGACCTATTGTCATACATACAAGCGATATTTGATTTCCCCAATTGTCATTAGGTGTAAGATATTGAATCTAGCGCTCCAGTGAGTGACCTTTTTGTGGCGGTACTATCCACCAAGTTCACCCTTTTTTGCATATATACACACAGACTGCACACACTGCCCACCCATATACACACACACACACTACCCACCCATATGTACACACATACTGCTCCCCCCACACACACTGCATACACTGCCCACCCATATATACAAACACACACACTGCCCACCCAAATATACACACACACTGCCCACCCATATATACACACTGCATACACTGCCCACCCATATACATGCACACACTGCATCCCCACAAACATACACTGGTCACCCATATATACACTGCCCACCCCACACACACATACAGTCCCCCATACACACATTGCCCCACACACACATACACTGCCCCCCCCCACACTCATACACTGCCCCCCACACTCCATACACATACACACATTGCCCCATACAGACTTACACACTGCCCTCCCCATACACACATTGCCCCACACACACATACCCTGCCCCCACACACACCATACTCACACACTGCCCCCCCATACACACATTGCCACACACACACACACAGCCCCCCATACAAACATACACTGCTCCCCATACACACATTGCCCCACACACCCTACACATTCACTCACTACACCCCCGCGCCACACACACACTGAACCTTTCACACACACACCACTGCTCCTATGCCCTACTACAGCCTCATACCCCAGCAAGTTGTCAAACTCAGATCCCAGGTAAGTTGTCAAACTGTTCTTAAATGGTTTGACTACTTATTTTAAAATTATTTTTAACATTCACTTAGTCCTCAAAGGACCACTATAGGCACCCAGACCACTTTAGCTCAATGAAGTGGTCTGGGTGCCAGGTCCCTCTAGTTTTAACCCTGCAGCTGAAAACATAGCAGTTTCATAGAAACTGCTATGTTTTACTGAGGGTTAATCCAGCCTCTAGTGGCTGTGTCACTGACAGCCGTTAGAGGCGCTTCCGCGATTCTCACTGTGAAAATCACAGTGAGAAGACGCTGGCATTAAGTAATGCTTTCCTATGGGTGGCTTGAATGAGCGCGGCTCTTGCCGCGCATGCGCATTCAAATCTGACGTCGGCAAAAGGAGGAGAGTTCCCCAGCGCCGAGGGAGCCCGGCGCAGGAGAAAGGTAAGTGGTTGAAGGAGTTTTAACCCCTTGAGCCCAGTGGGAGGGGGCCCTGAGGGTGGTGGTGGGGGGGGGACCTAATGACCCTATAGTGCCAGGAAAACGAGTTTGTTTTCCTGGCACTATAGTGCTCCTTTAATATTTTGTCTTCGAAGGGCCCTGGATCTACTTTTGTCCGGGGGCCCAGAAGGCTGTCAGTCCATCCCTGAGCCTAAACATCAATTCCTGCATCATAGTGATTAAATGTGGAGGAATAAGAAGGGCTGGAATTGAATGTATCATCACGGTAGCAGCGGGGGGATCCTAGAGATGCAACTGGGTGGAAGTAGTGAGAAGTCCTGGGCAGAACAAACAGGACAGGCTGGAGAGTATTTGGAGAGAATCTGAGATAGAGATTCAGAGATACTGGGACCAAGGTTAGTTAGAGTGTCATTACTGACTATGAGAGGATGTGAGGCTCAGGGGGTGGAATTATTACTGAGCTCAAAGTTTTAGGAAAATACAGATTAGGAACAGCGTGCACACACACAAAACAAATACAGTTTTAAGTTTTGTAAGGCTACTTAAAATCACCTATCTTAGAAAACAAATATGGGGATTCAGCTACCCCATAATGTCATATTGTGTTAAGCCCAGCATTTTGTCACAGTATTATGACCCCAATATTGGTGGGTCCAACACTAATTTTAACATGAGAGATTAACATGCAAACTGCAATACTTACTGCTTAAACTGCTTCCAACGAAAGCTTTAGGGTGATATCATACTACGTCTCCTCAACGCCAAAACGCATTACAAAATTACATTATAACCGTCCTGATAAGTCATCTAACAGACAGGTTACAGGTAGCATTCATTACAATGATGCAAATGAATAATAACATTTGTCTAGTGTCAGTGTGGTTACTCACCAGCCTCCTGCGAGAAAAAAAAAGGGTCAGATATAACTTGACGAAAGTAAAACCAAATGTAAATGTGAGTCAGAGAAATGGTAAAAGCCTTTATGATAATGCTGAAGGACAATAAAACATAATAAATAGAGGTGATTATGGGTCTATCCAATCCTCTGAGAATTTCTCACTAAGACTTCAATAAAATTTTAATAAACATAAGATAAATACACGACGCAGTGTGACTGTAGAAATTCCCCTAATTAGTGCTCCTTTTGGCAATAACAGAAGAAACATTACGTAGCTCGATCTACAGTTATTCTCCAAGCAGATCTCATATATTACAAAGTATGTATCATTACAAAGAGGACCTATATCATTTGTTTATCAGACTAAGCCTATCCCCAAGGCTGTACAAACTCCAAATGCCGAACAGCTTCCCCACGTGAAATACAATTATTATTATTATTATTATCGCCACTTATATAGCGCCAACAGATTCCGTAGCGCTTTACAGTATTATGATGGGGGGGATTTAACTATAAATAGGACAATTACAAGAAAACTTACAGGAACAATAGGTTGAAGAGGACCCTGCTCAAATGAGCTTACAGAAAGCCTCTGAACGTGTCTTGTGGTATCTGACACCAAGACATCAGATCCTTTAAGTCCTGCAAGTTGTGATGTGGGGCCCCCTGGATCGGATTTGTTGTTCCAGCGCATTCCACAGATGCTCAATTGGGTTTTGATTTGATATATTGATCTTTTTCATGTATGATATATTTGTGATATTTTAATATTTTGAAGAACATATTTTTAATGGATTATTGGCTACCAAGTTATTTCATACCGCAAGCTTCACGACCACTTAGGTGTCACCTTAAGCCACAATATACCAATAACAGCTGGAGCATAGCTTGGGGGGCTTATCTGTCCCATCACGGAAGACTTGCAGGTGGGTTTGGGGACACAGAAAGCTAGACTGACATGAAATCCTCAATTAATATCGTGGAAGGGGAGGATAATAGGGGAAGTGGAATGGGGTGATGGCAGGTGCGGGGCTTTGGGGTTTTCTCTTCCTCTGCATTATTTTTCTTCTTCCCTTTTCTTCCATGTCATGGATCTCTTCTTTTGATACATCAAATAATACAGTTTTGTATAGACCATCATTTGCAGAATATTGCATATTCTATGTTTCTATTGATTATGTATGGATGTCTGGATTGACATAAGTAATAGATGGTACCAATAAGTCACAAGGCTTTCTTTGTCTAAGAACTCTGGAATGTGGAATGTGGGTTCTTGTCCTTATATGGCTAGGGTTGTACTCTGACGTCATTATGGTCATATCAATATAGGATAGTGAACAAAGGGCCACAAGGTTTTGCTGTTGCCGCTTGCTGCACGAGGTCGTACTTGTCCGGCTGTCTAACTATGTAAACTCAAACTCTCCCTTCAGAAGTCCAGCAATTACCATCCGCTGTTGAACATCCATTATCCTGTAACATTCTTCGTTGTTTTATTATGTATCAGTAACTGTAAGAATAAACCTGAAGAAGCCATAAGTCAGATTGCGTATTAGTATTTTTTGTTAATATAGACGTATATTAACATGGTGAGCCTTTTACCCAAAAAGATAAATATATTTAAAAGAATATTTCAATCAACGTGGAAAAAGACACAGACCACTGATTACATCATTGTAATTGGATACTGTTTGGTAGTATTTGATTAATTATCTAGTTTGTCAGAGGATCAGGTAACTCCTACTGAGAAACGTCACAACTAATTGCGATGGTGTTTCTCAAAAAATGCCATCATAAATATACACCCAAGAGATGTCCCATTGCTATTATATTTACTGTTACACTTCTGAATTACTAAAATTGAGATGGGGGGGAGGGTGGAGGGGAGAGAGTGTGTATGGGAGGGATTGTTGGGATAATACACAAATGTGTTGCCATCATGACATATTTTGGAGTTCTTAGTTCCATGGAACAAATATCTGGAGAACATTCTCTACTTTCCCACTTAACATTATTCAAGTCCTACAAGTTGCATAGGGTCATTAATGCACTTCTGTTTCTATATTAGCTTTATTATATATGTGCCCACGTGGCAAGACTGGAATAACACTACCTACCCAAGACCTACCCACTTGCTACTCTGAGTATTCCACATATTTGTTTAGCTAAACTGTTCATTATTATTTATTTAAGATTTTTGTATTGTTTATTAATCACAACGGGAGTTATATAAATGGTTCCTACAGCTGCATGGTTCCTACAACTGTAATGAGGGAACCACAGACTCGCTATGCATACAATGCCCTCGATTTGCCATTTCTGGATAAGCTTCTCAAATTATTTAATATTTTTGGCTAAACTTTTAATATAACTTTTTTGAAATAGTAAAACATATATAATAAAAAAATCATATATAATTACATTATAGCATAAATATCTAAATATATTTTCAGAATTAAAAATAACTTTAAAAGTTTATCTGAAAATCTTAAATCATTTGAATGAAAACCAACCTTATCCAAAATATTAAATTTAGTCCAATATAAGGTGAGTTCTTATACAAGGTAATGCCATTGATGAAATACATTTATAGCTACAATTCAAAGTCAATTGTTTTTTCTTTTTTGGGGGGGATATTTTTACTGCTTAAAATAGAAATATGATTTCATGCATTAGGTAAGGATTTGAGAACTTTCACATTTAAATGATCTAATACTCATCAGGTCTCAAGATGTGAAACTAGTTATATCTGCGTGCATTGGAAAAGTCCCAAAGAGTTGGATGACAGGTATTTTCTTTTGGGAATTTTATTTTTTATACTTTTACACACAAAGGGTTGCAGTATGACCTCGTTGTATCTGAAGGCCACGTATCTACAACAAAGTTGAAAACATGATGTGACCACAAAATGAAACCTGAAGACTTCTCTGAACAACATTTTGCTCTAAGAATTCAAAGCTATAAAAAAAAATACAAAATACGTAAAAGTGTACAAACGAAATATAAAACTATAAAAAAATATATCAAAGATTTAAATGATTTTATACATAATGTAAATTTAAAGGACCACTCTAGGCACCCAGACCACTTCAGCTTAATGAGGTGGTCTGGATGCCAGGTCCAGCTAGGGTTAACCCATTCTTTTATAAACATAGCAGTTTCAGAGAAACTGCTATGTTTGTAAATGGGTTACTCCTTCCTCCAATTCCTCTAGTGGCTGTCTCATTGACAGCCGCTAGAGGCGCTTGCGTGATTCTCACAGTGAGAGCACGCAAGCGTCTATAGGAAAGCATTGTAAATGCTTTTTTATGAGACCGGCTGAATGCGCGCGCAGCTCTTGCCACGCGTGCGCATTCAGCCGAATGGGAGGAGAAGAGGAGGATCAGAGGCAGAGAGCTCCCCGCCCAGCGCTGGAAAAAGGTAAGTTTTAACCCCTTTCCTCTCCCCAGAGCCGGGCGGGAGGGGGACCCTGAGGGTGGGGGCACCCTCAGGGCACTATAGTGCAAGGAAAACGAGTATGTTTTCCTGGCACTATAGTGGTCCTTTAAGGCCAAAAAAATGCAACTGGAAAATGTGTCCACTTGTAAACTGAGGACTGAGCTGCAATGCTCCTTATATTAGAAAATGAAATATCTTGCACTTGTAAGATCGCCACTTGGCGGTACTTTTGTGCAGCTAAAACTTGCAAATATCCGGTTAAAATCTCTCCTGGACTTTCTAAACCTACCTCGCCAACAAATTGAACTACACACCTCTCTATGTCCAGCAAAGGACAATTCCCGTGCAGCTATAATGTAAGCACTTTGCAAATACAGGCTGTCCTCATTTACCGACCGGGTTCCGTTCTTATGACCCGGTTGTAAAACAATTTTGTCAGTAAATGAGGATGTGCTATCGAGCATGCACAAGGAGGCAGGTCTACATTCGGGGGAATTCCCCCGAACATAGACCAGTAGATTAGTAATTTCAGCGATTTCCTGCTGCTAATCTCCTGACTAATCCATCACAACAAAAGACAAAGGATCTCGAGAGATATCCATGATAATGTCCACAGTACAGGCTGACTGTACATTAGCAGACTGGCATTCACTGCATTTCCTAATACTGTCACAATGTAGAATAATCAATTCATTATGCTTTAGTTTATAATCCACACAAACTTGTTAAAATAATGTTGTCAGCTAGACTTTTGCATTCTGTTTTAAATGAATTCCAACTTGCCTGAATTTTGGCTGATCTGTGGGTCATCAGAATTCCGTAACTCTGACCTTTCATGAAACAAACAACACGGACAATGAATTAACAGTGTATTCAAACATTCGGAATACCCGGATGTGGCATAAAAAAAAAAGAGCTGATTGATGGTTAAGGGACAGCCAAAAATGAAATAAACAAATCAAATAAATAATAAATAAACCAATGATCAGCCAGACCAGACACTTAAAATCTGCAACCGAATACCAAAAACCAACCCACCACTCAATATCGGGATTATTGACCAAATCCTCGCTGGAATTAGCTTATAGGACCACTAATACTCGTTTTCCTGGCACTATAGTGCCCTGTGGAGATTCTTGGCGGCCCACCTACCCCCGAAACAAGCTAAAAGCCTGAAACTGGACGGTATGTTCCGCTTCCCCAAGCCAGACAGAGCACCGGCAGCCACGGCTCCGGACCTCATCCTCCGCTTCAGTTCCCTACAGGATAGGACCCTAGTGCAAGCTGCGGTGAGGGGGAAGACACCCATTGCCTTTGAGGTCGCCTCACTTCACCTCATCCCAGACCTCTCCAGGAACATACTTCTGTGGCACCAGTCCCTGAAACCACTACTCCAGCAGCTACACGCAAATGAGATACCATACCAATGGAGCCCCTCCTGCACAGTCCTTATAGCGGCCCAAGACAACACACTTAGAGCAGAAACCTACCAGGAGCTGGAGGACCACCGGCGGTCACTGGAAATACCGCTATGTAACACCTCGGAAGGAGGGAACCTGTCACAGGTGGACTTGGCCTCAATTAGGGAGCTTATACCCCGAGCGGAGAGACCCACTACATCTACTGAAACTGTGACCTGAATGAGGGGTTATTAAGCCCCGGCAGATGCTGAGCCCCTACCCAAGATCCCCACGGAGCCGGGGACTTGCCCAGTTGTTTTTCCCCACCAAACCCGATGACATCAGGACAATAAGATGGACTCACACTTATTATAATTGTTTAACCTTTGTTGTTATGATTTTATGGTTACATTTTTCACCTCTGCCACACTCCCACCCACTCCGTCTTCTGCAGGCGTCTCTGACTAGAAGGGGCACAGAGCGGAGCAATACCACTACACAGTAGGCCCTACCTCACCACGCGCACTGCATACCTTCACATACAAGACCGTCCAGACACCTACGGACATCACTACTGACATTCTCTCCCCCCATCCCTTCCCACAAACGCTCTCTGAGGGAAGGGGCATATACCTGGCCACAGGAATGCCTACCACCCGTACTACTCCTACGACCCACAGCCCAGTGGCCACTCCACTCATGCGACACCCCGACAGGCTTACACACCAAAACAAAAAAACACCTCAATTCACAGAAATACTCACGCGCAACGCAGCTTAGAGCCCTCTTGTGATGTATAATCTATTCTCTAAATGAGCTGTTCAATGTATGCCTTACGACAATATACGCTTTGTGAACAAATATTAGAAGCATAATGTGGATTGAGGAAAAATAAAGATTTTTTTTTTTTTTTAAAAGAGTGGCATAGCTTTTAGTTAAATGGGTCTTTAACCCCTTAACCCCTCAAGGACACATGACATGTGTGACATGTCATGATTCCCTTTTATTCCAGAAGTTTGGTCCTTAAGGGGTTAAGGACACATGACATGTGTGACATGTTATGATTCCCTTTTATTCCAGAAGTTTGGTCCTTAAGGGGTTAATGGCTATGCTCTTTGGAATTAGAAGCTCACCTGAGACATTACCAAATACACAAGACGGTCTTTATTTCTTAGTTAGTTCATGAGCAAGACGCTCCTATTCTGATATAACAAACAAACTTGAGAATGAAAGTGAAAGGTGTTTTATATACAAAACAATAATGTATTAGACCGATTGTGCTGAACAATGTCTTAAGGGAGTTGCTCTTATTTATATGCCCAGTACATGGTCTGATTCCTTGCAGATTTTACCAACAAGGTGCTGGATCACCAGTAATGGTGGTCTTTTACAATGCCCACAGCACTTTCTTTTCATAATAAAATAAAGAATTCATCTCCTTTGAGTGAGGATGAGCAGATACTGGCAGAGAAAGCAAAGCAGAGAACTCTGAATATCCTGATTGATACTCTGAAGAAAAAGGACCGTCTGTTGGTGGAGAATCCAGAAGACTTCACTGGCCATTCCTCGGATGAGTCCATTCCATTAATTAGTCCAAGTCTGGTACAAGATCTCATTAGTGAACTCCAGAAAGTGACTTTCATGAGAGGCAAGGATGATGTTCATAAAGATTTTATCACTTATGTTTATCCACGATCAGCTGAAGGAATCATTTTTCTCTGCCCACCTTTTTGGCAGAGAAGTACATTTTTAGGTACTGAATCTCGGCCAGCAGCGATAATCCATGAAGTCTCCCACTTCCTGGGGTACGAACACACCATTACCGAGACCATGGAAAACCAAATGGAAACCCATTTTAATCAACGAAAACTACTGCCCCTCACAAATTACTGTATTGAGTCAGCGTTTGCCCTCTATATGAATCATAAAGGGATTTATACAAAGGGTTTCTACAGCTGCTGCGGAGAGAGATCCAGAGACTCCGTGTGCGATAACTCTGAGATGAGCATTTATCTAAGGTAATTAAAGGGATATGAGGTTTTGTGTTCAGTGTATGGTAGTGCAGCATTGTCCATTGTTACTGTAAAATGTGAATAGTTAAATAACTACAAAAAAAAAAGATTTGAATGCTTTCTTAGCAAAGTATGACATTAGAGAACTTATTATTTATTTATAGTGCTGGAGTGTTGTTAATCTCTTGGGCACTTTTAGCCAGCACTTCCTGTTAAATAAAGGGTTAAATTGCTCTAATCCAGTGATAAGAGGGTCTCCTCTCTAGAGCTCCTCGCCCAGTCTCCACACTCATCTGCTGGCCAATCGAATGCTTCTCATAGAGAAGCACTGAGAGTCATGGCACATGCGCAGCATAGGGCGCTTCTTAACACCTTTAGAAAAGTGCAAATTTCTCTTGAAATTACCACTTTTATATCATATGAAGTTTTTTCCTTTTTCAAATAAAAATTGGAAATACATGTTTTCTACTTACATATCAGATAATTGCAAAAAACAAAACAACTTGATGCATTTGAGTCTGATTTTATTAAACTAAAAGTTAGTTAGGGTTCACTGTGTTTGCCTTGAAAATGTTACTGTTACTGTTTCTGTTGAAAATGTGTATTTTAAAGTCTTCCTTAAAGGACAATAATTGTCAATTTTTTTAAAGTTTATTACATTTAGTGAAACAATGTTTTTTTGTTTTGTTTTTTTAAATGTACCTGGCTCAGTCTAACTTTCCTGCTACTGCTGTTTCACACAGAGCAATCATACTATTGAATAAAACACTACAATATTAAAAAGTACTCTACATGTGAAAACACAAAAACACATTGAATATTACCGCAAAAAGAAAAAAAACAACACAATTTGGTGTATATATGAATGCACTCACAAGATTGTGTGATTTTGTAAGAGTGCTATTCAATGTTTGTTTTTTGTTTTCACTTGTAGAGTTTTTTTGTCTTATTGGATATTGAAGAATTGGAGGAATCTATTCTTTGCAGTGATATAAGTGTAAAGGGGTCTTTGTCCACCCTTTTCTTTTGTATTCTCACTGTTTTTTTAGGTGCTTTGTTGCATATTTTTGTAAAATCACATATTGCCTGTGTATTTCACAGCAGCAGCCAGCCCTGTCAGTGTGTGTGTCGGCATACTCTCCAGCCTAAATTTCCCCCTCAGCATTCAAAAATATTGTCAACATGATCAGATATACTTATGTTTGTTTCCACTCTACCTGACTGGGAACAAACTGTGTGTGTAGGCCCTGTGTAATTGTCTGTCAAAGCAGTCCAGCTATCGTCTCTCTCTGAAAATTGATAAACTTTTATTTTCTGTTTGAGAGGCTCAGGGTGTCATTCCCCTCCACCAGCGACTCAAACAGTGGTAAACACTTTTCAGAAAACTTTTTGAGCAATTTATTTTCTCATTGCAGTGTGCGTGCAGGTTGGTTGTTCTTGATGGGACATTTAATCCACAACTTCTGGAAAGGCAAATGTTTCCTACTTATAAAAAGAACTGATCAGTATTATTTATTTTTTCCTAGAACAGATCAGTGACCAGCTTTAGGGACTGTCAGACAGGGTTGTTTAACAGCTGAGGGGGATTGTAGCCACCCCTCGTTTGGAGTAAAATTGTATTAACACATTATGTATTTATTGGGAATGCAGATACACAAGTCAAACAGAAATGTTTTTACAAAAGACTACATAGTTTTAAAGAAAAATAGAACTAAATTTTTAACCATAATGAAATAAAATGTATGTTGGTAAAGTGTAAATATTTGTTGAATTTTGCCTTAGGTTAGACTCTGGGGATATATTTATTAAACAAATAGCTGCGTGCAAGGTCTGGGCCAGACATACCCAGGTACATACTAATGCAGGGCTCGTTTGTCCATTCTGATCCCCATTTAAATTTCTATCTGGACTTCTGCGACAGTACGTTTTCACGTTCATCTGCACATGAGCATCTCTACCTAAATTTCATAACCAGTGCCTGGTCCTTCCATACTGAACTATATTCATGCCGGTGTATAGCACTGTGGATGTTAAATTAATATGTATGGTGCCCTCTGACTATACCAGGACAGTCAGGAAAAAATAAAAAAATAAAAACCTATTCATATATTTTTTGAAAACAATCCACAGTTAACTTCTACAGAGTTATTGGCTAGAGCGAGAATTTTTAGGAATTAAAAGTGAATTTCAAACTTTAGACCAAAATATCAAAACTGTAAGCACAACTTAGTTGGATAATTTTTCCAATTCACCTATTAATTAAGTTGATAAAATCTGACAAAAGGAGGAATTTATATAATGCGAAAGTTTGTCAATTCCTGCAGATATCTTTAGAGATGGCTGTAGGCAGGGCCGTCTTTAATGCGGGGCAAACAGGGCAGCTGCCCCGGGCCCTGTCCCTGCTGGCGGGCCCGAGGTAACTGCCCTGTTTGCCCTCTGCCCACAAACTATGGGGGCCCATTGGGTGGCCCATGCACTTAGGGCCAGCCGGTGGGCCTGTGTCAGCAGGGGCCCGGTCGGGCGCTGTGGCGCTTTAACAGCGCAACCGGGCCCTTGCTTTTCGGCAACACTGGGAGGAAGTGACAGCCATGCGTCACTTCCTCCCACAGAAACAGGAGCCGCATGGGATGAAGGAGGACCAGCTGTTCCGGAGGGGGCCAGCCCGGGAGAGCTTAACTCCCAGTCACCCCAGCCAGCCCACTGAACCACAGGGAAGCCACCCTCCAGGAAAAGGTAAGAAACTTGAGGGTGGTTATCAAATTTTGCATGAGTGTGTCAGTACGTGTGTATGTCTGTTAGTGTGCCAGTATGTCTGTGTGCCAGTATGTCTGTGTCTGTGTGTATGTCTGTGTGTGTGTATGTCTGTCAGTGTGTCAGTATGTCTGTCAGTGTGTCAGTATGCCTGTGTGTGTGTATGTCTGTCAGTGTATGTGTATATGTCTGTCAGTGTGTCAGTATGTCTGTGTGTGTGTGTCTGTCAATGTCTGTGTGGTTCAGTATGTATGTATGTATGTGTGTTTCAGTATGGCTCTCTGTGTGTGTCAAAATGTCTGTATGTGTGTTTGTCTGTCAGTGTATGTGTGTTTCAGTATGTCTGTCTGTGTGTATGTGTGCCAGTATGTCTGTCAGTGTGCCAGAAAATCTGTGTGTGTGTCTGTCAGTGTCTGTGTGGTTCAGTATGTATTTGTGTATGTGTGTTTCAGTATGGCTGTCTGTGCGTGTCAAAATGTCTGTACGTGTGTATGTCTGTCAGTGTCTGTGTGTTTGTGTGTTTCAGTATGTCTGTCTGTGTGTATGTGTGCCAGAATGTCTGTATGTCTGTCAGTATGTCTGTGTGAGTCTGTCAGTGTCCATGTGGTTCTGTATGTCTGTGTTTGTCAATATGTCTGTCAATGTCTGTGTGTATGTGTGTTTCAGTATGTCCGTCTGTCTGTGTGTATATGTGCCAGTATGTCTGTCAGTGTATCTGTATGTCAGTGTCTGTGTGGTTCAGTATGTCTTTGTGTATGTGTGTTTCAGTATGGCTGTCTGTGTCAGTACGTCTGTCAGAATGTGTCTCTGTATCTGCATGTTTTCCGTTTGTGTGTCTGGATGTGTGTGTCAGTGTGTGTGTGTATCTATATGTAGTCAATGGGTGTACCTTTTGTATCTGCATGTATGTCAGTGTTTATATCTGTGTGTATGTCTATGTGTGTGTCAGTGTATCTATATGTAGTCTGTGTGTATCTGTATGTTCTTGTGTGTATCTACATGCGGTCAGTGTGTATCTGCATGTTTGTCAGGTAGTGTATTTGTGTGTATCTATATATAGTCAGGGGGCCCAAGTAAATGCTTGCCCAGGGTCCAATCAAAATTAAAGACGGCCCTGGCTGTAGGAATAAGATTTCTTCTTGTGGATCAAGAAACTTGGTAAATGAAGGCTCTCATGGCTCACATTATCTTCCATAGCTTTTGTGTTGTACTTATGCGCATGCACAAAAGTACAGTGCTGACGCAGCTCCTGGAAGATCAAGTGCCAGGATCTGAAGAAAGAAGACTGCATTGACAATGAGAGATAGGTAAGTACAGAGCACCACACCCCAAGTGAAAATGTCACCATCTGAAAACTTTGCAAAATATACAAAGACCCCAAAGATGACAGAGCCATTTTGATTGTAAAAGTATTGAATATTTTTAGGAACTTTCTTTTAATTTAAATGTGTATAATGTCTGCATTCCTAGTTACGTTATAATTTATAAAAACTTTATTTTCTCAATAACAGAAAGAAACCAACTGCTTTGACTGAAGATGAGCAGAAAGTGGCAGAGGAGGTAAAACAGAGAACCCTGAACATCTTGAAGGACACTCTAAAGAAAAAGGACCGTCTTCTGGTGGAAGAGACAGAAAACCTAAATTACCGCTCTCCTGATGGGCTCATTCCATTGATTACACAGAGTCTGGTAGAAGATCTTATTAGGGAACTACAGAATGTGACTTTTGTGAGAAGCTATGGCAATGTTCATGAAGATTTGATTTCTTGCAATTATTCACCATCAGATGAAAGAATAATTTATCTCTCTCACCAATTTTGCAAAAAAGGTGCTTATCTGGGAATTGACTCTCGCCCAGCACAAATAATTCATGAGGTTTCCCATTTCCTGGGATTTGAACACAGCATTGAGGAGACCATGGCTAGTGGAAAGGAAAGTCATTTTTGCCAACGAAAATCACTTCCCCTTACAATCTTCAATATCGATTCAGTGTTTGCACTCTTCATGAATCATGAGGGAACGTATAAAAATGGTTTCTACAGCTGCTGTGGTGAGAAATCCAGAGACTCCGTTTGCGATAACTCTGTGATGGGCATTTATCTAAGGTAATTAGATGGAAATAGCTTGTCAGTTGGATATGGTCGTATGTTAGTGCTATGTAACACATTGTTACAGTAAATGCTTAAAGGAACACTCCCACCCCCATAACAGACCTGTGTAATGAGGTTCTCCTCTTTTTTATTTTACAAACAGTGAAGATTGTGAAGAAATTAACCTTGCTACGCCCACCTAGCAGTCAATCAGACAACCTATCTTGTTACTTCCTGGTTGCTTAGCTTAATGGAACAAAACTTAAGTGGCAGCAGTTGCCCAATGCACCCGCCTTGCAAAATCTTCTCACTGAGCTCCATTGGGAAGTCTGTGACAGAAAGTCTGGGTGGGGTTAGAAGAGGAAGGCTTGCAAAGGCATCATACAAAAGAAGCTATATTTAGATATAGACTCAATCAAAAAATGTATAATCAAATGCATGCAAGTTTTCATGGGGTATGTCTACTAGACAGTATTTTTATCTTTATTACGACGGTGGAGCATCTCTTTAAAGTCAGTTAAGTTGCTATCGGGGTAGGAGTGTCCTTAGCCTTCTTATCTTTAGGAGTTTACCTGGCCCCCTCGGCACTAGTGGATGGGGGCTGGGAGGAACACTAGGTCTGGCGGGAATTCAGATAAAATTTAGGCTCATCCAAAGCCCGCTCTGCAAAATTCGGACTTTGTGAAATAGTGTAATGTGGATTTTTTATTTGAAATGGCCTCATACAGTACCGGATGGTTTTGCATTATTTGGTATTGGGCTATTCAGACCTTGTCTATCTGCATTTCCACAGACTATGCAGACATTTTAATGGTAAATGTTCTAGCACTTTCTTTTCTCCATAATAGAAAGGAACCATCTCCTTTGAGTGAGGGCGAGCAGAAACTTGCAGAGGAAGCAAAGCAGAGAACTCTAAATGTCTTGTTTGATGTTCTGAAGAAAAAAGACCATCTCTTGGTGGAGAAACCAGAAGACTTCAGTGACTATTCCTCGAATACGTTCATTGCATTAATTACTCCAAGTCTGGTAAAAGATCTAATTAGTGAACTCCAGAAAGTGACCTTCATGAGAGGCAGGGATGATGCTCATAAAAATTGGATTGCTTACGTTTATTACCCGTCCGATGAAAGAATCATATATCTTTGTCCACATTTTTGGACAATGAGTGCATTTTTCGGAATCGATTCTCACCCAGAAACGATAATCCATGAAGTCTGCCACATTCTGGGGTATGGACATACTCTGGGTGAGACCATGGCTAATAGAATGGAAAACAATTTTCAACAACGACAATTACTGCCCCTTACAACTTACTGTATTGAGTCAGCGTTTGCCCGCTACATGAATCATAGAGTAAAGTATATGAATGGCTCCTACAGCTGCTGTGATGAGAAAGCCATGGACTCTGTGTGTATAAACTCTAAGATGAGTTCTCATCTAAGGTAACTAAAGGTTAATGTGTTGCCTTGTTCAGTGTATGACCATGCTCTGTAGTCATTGTTCCTGTCACTAGTTAAATAATTTTTAAAAGGATGAAATAGATTCTCAGCAAAGTAGAATATTGCAGTTACTATGGACATTATTATCAATAGGGTGATAAAAAAAAAAAGCTAAGAAGTATTTTTCCCTTTTTGGGGAAAAATTATATATGTCAGAGTTATTCACTAAAGTGAGAATTCAAAGTTAATACAAAGTGAATTTAAAATTTAAGGTCAAATTAGCTGAGCTGAGAACATTCTCTAAGTCAGCTACGTCACCAGTTTGACTACTTTGGCCGTAACTTTTAAATTCACTTTAAATTCCTCATTTAGTGAATAACCCTGTTTGTTTTCCATGCATTTTCGACTTGAGGTGCTTGGAGCGGGCTGTTTCTTTAAAGGTCAGCTCAAGACATTGTGCTGCTTTGATCCAAAGACAGCACTGAACTTCAATACTAACCAAAACACCACCTTCTAAAACTTACACCCACTCAATACACCTCTCCCCATTCTTATTACAACAAAAAATGAAACATTCTTTTGCTACATCTCCCACAGTTCTTTTGTTCTTTCCACTGCCTCTCAGATATTTCCTATCCTTCTGCGATATCTGCTCTCTTTATATACAATGTCCCTAAATTTCCCTCTGACCCACAGTATTGGTATAGCATATAACCCTTCTTATATCCCCTGTAAAGTTCCTCCAATTCAAAACCCCCACTGCCTCTCTAAATGTATTTACCACTTTATTTAATCATTGAATTATTAATCTCTCCTCAGTCACATCTTCCAATTCATAAAAGCCATTCATATAAACCTAATTCATCCCAACAAACCACCTTCCATCACAGTATATTTTCACAGCTACATTTTATACCCAGTACATCTTCCTAAATCCTACCCCATGTACATCTATCCCAGTGGCATCTGCCCCCAAAACATCTTCTCTCATCCACAACCACCTCCTGTCCGTTATGTGTCCAACCACAACTACATGCTTCTTCATCTCTCCACACCACCCAATGCATATTATTAGCCACAGTTCTCCCCTCTACATCTCCCACATCACCCAAGACATTTCCACGCATATTCCCAGTAGATCTTCCTACAAAGTGTTTTGTTCTTAGAAATGGTAATAAGTACCAGATGTAGGGCAATCACCATGGAAAACAATGGAACTAGCATTGGTGAATCCACCACTTTGGCATCTTTGCACCACTTTTCAGAACATGACAATTTGATAAGTCTCCCCCAATTTGGCACAAGGCAGGGTGCCGCTCCCATCAAGAGCTGGTATTTACTCTGCAGGACCTCTCGTTGGCTGGAGACTCGAAAACGAAGGTTCTTTGGTTCCCCTTATAGTCACTGTGAACACAGAGACCCTGCTACAAGCTGGTGAAGCAGGTGGAAAGGGAAAAGGTATGTCTCACAAAACATGCAGAGAGGAACCATGGACAGTGGCAAGCAGGACCCATAGTGCCTGCGTAGGGACCAGGGAACCCCACCAACACTGACACTACTTTGTATTCCTTGCAGGAGAAGAAAGAGAAAGGGCAAGCGAAGAATCAACAGGAATCAGAGAGGGTGGGGTTGTTGCACTAATGCCCTGACAGCAAAGGGGTAAGTCCCTTCCTAGACCTCACTATTGTATTTCGTAACAATAGTTACAAACATTATTTACATCAATCCATTGACATTCTGCCAGACAGCCAAACCCAAATCCTTCTCTAACCGGCCCAGGGTTCGCTTTACGATCTAGAGTGAATTTGCCAAATTGTACAGATTTGCCACCACTACTGCCACCAGTAGAAATACAGCAGATTAAACAATAAATATAGCATCAACAACTAAAGGCAGAGAATATATACGCATGCAAACAATAACTCTTGCATAAAACAAGTCCCAATGTATGAATTGATTTAAGGTAGGATGGGATATTTATATAATTTGTTATTATTTCAGCGCATCCATTTAATAATATTAATTATTTTTGACTGTTTGAGGCATGGGCCTCATGCACTGACATTTAGAAAGTGAAAGACATATTGGGGCAACACATAAGTATAGAGACTGGAGAAAAATTTTAAACAAGTATATTTGGAATCCCTTACATTGGAACGGAAAACCCCAAAGTGTGCCTCCAGCACTGATCTGCAGGTCACCCAGGTTTCTGCCTTCTGAATCTCAGTTTCAGAGAGCGTGGAGTGCTGCTTGACTTATTCAGCAGCTCCCCATTGATAAAAAAAAGAAACATACCTTAATACTTTGGGATAAACTTTTAGAATATTGAAAAAAATCATACAGAAAAATGTCAATAAATAAAAAACATTAAAATATATATTTGTTGAAATATTTAATGATTTGAAAAGTTTATCCAAAAATATTAAACCGTGCAGGTCACAGAGACACACGGGTTAAACCTTCACCCATGTATCTCTGTGACCTGCTTTTCGGTTAGTAGTATTGCTAAATGTTACCTCACTGCTTACAATCTGCACTCCAATAAAAAAAAGGAATTTCTTCATGTAGACTGTTCAGAAACTCAACACAACAAACTTTACTGATAGACTTTAACATTACTTGCTTGCTAAGCATTATAGGAGATGTCATCCAGTGTACCTGGAACAGCAAAGTCTACCTACAATCAGTCTATCTTAATAAAGAATTTTATATTCTTCTAATACTTTCTAGAACAGGTATGGCCAAAAGGAAGACCTCCAGCTAACTACGATTCCCACCAGGATTTTAACAAGGAATTCTAGATTCTGGAGATATATTCAATAAGCAGAGAGTGCATTCCCAACCTGTGTGCCAAATTCAGGCTAAAATATCTCTAAATCCTCAGATCTCAACTGTTTAGTGAATTAAACCCCATGCACTAAATCTCAGAACATTTAAATCAGGAACATTTAAATTAGGATTTATGTACTGACAAAAGTAACAAATAATGAAAATTTAAATATTGACATTAACAGAATTAATAGAAAAGGCAATGAGCATTGAGCGACTTTTCGTAGATAAATAGTTGAAATTCCTAAAGAACTTCCCTACAGTCTGTCATGTTTTTCACAGTACTCTCTGTTCTCAATAATAGAATAAAATTATCTTCTTTGAGTGAAGATGAGATGAAACTAGCTGAGGAGGCAAAACAGAGAACCCTGGACATTCTGACTGATGCTCTGAAAAAAAAGGACTGTGTCTTGGTGGAGAAACCAGAAGACTTCACTGGCCATTCCTCCGATGAGCTTGTTCCATTAATTAGTCCGAGTCTGGTAGAAGATCTCATTAGTGAACTCCAGAAAGTGAAGTTCAGAGGAAGCAGTGGTAATGTTCATAAAGACTGGAACGCTTATATTTGTAAAAGATCAAATGAAAAAATAATTTATCTCTGTCCACCTTTTTGGAAGAAAAGCACATTTTTAGAGATTGATTCTCACCCATCAACGATAATCCATGAAGTCTCCCACTTCTTGGGTTACATGCACACTGTTCATGAGACGATGTATAGCCGAATGGAAAACCAATCCAATCAACAAAAATTACTTCCCCTTACAAATTTCTGTATTACATCCGCGTTTGCCCGCTACATGAATCACAACGAAACTTACAAGAACGGCACCTACAGCTGCTGTGGAGAGAAATCCAGAGACTCCGTGTGCGAACAATCTACAATGAGTTCTCATCTAAGGTAATTGAAGAGAAATGGGTTGTAATTTAAAAATATGTTTTTGTTCGTCTACAATTACAAAGATAACAAAATGATACACGTCAGAGCAGTGTCAATCACAAGTGTAAATCCACAAAGTCAGGGAAATTCCTCCATCACAAGAAAACCAACAAAAAGAAGATACCATTTTGAGCATTTTGTGTCTCTTCAGGTAGGTGAGGCTAAATAATTCTTAATATTTAATATATAAAGAGACAAGATATAATACTGCTCGAAGCATTCCAAAAACTATCGATGGGAATGGAATACATTCAATGGCTCGGGTTGGAATTTTATAAATCAGTCTCTACGGATTCAACTATGAGTGATATACACAGTAACTGTCCTGAATTCATAGCATTATCTGAGTTGCTGTTTAAAACCATTAAAACGAATCATGTTTTCTGTTAATAGATCTTTAAAACCGTTTTCCTCGAGCGAGAAGCATCAGAAAAACCCAAAATGTCCATCGTGTTGCCAATCATGATCAGCTAAGAAATGAATTTGAACCCGCTGATGGCTGATATGGACTGTCAGTCAAACGATCCAGAATGAAGCAATTGAAATTGTTCAAATTTGAAATTGTTTAGCTGTTTATTTGTTATGCAGTTATAAAATGTGCTCACATATTTTTTTATAAACATTATTATTTATATAATAACAACGTATTGCACAGCAGTTTAAAATGGGGATATGGCAAGCAAGTTAAAGGGACACTCAGGCTATAAACTACTTTCATTTTTTACACATTATGGACACAATGCATAAAATATTTGCTTAAGAAATAATTAATTTGTTTTAAAGTTCCTGAAGCTGAAGCACTCGCACCACAGTTTTATGTGAACCCAGCCACGCATGCAAGCCATGGCTGCTGTGATTCTCTGTGAGAGCAGGAGAGGGGGGAGCTGGGTAGGTACTCAGTGTGCGCCCACCCAGCCTGCACACTCAACACACAAACTGGATGGAACAGCTCACACCTGCAACGTTTTCTACTAAGTACCACCATAAGCCACATAATCTTTGCAATAACTATAAGTTGTTATGGCGCATCCAGTGTCCCTTTAATGTAAACGGAAACAAACAGAGTTCACAATCTACATTAGACGGGAAATAAAAACACAAAAGCACAAGAGATGAAAAGTTATGTTCCCAAACTTTCCAACTTGGTGAACACCCCATTCCACCCCTTCTCTCCTTTCACCCTCTTCATTTTCTCCTGCTAGTCTTTTCAATCATTTCATTTTCTGACTCATGTTCATGGGAATAATGTTTGATTTCTACGGATGTACGCCGAGCTTTACATTTTATTCTATCAGTTTATTGACTTCATGCTCCCAGATTGTGTCCTTTCTTTTGCCAGAAACACTACACGTTTCATTGTGTGTTTACATCTGTCTGTCTTGTCAGTTCATTTATTTATTTAAATACTATTTGCATTAATAAGAAATTACATTTAAAAATGGATGTATTTTGTTTGCCATCTGAATCTGTATAGCTGATAGAGGCAGCCTGCAGCTGCGTACCTATCCCTCTATTACCAGGTGGAGGATCCAGTAATCCAGAACCTCTCATTTTGGGTTTTTGTGTCCCATCTTGTCCCATAAACCTATGCCCAGGAGAGGTTTGTGGGATTAGTAATTTATCTCAGCTCGTAGCAAGCTGCTATTAGTTTATACATCGCTGGTTCACTAAGAAATAAAGTTATAAGTAATTGACGCAGCAGGTTGGAAGTTAAAGTTCATTCTTCTGGGACTGACATAAAGTTTCAGTGATTTATACAACTTACTGCCATTATAAGACACTTTCATCGAGTTTAAAGTGGTTGAAGTGTACTCTCTGCACCAGACACCTTGCAGTAATGTAGCAAAAAAATACAAAATCTTTCACAATATCACACAATTTAAAGTGCTTCAATCAAATAAAGTGCATGTGAGTGTAATTGCACAAATTTGAGATAATAATGTGCTTAAGTGAGCTAAAATGCATATAAAAACGCTTGACTTCCCTTCTGGCAATGGAGTAACCCGAAAACCTCCTCAAATCTTCAATCAATGTAAACACACTGCTCAAAAAAAATAAAGGGAACACAAAAATAACACATCCTAGATCTGAATGAATTAAATATTCTTCTGAAATACTTTGTTCTTTACGTAGTTGAATTTGCTGACAGCAAAATCACACAAAAATTAAAAATGGAAATCAAATTGTTCAACCCAGTGGAGGTCTGGATTTGGAGTCACACTCAAAATTTAAGTGGAAAAACACACTACAGGCTGATCCAACTTTGATGTAATGTCCTTAAAACAAGTCAAAATGAGGCTCAGTAGTGTGTGTGGCCGCCACGTGCCTGTATGACCTCCCTACAACGCCTGTGCATGCTCCTGATGAGGTGGCGGATGGTCTCCTGAGGGATCTCCTCCCAGACCTGGACTAAAGCATCTGCCAACTCCTGGACAGTCTGCAGTGTCACGTTGGTGGATGGAGCAAGACAGGATGTCCCAGATGTGCTCAATTGGATTCAGGTCTGGGGAACAGGCGGGCCAGTCCATAGCATTAATGCCTTCGTCTTGCAGGAACTGCTGACACACTCCAGCCACATGAGGTCTGATTGTCTTGCATTAGGAGGAACCCAGGGCCAACCGCACCAGCATATGGTCTCACAAGGGGTCTGAGGATCTCATCTCGGTACCTAATGGCAGTCAGGCTACATCTGGCGAGCACATGGAGGGCTGTGCGGCCCCCCAAAGAAATGCCACCCCACACCATTACTGACCCACTGCCAAACCGATCATGCTGGAGGATGTTGCAGACAGCAGAACGTTCTCCACGGCGTCTCCAGACTCTGTCACGTCTGTCACATGTGCTCAGTGTGAACCTGCTTTCATCTGTGAAGAGCACGGGGTGCCAGTGGTGAATTTGTCTTGGTGTTCTCTGGCAAATGCCAAACGTCCTGCACGGTGTTGGGCTGTAAGCACAACCCCCACCTGTGGACATCAGGCCCTCATACCACCCTTAATGAAGTCTGTTTCTGACTGTTTGAGCAGACACATGCACATCTGTGGCCTGCTGGAGGTCATTTTGCAGGGCTCTGGCAGTGCTCCTCCTGTTCCTCCTTGCACAAAGGCGGAGGTAGCGGTCCTGCTGCTGGGTTGTTGCCCTCCTATAGCCTACTCCACATCTCCTGATGTACTGGCCTGTCTCCTGGTAGCGCCTCCATGCTTCTTGCCACAGCTCACATTGATGTGCCATCCTGGATGAGCTGCACTACCTAAGCCACTTGTGTGGGTTGTAGACTCTGTCTCATGCTACCACTAGAGTGAAAGCACCGCCAGCATTCAAAAGTGACCAAAACATCAGCCAGGAAGCATAGGAACTGAAAAGTGGTCTGTGGTCACCACCTGCAGAACCACTCCTTTATTGAGGGTGTCTTGTTAATTGCCTATAATTTCCACCTGTTGTCTATCCCTTTTGCACAACAGCATGTGAAACTGATTGTCACTCAGTGTTGCTTCCTAAGTGGAGAGTTTGATTTCACAGAAGTGTGATTGACTGTAGCGTTACTTACCTTAACCGGGGTCCGGTCGCGGTCCTCTCTTCAAGCCACGCGCGGCTCATCCGACTGCTTTAGATGGAAGGCGGGCAGTGACCGCGTGAAGCGGTCACGTGTCCCGCCTGAAACTAAGAGCGCGCCGCGAGTCTCGGGCGCGCTCTTAAAGAGACAGTGGGAGCCTAATTGCCAAAAGGCTCCCATTGGCTCCTGTCATACCACACTCCCTATACAATTACCTTTTGGGGGTGTGGAAGTGACAGGAGCCAATCACTTTCGTTTAAAAGCTATTTAAACTTACCTTTTTCCCTTAGCTCGTTGCCCTATCGTGGTTTCTGTTTTAGTTCCCTTTAGCGCTTGTGGTGTTCAGTTGTGTTTTCCTGTATTGACTTTGGCTTTGTATTCTGACTTCGTTTTCGCTTTATCCTTATCTGTACTGTTTGCCGGCTTGCTGTTTTCCGTGTACCAGACCCCGGCTTGTCCTAGTTTACGCTGTCTCTCTGTGCCCTTGACCTCGGTTTGTTCCTGGCTCTGTCTCCTCTCATATACGTCGAGTCCGGCCATTCTAAGGTCCGGTAGACGTATCTCTCCTCTGTATTGGCTTCTGTTTAGCTGGATCCTGCGTGTAGGGGTATATTCTCGTTACATTACGATAGGGCCATGGACCCCGCAGATTTAGCTCAACAGATGGCGTCCCATGAGGCAAGATTTGTAGAGCAGGATCACCGTATGGATCAGATAGCCCAGGCTCTCCAGACGCTCCTAGCTAGAACCGTTCCAGCAACCACACCTAACCCTCCTACGCCCCTTCTCCCTGAAGTATCTACTTTGCCTAATACTTCGGCCCATTTAACACCTCCTCCTAGGTATGGAGGGGACTCTAAGACTTGCAGAGGGTTTATTAATCAAATTGAATTCCACTTTGAAATGTATCCACGTTCATTTCCCACAGAGAGGTCTAAGGTTGGGTTCTTTATGCACCAACTTACCGATAAGGCACTTGAGTGGGCAAATCCTATTTGGGAAGCTAATGGACCTATGGTACATGATTTCAACAGTTTTCTTACGGCTTTTCGTAGAACTTTTGACACAATGAAAAGGTCAAAGAATGCCGCGAGAGCATTAATGAGAATTAAACAGGGTTCTAGGTCTGTGGCTGATTATGCTATTCAGTTTCGCACTCTTGCTTCGCAGGTAGATTGGACCAACAATGGGTTAACTACTGCCTTCATGGAAGGTTTATCAGATACGATATTGGATGAGGTAGCAGCTAAGGAGCTTCCTATTGCCTTAGAGGACCTTATTGATTACCTCATTGATATAGATAATAGAATTCGTGACAGGCTCTATACCAAGAACAGGAATAGACGTTTTGTTACACCTATTAACCCCAGAGTTAATATACCAGAGAGTGTTAAAGTATCTGAGGAGGAACCTATGCAATTAGGGGTTGCCAAACTCTCTGATACTGAGAAATTACATAGGAGAAGGGAGGGACTCTGCCTATACTGTGGTAGGAGCAGGGCCGGACTGGCCCATCGGGATACCGGGAAATTTCCCGGTGGGCCGCGGCACCTGGGGCCGGTCTGACAGCCCTGATCATTGGGCTGACAGCTCCTGTGATCCCGGCGGCCATGTGTGAGCTGTGCGGCCGCACATAGCCCCATGGGAGGAGGGGGAGCCAGGCTGCCGGCTCAGCTCACACATGGCCGGCTGGGATCATTTAAAAAAAAAAATTTGCGGCGGGGGCGGAGCTTACTGTGTGGTGGGGGCGGGGCTTAGCGTGCGGCGGAGGCGGAGCTTACTGTGCGGCGGGGCCCGGCTAATTCCAGCATGGGAAGCAAGAAGGAGTCCCTGCTTCCCCAACAACAAGCCTCCAGGAGCTCCAAGCAGGAGGTAAGAAGGAGGTCAGTGTGTCTGTGTGAGTGTGTGACTGTCTGTGAGTGTGTGACTGTCTGTGTGTGTGTGACTGTCTGTGAGTGTGTGACTGTGACTGTCTGTGAGTGTGTGACTGTGTGTGTGTGTGTGTGTGACTGTGCGTGTGACTGCCTTTGTGTGTGACTGCCTGTGTGTGTCTGTCTGCCTGTGTATGTTACTGTCTGTGTGTGACTGTGTGTGTGTGTGTGACTGTCTGTGTGTGTCTGTATGTCTGTGTGTGTGACTGTGTGTGTGTGTAACTGTCTGCCTGTGTGTGTGGCTGTCTGCCTGTGTGTGTGGCTGTCTGCCTGTGTGTGTGTGGCTGTCTGCCTGTCTGTATGTGTGGATGTTTGCCTCGGTGTCAGTGACTGTCTGCCTCTGTGTGTGTGTGTGCACCTGCTATTGAGGGAGCCTCTGTGTGTGTGTGCCTGCTAGTGAGTTTGTGTGTGTGTGTGCCTGCTAGTGAGTGAGCTTGTATGTGTGTCAGTGAGCTTGTCTGTAGGGATCATATGTGTGTGTGTTAGTGAGCTCTTGTCTGTAAGGAGTATGGGTGTGATCGTGGGCTTGTCTGTAGTGAGCGTGTGTGTCAGTGAGTCTGAACTTGTCTGTAGTGAGCGTGTGTGTCAGTGAGCTTGTCTGTAGTGACCATATGTGTCAGTGAACTTGTCTGTAGTGACCATATGTGTCAGTGAGCTTGTCTGTAGTGAGCGTGTGTGTCAGTGAGCTTGTCTGTAGTGAGCATATGTGTGTCAGTGAGCTTGTCTGTAGTGAATCTGTGTTAGTGAGCTCTTCTGTAGGGAGCATGTGTGTGTCAATGGGCTTGTCTGTAGGGAGAGTGTGTGCGCATCAGTGAGCTTGTCTGTAGTGAGCGTGTGTGTGTGACACTGAGCTTGTCTGTAGTAAGCTTGTGTGTGTATCAGAGTTTGTCTGTACTAAATTTGTGTGTCTGCCAGTAACCTTGTCTGTGTGTGTCATTGAGATTGTCTGTCAATGAGCCTATTTGTGTGCATCAGTAAGATTGTCTGTGTCTGTGTGTGAGTATGCTTTACTGTATAATTTAATTACCTTGAAAGGACTAATATTTTGAATTAGAAGAAGAAATGTATCAATAATATATATATATATATATAGTTCAAGTAGAGATTGTAGCCGTATTAGTCCAGTGATGTAGATGTAAAAAACAGATAAAATTCTTATCTTGTAATACCTTTTTTATTGGACTAACAGAATTTTTTAATGACAAGCTTTCGGGAGAACCTCCCTTTCTCAAGTCTGAAGCATTTCTGAGCAAAACGACACATAGAATTCAAAGTTGAGTTGTGATACAGGGGTTAAAGCGACATGAGTGTAGATAAGACACAGGTTTGTTAGAAAATAGACACCATCTTAGCAGAGGGTCATAAATATCTTGTTGAAGAGAAGAGTAGGGGGGAGAGAGGGAAAAGAAAAACAAACAAGCAGACAGTGCACAGGATGATACACTTTATACATGCACACACACAGAAATATGTATATGTGAACGCATAAACATATGTATATATACATAAACACATATACATACATGCACATGGACTCATATACACAAATATAAATGCACAGTAATATATATAAGCATTCATGCATACGAGTATGGGAAAGCATAGGTCTACACATAGTACTTTGTATATAGATAGAATAAACATATAGGAATGCATTTTAAAGTGTTGGTACATATGACAGAACAGTAAGATAATGCTGGGAGAGTGTTCATGTAAAGTGTTGGTAGTGGGACAGGAATCCCAAATCAATATTTAGTCCTCTCTTCTTGCTGTTAAACCATTTAATCATTCTGGCTTCAAAGGCTTTTCTTTCCTGGGTATTTTTAAAAAACCCCTTTCAGTACTTTGATTTTTAGGTCCTTCAGTGAGTGGCCAGGCTGGGTAAAGTGGTGTCCCACAGGAGTGCAGTATGATTCTTCTTTGTGGTGTTTAATAGAGTGTCTGTGCATATTCATTCTGCCATTTAATGGCTGGGTGGTTTCCCCAATGTAGCATCCTAGGTGGCATTTTATGCATTGAATCATGTATACCACATTGCTGGATGTGCAGGAGTATGAACCTTTAATGCTGTAGGTTTTATTGTTGTGTGTGGCTGTGTTGTCTGTGCATATGTGCTGACACAGTTTGCAGCGAGGTTTTTTGCATTGACTGGTCCCGTTTTTCGTTCTTACCATCAGTGGGCAGCCTCCTGTTGATTAATTTTTGTTGGAGGTTTGGTGGTTGTCTGAAGGCCAAAATGGGTGTTTCAGGGAAAATGTTTTTCAGAGTCTCATCTTCTGTTAATATTGGTTGTAGGTCTTTGATGATTTTCCGTATTTCCTCAAGAGCAGGGTTGTAGGTGACCACAAGTGGCACTCGTGTGCATATTTTTTTCTCTCTGTATTGTAGCAGGCGCGTACGTGGCGTTTTTACAGCAGAGTTGATTTGTTTGGTAATAGTCTTTGGTTTGTAGCCTTTCTGTCTCATAGATTGGGAGAGTACATTTAGATGGGAATTACGGTCATTAGGATCAGAGCATATGCGATGGTACCTAGTGGCTTGGCTGTAAATGATGCCCTGTTTAGTATGAGAGGGGTGGAAGCTGGAGCTGTGTAGGTAACTGCACCTGTCTGTGGGTTTTCTGTAAACCGAGGTGTGGATTGTGCCATTATTACATGTCACAGTTGTGTCCAGAAAATTCACAGATCTAGTGGAATATTCCATTTTTAGTTTGATTGATGGATGGAATGTGTTGAAAGAGTCATGGAACTGTATCAGTTTTTCTTTGCTTTCAGTCCAAATTATGAAGATATCATCGATGTAGCGATAATATTTGTATGGTTTGGTGTGTTGGTTATCTAGGAATCTCTGTTCAAGATCTGCCATAAACAGATTAGCATATTGGGGTGCCATCTTAGTGCCCATAGCAGTGCCCATGGTTTGTAGGTAAACCTCATTGTTGAAACTGAAGTAGTTATGTGTGAGGATAAATAGTGCCAGTTCTGTGATAATTCGGGGGCTGTATTTTTGGTTGTTGACATGAGAGAAAATGGAAGCAAGCATTGATGCCATCTGTATGTGGAATGTTGCTGTATAGAGATTCCACATCCATGGTTACAAGGATGGTGTTAGCAGGGAGATTGGTGATTTGGCTGAGTTTGTTGAGGAAGTTGGTTGTGTCTTTTATGAAGCTGTTAGTGTTGGTGACTAGAGGTTTTAGGGTATTTTCTACCAGTCCTGAGATCTGTTCTGTGAGAGTTCCCATTCCTGTAATTATGGGTCTTCCAGGATTACCTGCTTTGTGAATTTTGGGAAGCATATAGAAAGTGCCCATGCAGGGACTAGTTGGTATGAGTGATTGCAGTTCTAGGTGTAAGTTCTCAGGGAAGGATTTAATGAGCTCCCTAAGTTGTGATGTATATTCCTTGGTTGGGTCTTCATTTAGTTTTCTATAGTATTTGTCATCTGACAATTGCCTGTCACCCTCTTTTATGTAGTCCTGGGTGTTCATTATCACTACTGCTCCTCCCTTGTCTGCTGGTTTGATGGTGATAGCATGATTATTTTTCAGGTCATTTATAGCCATTTGTTCCTGTACTGAGAGATTATGAAACATTTTCTTTTGGTTTTGCTTGGTTGTCAAGGATACTGTTCTTAGAAGGAAACTTTCAATGTAACTGTCCAGTTTGGCATTTCGTCCTGGTGCAGGACTGAAATTAGTGTTTTTTTTCCCGGTTGTTGTAATCCATTGTGGTTTCAGTGCTCTCTTTGTCATGGAAGTATTCCTTAAGTCGCATCCTTCTGAAAAATTCTTCCACGTCAGAGTAGAGCCCAATGTCATCAAGTTTTGTGCTAGGGCAAAATGATAGTCCTTTGGAGAGAACTGATGTTTCTGGGTCAGATAGTTTGTAATCCGAAATGTTAACAATACCAGATTTCTCTTGCCATTTCTCTTTCTCTGCCAAATGTTTGTGATAATCCTGCTGTAGTCTGATGAGTTTATTATTTTTCTTCTTAAAAAGGTCCCTTTGTTGCTTTTTGTAAAAATAGTGTAGATCATGTTCTAGTTGTTTAGCCATACATGTATTCTCCTCACGTAGATTTTGGAGTAGATATTGTTTTTTATGTTGTATGCTATATTTCTTGTTGTAGAGCTGGTGGATGAGATGGTTTCTTAGTTTCTCACTAGTGCGTTTACACAGGTTTTCAGCATACTGTGTTTTCTGCGTATTAGCCAGTGGATTTTTGATTTTTAGGCCTTTGGGGATCAGCTGTCTTTTCTTGCAGATGGATAGAAAGTGTATGTCGCTGTTGAGCTGTACTTCTTTTGTGGTCATCTTGTAGATTTGCTTTTTTAGGCGGCTGTATGCGGTATCTTCCATAGTGTTCAAGTAGAGATTGCACATCCAGCAATGTGGTATACATGATTCAATGCATAAAATGCCACCTAGGATGCTACATTGGGGAAACCACCCAGCCATTAAATGGCAGAATGAATATGCACAGACACTCTATTAAACACCACAAAGAAGAATCATACTGCACTCCTGTGGGACACCACTTTACCCAGCCTGGCCACTCACTGAAGGACCTAAAAATCAAAGTACTGAAAGGGGTTTTAAAAATACCCAGGAAAGAAAAGCCTTTGAAGCCAGAATGATTAAATGGTTTAACAGCAAGAAGAGAGGACTAAATATTGATTTGGGATTCCTGTCCCACTACCAACACTTTACATGAACACTCTCCCAGCATTATCTTACTGTTCTGTCATATGTACCAACACTTTAAAATGCATTCCTATATGTTTATTCTATCTATATACAAAGTACTATGTGTAGACCTATGCTTTCCCATACTCGTATGCATGAATGCTTATATATATTACTGTGCATTTATATTTGTGTATATGAGTCCATGTGCATGTATGTATATGTGTTTATGTATATATACATGTGTTTATGCGTTCACATATACATATTTCTGTGTGTGTGCATGTATAAAGTGTATCATCCTGTGCACTGTCTGCTTGTTTGTTTTTCTTTTTCCTCTCTCCCCCCTACTCTTCTCTTCAACAAGATATTTATGACCCTCTGCTAAGATGGTGTCTATTTTCTAACAAACCTGTGTCTTATCTACACTCATGTCGCTTTAACCCCTGTATCACAACTCAACTTTGAATTCTATGTGTCGTTTTGCTCAGAAATGCTTCAGACTTGAGAAAGGGAGGTTCTCCCGAAAGCTTGTCATTAAAAAAATTCTGTTAGTCCAATAAAAAAGGTATTACAAGATAAGAATTTTATCTGTTTTTTACATCTACCCCAAAAATCTGTTACACATCAACAACTGCCAAAAAACACCCATGCTAAATACTTTCTAAATTTTGTCCTGAGTTTAGAAATACCCAATGTTAACATGTTCTAAGCTTTTTTTTTTTTATAGGGCTATAAGTACAAGTAGGACATTGCTTTTTCAAAATAGATATTTCTTAAATGTATCAATAGTGACATTGTAACACTGTTACCTGTCATAAATCTCAAACACTTAGCATTTATATTTGTTTGTGTGTTAAAAATGCAAAACAACTATTATGAAAGATAACTTTGGCCAGTGTTTTGTAACTAAGTGGCTACTAAAAAAGACTGAACATACCCCATTTGCAATACCTTGGGTTGTCTTCGTTTGCAAATGGTATGCCATCATGGGGGTAATTCTCATTCCTGGGCTACCATATGCTCTCAAAGGCAACATAACCAATCTCGCAAATTTCAATGTGAAAAAAATGAAAATCAAGCCTTATATTTAACCCTGTAACTTTCAAAAACACTATAAAACCTGTACATGGAGGGTACTGTTATACTGGAGAGACTTTGCTGAACACAAATATGAGTGTTTCAAAACAGCAAAACATATCACAATATCATGGCTGTGATATGTTTTACTGTTTTGAAACACTAATATTCGTGTTCAGCGAAGTCTTCCGAGTAACACAGTACCCCCATGTACAAGGTCTTAGGGTGTCTTGGAAAGTTACAGGGTTAAATATAGTGCTAACAAATTAAATTCTCTGGACTTTTGACCTGGGTTGTCAGGCAAATCCCCCAAATTGCAAACAATATATTACATAAATATGCACATAGAATTTAAATATATATACATATTTATATATTTGAAGTCTACGTGTAAATTTATGAAATTATTTATGTAATTATGTATATGGACATATGCATATTTAGTATTATTTTTATTATATATATATATATATATATATATATATATATATAAAAAATACACTTAGTATGACATTATATATAAGATATATATATATATATACATACATATTATATTTAGATATAATATATGTATATATATATATATATATATATATATATATACATATACATATTTATATATATTTTTTGTAAGTTATTAGCATTATTTTTTTTTATTTTAAAACTTTTTTTTAATTTTTTTCACCAGCAGGGGGACTGCCTGTCAGTTCAGGCAGTCCCTCTGCAGGCAGCACTATGGACGCCCATTGCGGACATGTGACCGCTCTTTCAGAGCAATCATATGGCCCGCAGGGACTTAATTTGCAGAGGGGGGACTGTCTAGCCTGTCAGACAATCCCCCCAGATGAAGAGGAACACTGATCACCGTCGGGGGAAAGGCAGCGATTGGGTAAGTAAATAGGAATACCTTCGGACATACTAGGTACGTGTAAGGTCCTGGGAAGGGGTTGGAGGGGGGTTAATACTTTTATATATATAAATATATATATATATATATTTTTTTATTTATTTCACTGAGTGCCTCGGCACTCAGCACATAGGCAAAGCATCGGAAGCCTGCCCGGCAGTCAGAAGAGGTATTGCAGGATGCCTCGACATTGCAGCAATTTCATTAGAGCGGCTGGAAGCAATCATGATCGATTCTAGCGCTCACATTTGCTGTGGATGTACCAGGTACGTCCGAGGTCGTCATGACCATTTTTTGTACCTGGCACGTTTGTGGTCACCAAGGGATTACACAATTTGATATCTATGCATATTGAAATGAAAAATACTTAACTTTCCAAGACTTTCTGGTGGTGTTTTATTTTTTGCCATCTGATTTGTAGTGAATAGGTTAATAGCATGCACTTGGAACATGCTTATGTAATCTATAAAATAAAGTGATCCTGCCTGTAATTGAATTTCTGCAGTGGCAGAAACAATGGAACAAATAATTCTAGATTCATCCTTGCAAGCAAGGATTTAATTTCTGTCAGTGCTGATTCTTGAAGCTTCCATAAATTTTATAGGGTACACTAACTGTTCTTTGAAATGTAACAGATAGACATCCTGATATGCTGAGTGGATACAACATATTAACGTGTTTAGACATCACACCCATACTAAATTATATGAGAAAATAATTTTAGTCTCTCAGAGTTCAGCTTTGAAACAAAATGTGTTCACATATTAGCAAATAGTACCACTGTATTACAGATTTGCAGTCAAGACTTATTTTTAAAATACAGAAAACATATAGGCATAAATATATCTGTAGTAAAACATATAGGCATATATACACCCTGTTCCAAATTATTATGCAAATTATATTTTTCTCATTTACCTAAATAATTGATGTAAATAACAGTCAGCATAATTCTCATGTTATCAACTATTAAGAGTACAATTCAAATTTTATTGAACAATCCTCCTAATGATAACAGTATTTTTTTTAAACATAAAAAACTTACAATGCACTGTTCCAAATTATTACGAACAGTAAGTTTCAAAACACTTTATAGGTTTGAAAGAACTGAAAATTGTAATTTGTTGTGTTTGCAGCATATTAACTGAAATCAAAAGCTATTTCAATCAAACTTATAACAACATTTTAACTTTTTAAACATTTTAACAGGTCACGTTACATTTTAACATAGGACCCCCCCTTATTTGATAGCAGCTTCACAAGTCTTGCATCCATTGAACTTGTGAGTTTTTGGACAGTTTCTGCTTGAATTTGTTTGCAAGATGTCAGAATAGCCTCCCAGAGCTGCTGTTTGGATGTAAACTTCCTCCCACCCTCATAGATCTTTTGCTTGAGGATGCTCCAAAGGATCTCAATAGGATTGAGGTGAGGGGAGGATGGAGGCCACACCATGACTTTCTCTCCTTTTATCCCCATAGCAGCCATTGATGCAGAGGTATTCTTTGCAGCATGAGATGGTGCATTGTCATGCATGAAGATGATTTTATTATGGAAAGCATAGTTCTTTCTGTATCAGGGAAGAAAGTGGTCAGTCAGAAAATTCACATACTTTGCAGAGGTCATCTTTACACCTTCGAGGACCCTAAAAGGGCCAACCAGCTCTCTTCCCATGATTCCAGCCCAAAACATGACTCCACCACCGTCTTGCTGACGTCGCAGCCTTGTTGGAACAGGGTGGCCATCCACTAACCATCCACTACTCCATCAATCAGGTCCATCCAGTGTTGCACCACACTCATCAGTGAACAGGACTGTTTGAAAATTAGTCTTCATGTATTTTTCTGCCCAATGCAGCCATTTCTGATTGTGAGCATTGGTTAGTGGTGGCTGAATAGAAGGTTTATGGACAGTTGCAGGACTCTGGAGGACTCTACACCTTGATGTCTGTGGGACTCCAGAGGCACCAGCAGCTTCAAATATCTGTTTGCTGCTATGTAATGGTATTTTAGCAGCTGCTCTCTTGATCCGATGCATGGATCTGGCAGAAATCCAGCTAGGGTCCATTAGATAGGGTTAACCAGGTCCAGCTAGGGTTAACCCATTTTTTAATAAACATAGCAGTTTCAGAGAAACTGCTATGTTTATCAATGGGTTAAGCCTTCCCCCATTCCATCTAGTGGCTGTCTCATTGTGATTTTCACAGTGAGAGCACGCCAGCATCCATAGGAAAGCATTGAGAGCACGCCAGCGCACGCCAGCATCCATAGGAAAGCATTGAGAATGCTTTCCTATGTGACCGGCTGAACGCGCATTCAGCCGACGGGGCGGATCGGAGGAGGATCGGAGGAGGAGAGCTCCCCACCCAGCGCTGGAAAAAGGTAAGTTTAACCCCTTTTCCCGTTTCCAGAGCCGGGCGGGAGGGGGACCCTGAGGGTGGGGGCACCCTCAGGGCACTATAGTGCCAGGAAAACGAGTATGTTTTCCTGGCACTATAGTGGTCCTTTAAATTGGGCTCACCTGGCAATCTAATTATCACAGGTGTCCGAGATTGTTTTCAGTGATCCAAAGAGCCCTGAGTCACAATGCCATCCATGAGTTAAACTGAAAAACAAAATATTTAATCTTTGTGACACTTAAATAGATCATGCCCCTGTAGCCTCACTGCTCAGTTCTCTGTCATTTAGGA